AACAAAACATGTGCGTGTGATTCTCACCTATGCTCCATTTAACTAAGCCCACTGGAACAACATATATTTGCAATAGATCCCTTTAAAATCAACAGGGAAAACAAAAACCAAATCCGTTCAGCAAATGGAAGCTATCAAACCTTGAATATGGGCTTAGGGGCTGATCGGCTCTATCCACCCATAACCAGGGTCTTGATTTGTATTCAATCAAGTCCTAAACTTATAACAAAACAACCGAGAAGACACCGCTGGTGTGCATTTGACTCAAAAAGGGTATCTTTGCAAAAGACTGGCGTTTTCCCTGTTGAATTCCCTTTTCAACCAACCTTAAAACCGAGCACCCTCCAAAATGCTGAGTTTCCGCTAGCTTCCCTTTGAACCAACCCAAGAAAAAATATTATGTGTGTTTCCCGCTGTCCAATGCTCAGCTGGAGCTCCCGTGTTTTTTACCCAACGAATGCCAGGGCTCGGACCCTGAGCTCACCTCGGCGCGGAGTCGACCGAAGTCGACAAGTGTAGCTTCACAGGGGGGTCTCGCCCTGGTTGATTGAACTACCAAAAAAACCGGGAATCGCCCTCTATTTTTCAACCAAATCAACCAAAAAGGACACTTATGGGTCTCGTTCGACGAGGCTCCGACTGATGCAGGTATCAACCGCGGATTTCATTTGCTCTGCGGACTGCGTCTGGGGACTTGGGCATGCAACCCGCGAAACGCTTCCCGAGGAGATGCCCTTCTCAAGTTGTGAAGGCAAGCCAAAAGGAACACCGCCTATTTTGGTTGGCCTCGTATTTGCACACATACCTTTGAGAATCCACGAGGAACCAGCTCAAAAGTGGTTGGACACGAATCCCCACCAAATTTGTGATGTCCGCCAAGGGCGCCACCCACATGTTCCATCTTTGGTGGAATACCACATCACCTTTTGGGCCTTGTTGTTGTTTGTGGCATTACCTCCTCGATTTCGAAATCACTAAGCGGTGGCCCTCTCACTTCCTGCCTGGGGAGTGGCAGGCCAAAAACATCTATACCAGCTGTTCAGTGCCCTCGACTCGTGTTTTTTTTTGGGGTGCCGTGAGCAGAGCTGAATTTCAAAAGGCCACTTCAGCGAGATCAAGGTCGCTCAAGTTGGGCTGGTAGCTCGCCAACAGCGAGAGAAATTTGAACGGTGGTTGGTGGCCAGAGCAGCCACCAAAACCTGTTCACAGACTCTCATAACAATTTGTAGGCCTTCTTGTATCCACCATGTCCTTACAGAACTCCTGGTAGCTCCTTAGGTCTCTCTGTAAAAGCAAATTTGGATACACTGGCTCCCTTCCAACCACCAGCCAAATATCCACCATACAGCCAGGTGTCTCGAGCCGAATTTCTGAGGTGCCGTGCAGTGCGGTCCTGGTCAATCCAGCTATGCGGATTGGTCGAGGACAGCGGGTCCTCGGCGGAACACGGCGGGGGCTGGTTTTTTGGGGGCTGATCAAAAGGTCTTTGGTGTTTTTTTGTTGGTTTGGTGGCGGGGTGTCCATTTAACCCACTCAAATCTCTCAGTCTGGACTTTTAATCCAAAGGTCCCTTTTTATGGGACTATTGGGGAAGGATGACATTTCAAGCTTCACACATGGTAAAGGTTAGCCATGGTCATTGGAGGGCGGACGGGAACATTGATCAACCCCCACTTGGGAACGGCGGCGGGACTTTCACATGGGTGACAGGTACTGAGGTCCATCGGTGGCCTTCATGTACATGATTGTTTTTAAGGAGGGACCCCCAAAAGGATGGTGGATTGATTTTGGCTTCTCGTTAAACCCACCGCAAACCTGATACCTAGGAAACAAAAAACAAACAAACAAACAAACAAACAAACAAACAAACAAACCAACCAACAAACCAAACCAAACCAAACCAAACTAAACCAAACCAACCAACAAACATCAAACACACACGCACGCACATCGACCATAATGTGCGCCAACCCATTTTGGAGGGTCTAAAAATCCATCACCATCTGGACCAGTTCATCGGTCGTTTTTACAGTTAAATCAACGCTTCAAGTGAAAGGAAGAGCGGGTTCCCTCGTAACACGCACACCTAAATCCTGCAGCTACCCAGAACGCGGTTTGGAGGCGTTTTTGTTGTAGATTCCACCGAGATCTCCCCCCTCTTGATCCTTTTCTCTAGTCATCTGTTAGTACTCGTTTCATGTTCCAGAGATTCGCCCCATCCAAACAGTAGAGACACCACATTGACAAAATGGATGGTTCCCCCTTTGGCCCCAGCTTCCCAAAAGCGAGGCGCTCGGGCGATTCGACCCATCCAATGGGTCCACAGATTCGCCCCATCCAAACCGAGGCCCCGGCCGCTGTGGAGCCCAGACTCGAGTGGGTCGCGCCTCAAAACGGCGGCCCAAGGAGACACGGAGGATTTGTTTTATGTATTTGGTGGCTCTTTGGGAGCTAGCCCTTGAATTCTTGGTGGTTTTGGAAGGGACACCATACGTATGTTGGTGTCTTTTTGGAGTTGCTACCCATTTTGGTTGGTGGTTTTAAAGGGAAACCAAGAGGAAAGCCACTATTTTGGGGGTTGGACACACCACTGACACTGTACCTAATTATGAATAGTGACAAAGAGGATTCACACACACCCAGTTGATTGATCGGATTTCCCACGTCAGAAAAGAGCGGGAGGTCCGGATTACAGTGTTGTTTTTGGGTTTGCGGGAAGCGACCGGCAAATCCACCAGGCTGCCCAATCCGCGGTTCAGGTTGTGAAGACCACCGCGGCCGAAACCATGGAACATACACAGAGGAGATATTGGTGTCTTGTTGAGGTGCCCCTTCGTTGTAGTTGTGCAGGAAAACCAACCGGCACACCACTTTCTTTTTAGTACTTTGTTGGGGGGGTCCTGTAAAAAGCCATATACCGCCAACACAAATCTTTCAGGCTGAAGCCTTCGCCTGGCAATGAGTCACAACAATATTGCAAGAAGACCGAACACTCAGGGGCAAGTACCCCAATCTTTGGGCGTGGTTTTGTTGAGGGTACCTTTTGTTTTTGCTTTCTTTTTGGGGGGGGGGCCTAAGAAAAGGCACACCCAGGATTCAACCGTACAAAAAGGATACCGCAAGAACAAAAACGCCATGTACGGCAGCCCGGCTGCCCCAAAAACGGGTTCCAAGAAGCCACAGCCGCGGGTATCTTCCCATATGTTTTGCCCCTGCTTTGTCTTCCAGAATGTTTACCTCAAACAAACAAGTAGTGTTTGCGATTTGTCTTCCACAAATTTATCTCAGCAACGAGAGTAGGGGGGTTTGGGTTGCGTACAATGAGCTTTTGCTCCCCAACCAAAAAAACAGTAGCATGTGCGATTCTGGCCTTTGTGCCTTTGTGCGATGTGTCCGAAGGGAAATTCAGCAGAAACAAAACAAGCAAAACGTTTGGTGCCGGCCTTTTAAATGCAAAATCATGTAAAATTCGCACAACATCTGGCATTGGACAGAATCCATCCCCCAATCAACCCTAAGCCGACCTCAAACCTACAGTCACCCTGAGAAGCGAACACACCGGAAAGGGTCTGCTATTGGTGAGCTTGGGTTACCCCCGAGCAAGCTAAGGCGTTGGACAGAATCCATGCATAAGAGTCATTGTCCGATGCCCAAACCCTGGGTTCGCAACAACAAAGCCTTTGTTTGCAGGGCCCCACTAAACGTGTTCAAAGCAAAACAACAACAAAAAAAAACATGCCATGAAAAGCCTCACTCCTTCCTGAGAACAGCCAGGAAATTTCCCCAGAGACCTCTCCCAGACAAAGCTTCGTGGGCCTGTGGTGCTGCCAACAGTCCCGGTGAACCTCAGCTCTGTGGCAAGGAGTTGAAAGCCACAAATGACTTGTGCGAAGGAGAAAAACATGGGTTACCTCCTCTAGATCCACATGAAACCCGATAAACGCGCTTGTTAAGAGGAAGCTGAAATCAATGGCTGCCCTCCTAAAATACCTGAAAGGGCCCAAGACCATGCTCAGGGGCCTCTTTCAGCTTGTATGCTCGTTTCTGGGAGGACGACCATTTAGAAGCGCTTTGAAGGGAAAATGCACAAAACCACCTGAATGGAAGACTTCCCAATGAGAATTGTCTAATTTTGATACCAATACCATCTTGCCAACACATTGACATGTGAATGCCTGGGGATGTGACTCTGACTTAAACCAGACCATCAGAAATCGACAATGTAAAGAACAAACAAGAGAACACGAGTCCAAACAGTGGGAAAGAATGGACGAATATGTCTCGTGGGAACTTCGATTCACCTTAAAACCAACAGGGCAAAGTAAAGCCACATTCTTGTCAGCAAATGGAAGGGAGTAGTGATTACATCTGATACTCGAAGATGGACAAGACCAACAAAACGCTGCTGCAAACAACAAGCGGCCATGGGAATCAAAGGGCACTTTTGGTGAAAATTGGAATTCAAGGGAAATCCCCTGCAAACAAAAGGAAACAAGAGCACCGTGGGGTGTCTGGGCTATAATCATTTCTGCAGGAGTCCGTTCCTACTTGCAAATACTTATAGAGCTGTAGCAAACATTTTGCTAGATTGACGTACCGTTATTAATCTATGCAATGTCCAGAAGGTCAAGTGTGCCTTGAAATCCTAACTTCACTGATCCCCTCAATATTTCAAGCAAACGATCACATCCAACCATGGCAAACAACCGGTTTTCTTGGGAACCCTTGCATTAGTGTTGCCCCCCGCCCCGCGAAAAAGAGAAGTTTAGGAGCTCAGGCAGGCAGGTTGTTTCTCGCTGCCTTCCATAAGCCCAACTCCCCCTAGGTCCTCCAGATTCGAGAGGTTAGAATAAGGGTCCCAACTTTTTCCGGTTTTGTCTATTTTAGCAGGGGAACCCTCCCCCAAAAAAAGTAACGGGTATATAAAAGGGCACCAATCGCTGGGGGAGACCTAGCCCCAAAGCGCGTAAGACTGGGAAGACGGATCCGGGCGTCCGCGCCCCTTGGAGGCTCCTAAGGTCACCTTCTCGTGCCTCGGACACGAGAAGCAGCGGCCAAACCGTGGCCGAGGGCCCGTTCTGTTGGCCGCCTTTTTGGGACTTATGGGACACGACGGGTCTAAGAAAAGCCCAAAGAACACGTATCTTGTGAAACCCAGGCACAACTTAACTCGTACACGCTTGGGGGCCTTTTCTGGTGCTAAATCATGGTCCGGAACAAAAGCAAACATATCCTCTGGCCCGTTTATCATCACCCCGACAAAATATAATTTTGAATGAACATGTATCCAGCAAAACAATGTAGGCTCGCATGAAATCTTCCCTAGGGAAATGTTTGGTGAGGACCCCTTGAGGTGCAGCATGGATTCCTTTCAGGGGAAGCCACCACCCCGCCCCTCCCATTTGTGGGGCTTCCACATTTTCAAGCAAAAAGTGATCGTTGCGCGAAGGCCAAAGGCCACACTTCAGCAAAAGCACTCGACGCATTCCATTCATGCCGTCCCATCGGTCAAACAGGAAAATGTCTAAACATGCTGCTTCGTTGGCTCCATCTTGAATGTTGACCCCGGATTCATAAACCCCTGTCTATTAATATGAGGGTGTCCCCGGTTTGAGTGGGGATTTATCACTTTTAGAGAGGAACACCCCCATATTAAGAAACAGGGGTCTGTTAATCCGGGGTCAACATTAACCTGCAGGGGGGTACTAGGTTTCTGTAGGAACCTTGGGGCCCCATGTAGCATAGCCCCTTCCAGAGCTGAGTTGGCGGCCCGCCCGACTTCTGCAGGGTGGCCTCGGTATTCGCGCGGCGGCCTTTGTGTTTTGTTCATGGTGTATATCTTGGAGGGCTCACTGGATTTCCCCAAATGAAAAGTTGATCAACTTACAGGTCGCGTCCATTGAAATCGCCCACTTTTGAAGGTTCCAAGAAGGGAAAAGGCTGGGAGAGCCTGTCTTGATATGGGGTTGTATTCGTTGAAAGGAACATCAAAGGCAAAACCCTCCTTTCGGGCCTGCGCCCGAAAGGAATTTCCGACGCGCGTCGCGTGCCTCCAAAAGACGCTTTTGCCCACTTCGCGGAGTTTCCTTGTGGCTCCGCGTGGTACGGCAGACCCCAGGTAACCCCTGATCATGCATACATCATATACAGCAACCATGTAACCATGACCTACTAGGGGTTCCCCGTCGTCTTTCCGGCTGGCTTCCCTGAGAACCAACCTCACTTCCAAGACGTTTCACTTTCTCAGCGCAGGGGCGGCTTGCAAAAAAAAGAAAACAGGCACTTTGCTCTCGTTGATCTTGGAGGGGCACCTTTCCAGAAAGAAAAGTTCTGAGTTGCCCCTTAGGGACCTGGAAATACAAGGCGATCACCCTTTTGGGGGCGACGAAAACTGGACCAAGCAGGTTGAAATCAACAGACTTCAGGTCGAGCCGCTTTGGCTGGGCAACTGGAAGCAACTGGAGGCAACTTGTCTCGTACCCTCTCTCCCACCATGGCACCTCACAGACTTGACACTCCAAGAGGAAACTTATCCGCCCAAATGCCCTCTCACAGGTGCCATGGGAGGCCGAGAATGGGACATGTCAATGACACAAAGTAGCAGACGATGGAAACACAGGCGGCTCTCAAGTACCAGTAAACTGGAGCAAGCGGAAACCCGGAAACCTTCTTGTTCCGGCTTCAGTTGGGGTCTGGTTGTTTTCTTGTATGCCAGCTGGGAGATGCTTCTTGCCAGTTGCCCTACGGCAACCAAGTCATAAGTTGCTGCCACTTCGTCGGGCTTTTGGTTCGGGTTGTGCTTGGACCAGTTGGGAACCAAAGGGTGAAATGTTTGCCTCACCCATGCAGTGAGAAAACCACGCGGCTCCAGGTGTAGGTGTCCTTTTGGGGCAAATAGATGGAGTTTCCCTGGTAGATGATTAAACCCCCAGGTAAACCGGGGCCATCTATTTTTAGACCAAAACGAACAAAAAGGACACCTATACCTCCAGGTCTTTCCATACCTTCGCTTTCCCCGTTGTTTCTCCCATGGCTTGGCGCCGCACATTGGCCGCAGCTTTGAAGGTGGTCTTCATCTTGCTGTCGCGCTTGCCCTTGAGACCCCCGATGGGCGGCAGCACCTGGCGCTGGAAGCCCGGACTTCGGAAACCAAGAGCCAGCAACTTCCAGTAGTGAAATCGGTTCACTTCAAAACCAAGGGAAAATAAACAATATTCTTCAGCAAACGGAAGAACTGCAAGGCCTGGGCTTGGTCGTTTAAATACCTCGCTTTTGACGGCGGCCTTCCCCTGAAGCTTGGCGGCCCTTCACGGCGGATCGCACAAACGCATCTCAGCGCATCCGGTTGATGGGCTGTTTTGTTTCTGCTTGAAACTGCCTGAAATCCAAGCCCTCTACGGCGTCCCCCATTGAGGGCTCTCTGATTTTGGCTTCCTTTAACCCAACCTGGAACCTTAAAAAGGTATCAACACCGCCCACATTTTGCCACCCACCCTGAAATCCCCCTTCCCCCCCTCCTCCTGGCCGCCTGAAGCAAACAATTCCCCCCCCCCCCTCCGGCCGCCCGAAGCAACACATACCAAGTTGTAAAAGCAAGTTGTTAATGGTCCCAAAATGTATTATTTTCCGAATGCCACCCTCTCACCATGAATCACAAAGATAAACAACCACATTCCCACCCCACCCCAAAACCCCCCCCCTTCCCCGCAACACACACCAAAGGCAAGCAAAAACAAACCAAAAAAACACGCCCGCGGCGCCATGCCGTCGTCCTGGCCATCTCCATCCTCCGCAGAGGCGCCCACCTGGCGTCGAGTCGACTGCGGTCCTTTTTCTTGGCTGATGGTTTTCTCGGGGGTTCCAAGCCAGCGAACGCCACCTCTGTATCTAGATTAAGGCACCAGGAAGGGAACCGCCGGTTTTAGTCCTTGGTTCCATTTGCTAGGGTTATAACCATTTTTGACCCATCAGTCGGGAATGACCTTCGGGTTGTTGGGAATGATCTTCCGGTTATTCCCTTAAAGAAAGCCATTGGTGATGGTTTACAGGGGCCTCATTCCCCGGATCAACTTTCTGATGCAAGAACTCCAGGACCCGAAATAACAAATGGATCCCCTAAAGGACCCTCATCTTCCATTTGCGTTTCAACTCCTACAAAAACTACACAACGCATCCACTAGTAAAATCGTTTCCCTCAAAAACCAAGGAACAACTAACCTGGATCACCGGTTGCTGCTTTTGTTTTAAACCACTTTACCCCCAAAGACCAGCAGACACTAAACAAAGCGATCGCAACTTGGCTATCTAGGACACATCTATTCCGTTCAGCCAGTGAAAGTCACAGGCCGCTCGCTTTCCCGTCTCCGGTGACCCGGTGACCCGCCCCTACCGCCACACGTATGGCGCTCGCTCGCTCGCGCTCCCCGGACGGCGGCGGCGGCGGAGGCGCGCGGCGGAAGCGGCGCGCCTTGCGCCGCTCGTGCCGGATGCTGGGCAGACCGCCGCTGCGGCCTTCCTCCGGCCTGACACAAACCAGCGAAAAACACACACCGAGGGGAGCCGAGGGGATCCGGGTCGGGAAAAAAACACGGGTGGTTCGTGGGGAGAACGTGAAGCCAACGGGAGAAAAAAGAAGAAGAAACCCGAGGGGTCGGGTCGGGGAGAAAAGAAAGGTTTTCGGGGGGAACACGTGAAACCAAGGGAAAAGGGGGAAGCCGAACTCCATGCGCTGTTCCTGGTGACACTGTTCAGGGAACCTGTGGACATAACTCGGACCTCTCAGGCAAAACCTTGGGCAGAACTCTTGGCAGAACAACCCCTGGGTGGATGTTCTTTATTTGCTCTCTGCGAATTGCGAAGTCAAGGAATTCAGTCCCTTTACGGCGAACATGAGGGGGAATCAATTCCTACTGTATGGGGCAACTGCGGTTGACATGGGGGAATCAAGCTGATCAAAGGGATGGTGGAAAAGAATGGGGGAAATCAATCCCGGGCAAATCTGGGCAGATCCTTGTTCAGGATTTCGTTTCAATGGCCCATGGCCCAGATGCGTCCTTTACGATTCTTTTCGGCCCCCAGAGGAATGGGGAATCGCTTCAAGCGGGATGTGCAAGAAACCAAATCCTCTAACCGCCAAACATCTAAAACTCTAAGGTTAGTGTGGCTGGGAACTGGGAACCGCCCAGAAACATAGGGAGACCCCCAAAATGTGTTGGTTCCCTTTAGTATCCCTTTGAAGCAACCACGGAAAGGGGTACCGATTCAAACAAAAACACACGCAGGCCCCTGTTAATCCACCCATCTAAACGCCGAACACATCTCAAAGTCAAAGGCTCCATACTGTGAAGGTTGAGAAATCCAACACCTAAAAAACCCAGGTTGGCAAATTGGCATTTACCAGGTGAATCATCCAGAAACCAGGGTGGCCGTGGGTCAAAACCAATGGGACCCCATGTTGGGGTAGGTGAATTCACCACCCATTTTAGAACCTATTTTAATGGAGATTGAATCGGATGTTCACTGAGGGTACGAGGTTTTGACCCATAGCCGGGTTTCTTTGGTGGTGCCAAATGGATTTCGCAACATCCAAAGTACTGTGGATGGACGAAATTCTGCACCACTTTGAAACCACAGGTTTCCATTGTTGGTTTGGTATTTACAAGGGAATCATGATTTGTGGGTTTCTCACATGGTGCAGGACTTCGTCCATCCACAGTATGGCTGAGAACCGCCAAGCAACAAATCAGGACTCCGCTGCGCGTCCGCCCGGATCTTGGCGTTCCGGCGCCGGGCTGCTGCTCCGGCTTGGCCTCGCTCGGCACAAGGGGGAACCCCCTGAGTCTCCGCAAAGGGTTGGGTCGTTGGAGGGTAAACCGTTTGAGGGAAGCCAAGACTCACTTCCTGGATTGGCCAAGAAGATCTGAACTTGCTGTTTGCCACTAGAATTTGATCTTCCAAAGAAATAGAAAGTCCAGGAACTCAGGGAGTGAGAAGAGGAAACCAACCATTGGAGCTCTCGTATGACAGCGCAAGGCAACTTTCAGGTCAGGAAGCCACATCCTTGAGGGGTCCTTTAAGGATTCATCCAAACAAAATCCTTCAGGGTGGGAAAGGTGATCTTTCAACTGAAAGGCTCGTGTCTGCATGTGTTTTTTTGTCCACATAGGGTTCAATCAAAATAAACCAGCCATGTATCACGCATGGCTTAGATGGGTTGCTCGCGCAGAAACCTAGGCCAGTTGAGGACAATGAATACTCTCCTGCTAAATCATATGGGCGGCCGTATCTTCAACAGGAGGTTCCAGAAAAATGATGGCCTCTTGGGTTCAAACAAGCAAGCAAGCAAGCCGACAGGACGCTGTTGGTAGACTACTGTGGGGCAATCTCTTTTGTTTGAGGCACCCCCCAGAAGAGGGTCCCCTTTTTCAGGAGTTGCCGCGCGAGACACACGAAGCCGGGTTAACCTTTACTTCCCAAAATCAAAGTGCCCACTATGCCTGCCAAGTAGCCACGGGCAAAAAGGGGGAGACTCCTAGCTCCTGTTGGTTGAACGTGGAAAACCCATCCAACACCCCGTTACAACAGCAACCCCTGGCAGAAAAGATTGAACCTTTTCGGAGATGGTTCCCCGACCCAACAAAAACAGGGGTGCACTGATTCAAACAACGCAGAATGTCTCCAATTCACAAGCTGAAAAAACAATATGTCCTTTTTTGAGGCTCGGTACCCCTTCGTTCTGGCCAGGGGGAACCAACAGCGTCCAAATCCAACACAGGCTGCTGGCTGCGGGTTTGTGCGACGACACGCCTCTTCAGTGTGAGCCCGACAAATCCCTGGCGTTCCACCCATTGGAAAACAACGAGGTCAGTATAACCACCATTGTCTAAGGAGGTTCCTGGTCCCTCAAACTACTCTTAAAAAGGGAATTTACCCCATAAGTTTGCGTTTAAGGGTACTTTGAGGGTCCAGGTTCATCTAGATTCGGTCAACGGGTCTTCGAGTCGAACGCTCGCTTGGTTTCCGGCTGGTAGGTCTCGGGATCGTGCTCCGCGTTGCTGACGTTGCTTGTAGCACTGATGCCCGCCTGGTGCAGGGGTCACGTGCTCCGAAAACGGGGGGTCGCGGTTGTGAAGGAGAAGGGTGAGCGAAAAGGGGGCGGAGAGTTACTGTATACCTGAATAAGAAAGCCCGTCTCTTGAAGGTGATTTGTGCTAGCAAATGCAAATGCCCCTCCTCCCCGCCCTCCCCCCCCCAAAAAAAAAACAAAAACGAGCAGGTTCAAGCTGGACAATTATCCCAAAGGGCTTTCCGATCCCGGGGCTCCGCTTGTAACGGATGCGGCCAGCCGCCTGGCGCTACTTTCTGTTTCTTCCCGCCTTCCTGTGAAGAATCACGCATTGATTTGCAGCATGCCTTGCCATGGTTTGGAACATGAACTGCGACTTGCCCTCACGGCAAACCAGAAGAGCCTTCTCCGGCCATCGGCTCCACGGACGTTTCGCGGGCTTGGGCGGGGAAAAATCCGAGTAAGGGGAGCCGGCTCACCCGAAGACCGGAAATCCGGTCAACAAACTACCCTCAAAACGAATGTCTCTTTCTCGCCAAAGACCCCTCAAGTGGTAGGCTTGCCAAGTTGAAACTGTACGGGAGCTGACGCCCCATTGGACCATGGACCCCCCCAACTTGACCTCACGGCTTAAAGGGTTCAACTCGGTGTTAAAGTTGAGACAGCTTTGGGTTCTTTGCTTCACTTGCTATACAGCACAAGTTAACTCGGCGTTGAATTCTGGCTCGAACGAGGCATTTTGAAGCGGCGGGTCGAAGTATAGCTTGCGATTGGTTGTCTTTGAAGGGCCCAGCAAAGCATTTGCCCGTCACAAAGTGGGTTGGTGATTAACAGACATGTAAATGGCTATGAACAAAAAGTACACTTCTAAAGGGTACCCAGCCTTTTCGCCCAGCTTTCTTTCACGACCTCCATGTTGCCTGGTCTTTGGGCCTGAAATCGTTAGCCGTTTTGCCGTCCAGAAACGTGCAACCCGTCCGTCGCGCCTTGGCCATAGAATCTCGGCCTGGGACTCGATTCGGGCCCAAAGCTCACCCGGGGTTCCTGGGATACCCTGGGGATTCAAACAATTAACGCAATGGACCTTGCAATAGAGACTCAAACAAAGAGAAAACTCACGCACACACACACACCAATAATACACACATCTAAACGCCGAAAACAAGGAACCACCGTACTGTGGATGGACGAAATTAATTTCGCACCAGCTAAGAAACAAGAGGAAATTGTTCGATTCCCCCAACGTACATGCCAACAAGTAGTGGTTTCCCAAGGAAATGGTTCGATTCCCCCGATGTAAATGTAATGGTTTCAACCATGGCTTCATTTCGTGGTGTGAACGGACTTCGCAACCATCCACAGTAGGATACCCTGAAAATTCAGAGCATGAAAACAATGGAGACATAACCACTATTGTTTACCAATCAGGATCTTCATCTAAATTGGGTCAGCCATTCTGAGGCCTGAGCCCAGAACCCATCTTGGCAAAGCTAAAGCCACCTGTACCAGCTGCTTCCATGATTGCCCAACTGGGGAAAGACTAGTTGGGTGACCCATGGACTAGCACACATGTTCCGGTATGCGGGGAAAAAACAATGGGAAACAAAAAAAATGACTTTGCATTTTGGTGCAAGACGGAACCGGAGTAGCATGGAACCCCTCAAACCCTTAGAACAAAAACTCCTTTTTTGGGGACTCCCCTTTGGAATCCATGTTAGTTTGTAGGTGAGTGGAACCTGTTTGGAATCCTTGAACCAGGACCCCTGCTGTTCCGGTCCCCAAAAGGAAAACCGACCCGCACGGCCAGTGCCAGGTACGGTGCTGCTTCCGAGTTCCGGGCCGCCGGTGCTTCTGGAGCCACTGGTGCTTTGCATCTGTGTGACCTGAGTCTGAGAATCACCGGGGACAAAACGTGGCTCAGTGACCCTTACAGAAAAAGAAGAGTCAAAACTAAGCCACCAGAGGACAGCAAGTTTTAGTCCATGGTTCCCTTCTGCCAGGGTTCCATTTTGAATACCCATTTGTGACCCAAAAAGCCTGTGGGTCAAAAATGGGGTCACCCCAAAATGGCTTGCCCTGGTAAATGGAACCAAAGACTAAAGCCTGCGGTCCAATTCCTGGTGGTTCTATTTTGACCCAAATGTGGCCGAGTGAGCCTTATAGAAAAAGATGTCTTTGGGGGGTTCACCAGAGTTCTGAGGTTTGACTCCCCATTCTCTTCACCCATGGTTCTGTTTAGAAACCAGCTATTTTCCGTGGAGGGCATGTGAAACCAGCTCCACCCATGGTCTTTTCCAGGGTCTGGCCAGTTGTTTCAAGACAGAAGAGAATGGGGAGGGTACAGCTCAAATAGTGGTGAACCCACCAAACAAAAAAAGGAAGAAGGGTGCCACTGAACCACCGGGGGAACAAACAGCCTGGTTTGTTCACTGAGTTCAAAGGAACACCCTCAGTGGAATCCGCTGTCAACATGTTGGGCAAAAATGGAAGTGCCACATATCACTTGGAAGAAGGAAATCAACAGCGAGAGCCGTGTTGCCGCGAGGCTTGCTTTTTTGTTTGGTTTTTTCTGAGGAAAAAGCCACCGCAACCGGGCCACCGTCAGATCAGGAGAATTTGTCTGGCCTACTGTGGATGGACAAAATCCTGCACCACCTAAGGAACCCTGGAGTGATGATCCCCTTGTAGACAACGGTTTCCAGGGTTTCAAAGTGGTGCGAAATGGATTTCGCAGCCATCCACAGTATGAGCATCTGATGTACTTCTCCCAAGACTTCCTACCTTCTCAAGGCTTAGTAGGGGTCCCTCTCTGCACGGTAATTACCTGGAAACTCCCCTGACACCACCACCACCCTCCTCAGCCTCGAAAAACTGTCAGCTTATGCGGTCAATAGCTGGTTTCGCCCTCTTCCCCTTGGACAGGACCTTGAAAAAAACACGGGCCGCTGCCCAAATCAATCGCTCAAGTTGGGGCCGTCTCCGCCGAAGCTATGAGGCCCCTGCAGCACTGGCCATGTCCTTCAACAGGGATCCGGATACATGAAACACACCTGAACATTGCAGCTTGTAAATGGTGGTTTCCATTTCTTTATTTTGGTGTTGAAAAAACAACATGTTTCAACTGGTTGCAATATGAGTTTCTTTTAAGGAGCCCTGTTCAAGGATGCAAATGCTGACAACATATTGCAGCTAAGATGTCTGTCGTGTAAAGAACTATCGCCCGAACTCAAGTGGGGGTCTCTGAAAGAATCAACGCTCTCCGCCCCCTTGCGGCTTCCCTTATATGAGGTTACCAAGTATGGCCATGTTTTTGGCTCGCAAAGGTTTCAGACATGGGAGCTTAGCTTAGTGAAACAGAAATTTGTCCCCCTCCACACGAAGGAGCCCCCAACGCCCTCAACCCGGCTCAACTAAAATCAGCAGCGCCCAAAACTCGTCTGTGTTGGTGGTTCTCCTTTAGAACAAATATATTGCTAGAAACTTCTGTGTGATTCAACAACCAAATGTGTGGGCCTGATAAGCTTTCAAAGCAGAACGACCTTGAAGATCAGTTGCCGCGACCTGTTCCATAGCAGAACCAACCGGCAGTCGCATCCAACTTAATAACACAGTCGTTGGTTGTGCTCTGCGAAGGTTTTTGTTGGTCATGTACACGCCTGAAGGTAGGGATTCAGCCATCTGATCGCGCAAGATGCGAAGCAAATTATTGCCACACCAAAACACGTCCGAAGACATAAATATGTGGAGTGGGAGGGGCGCAAGCGTCGTCTTCATTTCTAAACTATGCAAACAAACCCTAGTTTACGTCTTGATCAGGGGCAACACTGACTACTGGCCGCTTCAGCACCCCGTCCCCATCAAGTACAGGGAAACACTCGTCCGTGGCAACTGGACTGACACCGCCTGCTCACCAAAACACGTGTGTCTGTGACAGTGTGTGTTTTGGGTTAATTCCCGCAAATTGGGTTCTTTAAAGGGAAACGGAAAGGACACTGCCTACTTCAGCAGACGCCCCATTTTCGGGGGGGGATTTGCCCATGAATCCATGGGGTACCTTCCCCATTCTTTCCAGGCATCCTTCTTTCTACAAAACCACCGTTAGATTCTGGGGAAACAGCTGGTTTTGGAAAAGAACGATGGTTGAAAAGAATGGAACAGGAATCAATCCCTTGAAGGAGGGGGATCTTGCGGGAAAACACGAAAGGACGGCCCAAGGACGCCTACTTCAGCAAATGCAAATACGAATATTAGGGGGATTTAAGGTAGGCCGTGGGGGGGAGTTTTTTTTGGTTTGGTCTTACAGGGAAAAAACAAAAAACTGGGCTGCCCAAACCGATCCCCGCCAAAAGTTATTAACTTTTGGTGGGTTAAATGGACACTACCACTAAACACTAAAAAGCTAAAAGGCGAAGGAACCGGATGGCTGGCTTCGCCACCAAAAGGACAGCGCCAACACACGCCCACGCGCCACTCCGCGGTCCTTCTCCGCTTCCCGCAGCTCTCGGAAGTAGGACTCCTCGCGGGAGGGAGAAGCGAGAGCATGCGAGAGCTCAGAGTCCGAAAATTGAGGGGACATGCAACGGAAGCAAAGGCGGGGCCAGGTGGCTGTGGCTCAAAAAACCGGTACCAAAATGGAACCCTGGGAAGTGGAAACATGGACCAACACCTGCGGTTTGCCCCTCCTGTTTAATTTTGAGCCACGTCTTGGTGCATGTTGAGCTCTTGAAAGTGAAAAAGGTTGCTTTTTTGAAGGAGGATTTATCGTCGCTTGGGAGTTTTCTTTTTTGGGGGGGCAAGAACTATCGTCGCTTGGGAACTCTGGTCGGGTTTCAAAGAGCTCACAGGCAGAGTCAGGACTGAAGCGCTGTTATGTTGCTGGATGGTGAAAACCAACCGGGATCGAAACCAAGCTGTTCAACCGAAAAAAGAAAAACAACAAAACAAAAGAAACAACAACTCAAAACCAGGCTTCCTGAAAGAGGCTCAGACAAGAAGGAGCCTACCCGACCAAAGTTTGTAAAGGATGTCGTTTCAGGAGCTCCAAAGATTCATCCGGGGCCAACAGGGATATGCTCGACTCCCTCATTCAGCAAGTTGAAACCACAATTCAAACAATTTATTTGCTCCTCTTTCAGGTAAATATTGGATAACAAGGCATTCACATCAGGACGTGGGGTGAAACAAAATCAATGTAAATGACGCTCTCTTGGCACCTCGTTCCTTACCAAACCGAACACCATCCACATAAAATTGCGTTGTTCCCCGGTCATCCTTTCGGTTTTGCCAAGAGTTGTAGAAGCGACTTTTTGGCTTAGCCAGTTGCCAGTGGACCGCAGGCTTGTTCAAATTACGGCACTAAGATAGCAGCCTTTGCTGGAGTCCTTAAGAGCCTGCCTCGCGAGGATCCGCTCGTCTGGGTCATACCTAGCCGAAAAACCGCTCATCCATCGGTTCGGCTAGACCTCTCTTTGCTCCGGGTGGTCCAACTTTTAGCCTTAGCTGCACCAACTTTTAACCTGAGCTGCACCAACTTTTAACCTTAGCTGCACCAGGGGTTTGACTCCAAACAAAAGATGCCACGCACTACATTCTCGTCCAATCAGCACAAAGCCCTGTTTGGCTCGCTTGGAATTCCCGTGTTCAACATCAAGCCTCTACGCCCGGGCTGGTCAACAGGTTTGCAAATCCAATTGGCTGTGGCTCAAAAACGGGACCCAAATGGAACCCTGGCAAGTGGAAAGATGGACCAAAACCGCGTAACCCCTCCTGCTTAATTTTGAGCCACAGCCAATTCTCAATCCTTAGTAGGAACTCACATCACGCGGATCCCAAGCCAAGCGATACGAAGGCCGAAACTGTTTGCACTGAGGTCCTACGGGGGTTGGTGGGGAATATCCCGACTACCAGGTCCTGCAAATGCAACCCAGCGTTTCTCCGCTCAATGCGTGGAACTTCAAGCAATTAAGTAATTTAGCTCCCAAAGTGCGCTGGTACGTTGAAGTACAAACAAGCATGTGACCGGTTTGGGCGCTTTGGGCACAAGAAATGCCTTGAACATTGAAAGCCTGGCACCCAAATAAGTGTTTTCGGAGGGATAACATGCCAGCAACCCTGCCTAACCTTTATTTCGCATGCTTACGGCAGGTCGAAGCATCAAATCAACCTTGGTTAGGAAGCGGTGGGCGCGGAAAACACGCAGGAAGCGAAGAACCCGTTCCTCTCATGTTGGGTATACAGCTCAGCTACACACTGCTCAGCGGCCCATCACTGAGGTTGACCAATATCACCAAGACACGCAGTGAAATTATTGCTTGCTGGCTAATTTGGTCAGTATTAGTTGTAAAAATAAAGATCGGATAGCAAAAGGATGTGGACAATAGGCACATCCAAAGCGGCAATTTGTGTGTGAAGCATTCCAGCTATCATTGCAATGATGTTTTCCTTCAGACACACCGCAACATACTAATCAATCAGTTGCATCCCGGTCGTTGTATATATGATTATATATGTCGGTTCTCGTACCCCTTTAAAACCAAGCAAGGAAAATCAAACGGTGCGTGTGCCCCTTCAAAACCAACAAAAGGAAATGGAACATACTCATTTCAGCAAATCGAAGCGTATGGTGCTACGAATAGAATGGGGTTCTCCATGCATTAAAATATTGCCCATCCCCTTTTGGCTTCCTTTGGGGAAAACTCAGCAAGCGGCCCCAACCCCGGTCCGTGGCTTAAGGTCTCGTGATTCCTCTGGTTGATTCCCATCCAGCCATGACATCGATTTTCACTTTCAGGTTCCTTGACATCACAGATCACAAACACGGACCGCAACAAACACAACTGTGTCCTCCAAGAGGGCAATAAAAAAGGGAACCACCCACATATGGGTGGCTTAAAATTGTGGCCCCTAAGATACCGGTCTTCCCTGTGGCTTCCCTTTAAAGCAACCCCCGAAGAAGGGCACCCTCAACAAAAAGAGAACACTCCACACGCCCCCACGCCCTGACACACCTGACTCGCTTCCCCTGCCAGGCCCGGCCACCCCAAAAGCGCCTCATACTGTGGATGGACGAAATCCTGCACCACCTAAGATTGCCTAAAAAGGTGATTCCCTTATACAAACCACCCAACAATGGTTTCAACCATGATTTCATTTCGTGGTGCGAGACTCGCGGATTTCGATTTCAACCATCCACAGTCTCCATGTCTCAGATCGATTTATTTCTTCTAGGTTGTTGTCCGTGTTTCCTGTGGTTTGCTTCCCTTCCAAGCAACCCCCGAAAAGGGGCAAGAGAACACCCCACACGCCCCCACGCCCTGAAACACCCGACTCTCTTCCCAGGCCCGGCCCTCCCAAAGCGCCTGATGAGTTTCTTCATCAGCTCCACCAGGTCGACATCCGCGTGTGGGATGAGGCGCTCGATTCCCGTGCCCTCACGTGCTGGGAGCGCGACCAAGACTTAGGTGGCCCGGTGCGAGCTGCTTTTTGTGGAATTTTCGGAGTTTTTGGATTTTCAGATTTGCTGTGGAAGTCTTTGTCTCTCTTCTCGAGCTTCCCATTGTTTCTATTTGATCTGATCTCCTGGACGAACAAGGATCATGTGGTGTACGCTGGAAAATGCCGATTTGTTTGCTGGTCAAGTGTGTGATCCGTAGCCTCACCGAAAAGCTCAATTTGCAAACTTTAAACATGCCTAAGTAGGCTGTAAACATGTGCAAACACAAACACTGACAGCCATAGGGCACACCAACTGAAGGCATTTCTTCCAAGGGGCCTCTATTTTCGCCCAGTGTCACACTGTCGCTATCAACACTGTGCTGCGCATTTTCCCAAGCAGAGACTTTGCCCCAGAATTACGACTATCTGTTTCTTTCTTGGTGACGTTATTGACGAGAAAAACAACACCATTTTTTGTGTTTTGTTGGTTCTTAAACAAATACACACCCCATATGGCTGAATTGTGGCTCCCAGGTTGAAATGTTCAACCACCCAAGGAACATCCAAAAGCAAGCGACCGACAGGCTGGCCATTTGCGGCGATACAAAAGGGGGAAACGGGCGGAAAATACCTAGCCAACAAGAAGGGACAACGAGGCACGACTGATGCTTTTGATAGGCGAGCTCCAACACTAGTTCTTAGGTAGTTCGTCCCAAGATTGGTCAGGCTTCGTTTATGCCACCTGCCCAAAGCCGAGCTGTCAAGGCCGCCTTCTTCTCGGGGAAGTTGAAATCCATGTGAGAGGCCTTGGTGACACATGGCTCGCTGTGGGACCTGCGTTGGTCTCTGATTGCTGTTGGTCAAACCGAGGCCTCGAGCATCGCCTTCAGTCACTTTGCCCAAGCCCAAGGTACACCAGAAAACGATCTGCCGGATCCTGCTCCCCATTTCAAAACATGCACGGGGAAAAAACACAAAACAGGATCTCAGCTGCAAGCATCTCACTTCCTGAGAGGATTGGCCAAACAAAGTCTAAGCTGTTTGTTTGCCACGTACAGGGCGTCCCCTTTGTGCAAGGGGGATATAGGAAAACCGGGAAAAAAACCAAGAGAAACTTAAGGGAAACCTTAAGAGAAACCAACGGAAACCAAGGGGAAACCAAGGGGAAACCAAGGGGAAACCAAGGGGAAACCAAGGGGAAACCAAGGGGAAACCAAGGGGAATCAAGGGAAAACCCAGGAAACCCAAATAAAACCCGGAAACGCTGAGGAAACCCAAGCGGGAAACCCAAGACAAACCCCCAGAAAACCCGAGGGAAACCAAGGGGAAACAAGACAAACCCAGCCAAAAATCCGGAAAAATCAAGAAAACCCAAGGCAAGCCAAGGGTTTTTGCACCACACCAACGAACCCCAGGCAAGGAAAACCCATGCCCGCCCGGCCCGTGGGCCCGGCGTTGCGCCGGAACTTCCGCGCCAGAAGTTCCGCCGGCGGCGTGCCCAAGACCTCGGCGCGAGGCGACCACCGCTGGAGACAACCAAAGGCTTGGCTTCTTCCGTTTGCGTTGTCGCCCCCTGGAAAACCTAAAACCATAGGCCATGGGTCAAAAACCCGTATCGCCAGTGAACATCCCAATCCCCACTAAAATAGACTAAAATGGGTGGTGCACCTACCCCAAAATGGTACCATTGGTTCTGACCCACAGCCATATGTCCAGTGATCGATTCCTTTTAAAACCAACAGGGGAAGATCAACCATATTCTTTAGCAAATGGAAGGTTGCTGGTCGCAAAAATGGGTGCTGTGGATGGTTGGGTGCTTCTGTGGATGGACGAAAAGGATGGAATTTACCCAACTTCAATACGAGCTACTGTGGACAAATCCCTTCGCGCCACCCAAGAAGTCACGGGAAACCAGAAGGTTGGTTGGTCGCAAGTCCCGGGCCGAAAAAATGGGTGCCTCTGTGGATCAAATGAAATCAATCCACGCAGCACTTTGAAACCATGGTGGCAACCACTAGGATTTACGTAGGGGAATCGAATCATTCCCGTGACCTTCTTCGGCGCTGCGAAATGGATGGCGTCACAGTCTGTGCCGATTTGCCCCCCGCCATGCTGGCTTTGAATTAGCACAGAACAGGCTCACTATTTGACAGGCAGTGGGGGGTGCTGGTGGACGTCTGCTCCCTTTCTTGTGGGGAAAGCGACCCTTTTTGGGTAGCACATCTCGATTGTGGCGTTCTTGTGTGTTGTGGCGGAATAGGTGTTCTTTAGCACCCAAATGTTTGGGTGGTTGAAAATTCATAACCCATCCCACTTCACAACATGATTGAGAACCGGACACACAGGGGGGTCGACTTTTTCATGCACCAAAGGTAGCATATCTTGCCTTCGAACGGACCATAATTGGCAAACAAAATACATAATAAAGAGTCTCAATCTTCTTTGCCTTTTAATTCTTGTTTCTGAGGCGTCCTTTCTGCAGCGGCTTCCTACGGAGACATCTCTGTTTCAAGGGCCCTCCCCCTAACAGAACGCAGGAGTCTTGATCTGAGCAAGCACCTGTGCTTTGGAACTGCGAAAGCTCCACGACCTATCTGAACGCTAGCTGTCGTCCTAGCCACGAATGGCGCCACCGTGCCACCCAATACTGTAGTCACACGACTCCCGATTGTTTCCCGCATGTTGCGGGAAAACATGGAGCAGAGTTGAACAGCCGTAGATAAAGTTTATCCACCATTCTGGCCAAGTCAACGCATCTTAGCCAACAACGTCTGACAAATCTGTTGGGACCAGCCCTTGTCTTTCATACCCGGGACGGCAGGAAATCACTTGATAGGCTTCCTCGAAATTCAGGCCGGTCAGAACCTCGACCAGCTGCGAGTGCGCTGTTGAGCAAGGTGACAGCTGGTCCAAGGCCCCCGCATTGTGGATTTTCTGGATTTGATCCTGGCTGTGAAGTCGGTGCAAAATGGGTATCCCTGACAAATGGAGTCTCAGACCAAGATACACCATCCCTTGCTGGTGCTTTCCTTTAAGACTCTTTAAGGGGACCCCTGGACTGGAATGCTGTAAACCATCTGTTGCTGGTGGTTTCGCCTTTAAGGGGACCAAAGCCTGGGTTCATTCAACCATTCCCTACCGATTTTGCACCAGCAAGGACAGGGCGAACGAACTGGTGATAACAGGTGCGAGTATTTGCTGACTTTTGCTTGCCCGGGCTCAGTTTCCGAACGGAACCCAATCCAATAACCACGAGGTCTGGTAGCGTTTTCCCTCATTTGGGCGTCCCATCCTGAGTACATGGGGGGATATGGGGTCCCGGTGACAGCCAACGTCCACTTTGGGTCAAACAAAAACCACCCTCCGAAGAAGTGTTCATGAGGGAGTCAGCAATTTCGCCGCAAGGGCTGGAGTTCTTCGACAGGAGCCAGAAAAAGTCTAACCCATCGCAGGATTGAACGGAAAACCCTCGTAGGTGATCTTGGAACTGCGATGTACGATTTTTCCAAAAAGGGGAAACATGAGGGTGGGTCTTTTTGGGGGGGACCCCAAATGGTGGTTCTCTTTTTGGCTTGCCTTCAAAACCACAAAATGATGCCGTCAAAAACTCACCCACGAGAAACCCGGGTCAACATTTTGATGAAGAATTGGCCACTGGGACGACAACAATGTCCGAACCTAAACACGGCCTTCAGGTGTGTTTGATTTGGACTCCTGGACCGACATGCTAAATGTTGCTAAATGGAAGGAACCGGTCGTCTGCTCCAATGCTGAAGGATGCATTGCCAGGGTCTTCAAAGGCAGGCGTCCATTCCGGTGCTTTCGAAACAGCACGGGCATAATTGCCTAACATATCCCAAAATTGCAAGCCTGGATCGCCAGTTGCTGCTGTTTTCCATCCACCTTACCCGACAAACCAGCAACAGTGACTAAATGTGACTAAAAAAACAGCAACTTGGCTATCTAGGAGAGTCCTTTTCTGGCCCTTGAAGCCGCTTCCCGGGCCTAACGGTCCTTTAGTAACTACCTTGCTGGCCCAGCTTGGGTCCATGGCAAATCCTTTAGGTACGTCGTCCCTCCAAATGAACCACCCTTCAGGGAGACAAGCAAAGCCCTACCCCACCCCTCTCAGACCTCCTAAGAGGCTCTTCCGAACCTTCTTAAAGAAAAATGAAGAAACAAAAAGAAACAAATGATTGAGAGCCCTGCGGTTGGGTGTGCCATCCAGGTGTTCCTCCCCACCCTTGCAGCCCCCCAAAACCCCCACACCGCACGCCCTGAGCGCGGTCCATCTCATTCTGACCCGGGAAGAGAGGGAAGAGGGCGACGATTTCGAAGCAGACACCTCGCAAAAAAAGAAAGAATACAACAAAACACGAACTTTCGGGACATGTGACCACGGAAGGGGCGCGAGAAAAACAAAAAACAAAAACAAAAAACACGAAGTTCCGGGACATGGAACCCCCCGAAAGGGGCTCTATAGCACTGTCGATGGACGAAATCCTCTTAGGCACCGCCGTTCAGAAACCCTGATGTCTGATTCGATTCCCCAACGTAAATACTGACAATTCTTATGGTTTCATGGTGTCATTTTGTGGTGCGAACGGATTTCGCGACCATCCACAGCTATGTGCCGCTTAGTTTATTTTCCTTGGGCTCGATCTGAATTTTCGGGGATGCGAGGTCGTTTGCAGCTTGCCGAGGTCTGATCCACGCGAATGCATCGCCTTCGAAACTCCGACGTGGGTGGCTCCGCTCATAGGAACCTAGACACTCCTTGTCTAATTTCCCCCAAACCTTCCATGACCCTCCCTACCAAACCGGAAAGCTGGTGTTTTTCCATGGCACCAAAACAAAGGCCCTGAGCAATGAACCTACGATGTCCTTACAGAACTCCTGGTAGCTTCTTGGCTCCCTCTTTAAAGGCAAAATTGGATACCCCCAGAGTCATATCTATTTAAGACCAAGTAGAAAAATACAAGCACACTCTCACAATCTATATTTGGTTGGTAAATGGGTAAATGAAGTACCGCAAGAAGGTTCTCATGTCCATCCATTTGTGGCGGTCTGTAAGTGCCATCGAACAAATCTGCGTTGTACTAGTTTCTCCCTGAGGCAATTCTTGCTTCCGGCTCGCCTCGTGGCGAGGTGCCACACCCCAATCAGATCGATCAAGGGCAATCCATGTGCGTGCGAGGGGCCCTCTTGGCAACGATGCTAGGTCCTCCAGTAGAGAGGTTAGAATAAGGGTGCCAACTGGGCGACCTAGGATGTGCAAAGCATCCCTTCTCAAGAACTTGCTGGTGCTCAGTAGGGAATGACCGAGTCCGGGTGTTGAGAATGAACCGGAAGGGGGATTCCTTTGAAGAACACCACAGGGGATTGTTTGTACGGGTCATTCTCTCATGAATTGCTGAGAAACACAAAGAAAAGGACAGTGCTTTGAAACGGGGCTCTTCACTTCCGTGTTGGCTTGTCACCTTGCCTTGTGGTGATGTGGCAAAAGGACAACTTGTGCGGGTCCCAAAAATGGGCAGCCAGCCTGTGGTTCCCTTTCGAATGCTCTTAAAAACACACCAAAAGGCAGCACCTTTCAAAATGCCACAGGGCAACTGGGCAAGTCAATAGTGATAGTGTGTCTGACAATAAAACAACTTGCCCGCTGATTGCAGCGAGCTGACAAAAGCAAGCAAGGGGCGGCGTTTGCAAAGCTGAGCAAGAGACAGCCAGCCGCAAAAAGGTCCATCTTGAAGTTGTAGTACCCGTCCTGGGCACGACTTTTTAACCGACCCATGGTTGCGGACATGCCTGATGCCAAGGTGGGCCATCCTTATGACTCTGTGACTTTCAAAAAAAACCTTACCGTGGCTAACACCTTCTTTCCCACAAGCATGAACCGGACATGACGAACTCCTTCCCAAAATTCAGGAAAATTTAGAGGGTTGGGACCTGGCACTTCCTTCATGGAAATGGGGTTGCCTTGTAAGTGGATTGTCCAGGGTTTGTTTACCCTTTGAAACCACCCCCAAAAAGGAGGACACATTCAACCCCAGTGCTTCCAAGTGTTCTTTACAGGAACCAAGTATGCCCATCCTAGCTTCCCCTGGTTACCTAATATATGTAACTGGAAGCACTGGGTTTGCTTACCCTTATTAAAAAAAGAAGAAGAAAGGACACCTTCAAACAAGAACACCGCCATAATCAGAGCTGGTGCCGAAGCTTTCGAGTTGGCGAGGGACGTCTTTCTTTCTTAGTGCGTCCGAGAGTCCGTAAGAAGGCATTCAGGAGCTCGGTACCACCTGAGTCGCGCAGCTAAGAAGACTGGTCACCAGGCTGGGCCAAACGCTTTGATTGAAGATGTTACCACTCTTTTCGAGTAAGCAACCTGCTGGTTTCCCTGTGAAGCTAGGGGGGTCTGGTTGTTAAAACAAGCTTTGCCCAACCATGCTCACCGGTTTGTTTGCGCAAAAAAGTGTGCTCACGGAGGTTATAACCCATGCATGGACCGGCTTGACATGTCAAACATGTGTTTACAGAAGTTACATGTCTGCGCATGTAAGGCGTCTTAGAAAATCTGGACCGGCTTCACCGTCCATGTGTTTGGCATCTTCCGCGCTTTCAGTTTATTCCCCCCTAAACCGCGAGGTCGAGGACCAAAGGTGTCCAGGTGGGGGCCTTTGTTTGAGATCCCTGGTTAAGTTGACTGACTTCAAGTTGCTTAAATGGAAACCCAACCACCAAACCCTACAAAACTAAAAGCCCAAACAACAACTAAACACCTGAGGAAAAAACACCACTAAAAACCTAAGGGGACGGCTGGGAACCGCCAAGAAAATAGGTATCATTCAAGTAAGATTCTTCGCTCACTGGGCGCGGGATGCAAATGCGCTGAGGGCGCCTGGATGGTTCTCTGTCAAAGGCAGTGCTAGGCATGGCTTCCGAAGGATCTACAGCTTGTACAAGCCGTGTCGGCTGACTTACGCGCGTATGTTTTTCATATTAGCCTACATACTGTGAATGGATGAAATCCATTTCCCACCACCTTGAAACACCTAGAATGACGATTCCTCAAAAAATACCGGCAAACAATCTAGGTCCAAAACATGCCTCAAGGAAACCCCGTGAAAAACTCAGACCTTGTGGACTTGTGGATGGTGGTCAAACAATTGAAGCAAACCAACTGGCTTCTGGGGGTCCCCGCATTCTGAACACAGGAAGGAATGCCAAACCGTGCTTCCAAGTGTCTGAGCCTAGTAGAATCATGCAACCGCATCCCATCTTCGCTACTCTGTTGGGATCTCCCCCTGCAAAGGGCGCCCGACCCGGTGGTCAAGTCGGAAAGATTTGGAATATTGCCCAGCACAGGTCAGGCTTTGACAGCTGAGTGCTTCCAAAATATAGGAGCCCTTAAACATAACAACGCCACGCCAGCAGGAAACCACACATCTTCGGGCGTCTACCCAGTGATTCCATGTCCCTCCAGGCAGCCAAGGGCTTGGTACCCGACACCAACCCCAAGCCCTAAGCCTACCCTAAGCCCATCCGAAACTTTTTTTCACGGCCCTCGGTATGGTAGCAAGCAAACCCTGTTTTGCAGCCCCCTTCCAAGAATGATTCTTGACCCAAAAAACAAAAATCACCGCCAAGGACAGTGAGGGGTCCCCACCAACCATTGGCTTGTAACTGGGATTCGCTGGTCGCCCAAAGGCCGCTCTTCGCTGAGGCGCCGGGTGGAGATGTACTCCGTAAACCTCAGTTGCCAGGTTTACGGGGAAGGGGCCGCAAGGGGTCTCCAACTGTCCAACCACAAAAACTCGATGCGAAACTGGGCTGCCCTCAGATCCCTTGCTAAAAGTTTAATTTTTAGGGGGTTGCATGGACATCCCCACTAAACCCTAAAAAGTAAAAAGGCTAAGGGGATGGCCGGGAGCCACCAAGAAAAGCAACTGAAGGTTTCGACTTTCTGGCGTTGTGTATTTAGTCTAAGCCAAATATAAAAGGATATCATTGGAGAAAAGGGACAGCCGAATTAGCTCCAAGGCTGGAAATCCCTCCCAGCAACTTCACTTGGGAGACTCGGTGGAAATGGATGCCCAGCCGGGTGCTGTCACTCGCGCTGAAATCCGATCAAGAATAGGCCTAAAATGGGGTCTGACCCCAAAATTGCGGGAGCCCTTTAGCCCTGAATGGTTCCCTGGGCTACCACTTTGCGCCAAACCATCCCAAAGTGCACCCTCAAATACATCAAGACATTTTTTCATTTGGCTGCCGCCGATAAAACGCAAAAAATACCAAATACCTGGATCGCCAGTTGCTGCTTTTTTCCATGAACTTTACCCCAAAAACCAGCAACAGTGACTGAAAAAAACAGCAACTTGGCTATCTAGGTACTACAGTAACCAGCTTGGTAGCCCCTGGACTCCTTCGAGGCCCTCAGCCTTCCAATCTTCGGCCCTGGCCCCTTCAAAGGGTCGAATGATGAAGCGCGAGTGGGTTCTTCCAAAACAACACGTCTGAAGGTTGGACTCAGGTCGCCTGGAGGTTCCCTTTTAACCCAGTTCCTGAGTTGGCAAGAAACAAAAAGTCCAAGCCTTCGATTGTCTTCCCACAAAGTCTGTCCAGGAACTCGGGAAGTGAGTTATACAAAGGGGATCACCAAGGGCTCCGGATGCATCGGCTGCCACTTTCAAACTAAATGGTTCTTGATCATGGGAATGGTCCGCGCTCCCAACATTCTCTGCACGAGTTTGTTTTCAAAATCCAGCGGACAGGTATTGGAACTTCACAGGGTGGATGCCCTTTTTTGTTTCCTCTGGGGGGGGGGGATTGGGAATGCTTAAGACTGCGTCAAAGAGAAGCAGCATGTTGTGGTGTTCAAGTATGTATGACAAGTGCAGGAACAAAATAATACAAACCTGCAGCGCATGTGTTGGAACAAACAACAACCTGTGTGGGCATGTGTATCCTTCAGTCCCCGTTAACCAACCTGAACAGCACCCTCAATAAAGCAACACACACACACACACACACAGACACAAACAAACACACACGTGTCCATTCCCGCTAGGGAGAGGTTGTTCTCGGGCGTCCGGACGGCTGACGAGAGTAGATGCCGCGACAGCTACCCAGATCTGCCAGCTTGATCTCATCCTTGGCCCAAGGCAGCGGCTGGAGATCCCCAGCCCCCAAAAGGGGTGACAGGTGACCAGAACCATGCTTCAAGAGTTGAAAAGGCGGATCTCCACACCCATTCATGGCTGGGATCGTCCCTTACCGGCCAAGAACCGGGGTTTTGATGGCTCACGTGCGCTTTTCCATGCATTCCCTTTGCACTTACAACAATGATGGGGAATGGGTCTTGATTGGGGGTACCCCCCCTCCATACCCGGGTTTTCATGGCTGAGCTTCTGCGTACACTACCTTTGCACTAACAACTAATGATGGGGAATGTGTCTTGATTGGGGGCATCCTGCTCCATGTGCTACTCGGTGGGTGGGGACATCTACAGCCAATCGCGCAAGGTGCACCAGCTGGGAGGTTTTGCCCCCTCAACACGAAACCTTGTCAAGGTTGTTTTGTTTTCTTGGACAGGCATGTTGAGAATGCAAAAATCACCTGGGTCTGGATTGACTTGTCTTGATCAGCTTTCCCTACTCCACACAAACACTGCACACCATGTACACCTCTGGAAGCGCATGGCGGCCTATGGGGGCCATGCTTACTGGCACGACTGCAAACATGTGCTACATAGAAGACCTGCGTCATAGTCAACAACTGCCATGCGCAAATGTATGTTGTTTCAATACGGCATTGTCACATCATCATCCACTTTCTGAACATCCATCTCGAAGAGCTTAAACCGCAGCGGCAGCAGCTCGGAGAGTTTGCTTGCATGCATGTGTCTTGAGCTAGAGGGGCGCGAAAGAGAAAGCCGGATTGATGGGCTTCTATTGAGTGGAAGGTCGGCTTTTACTTGCACTGCGTGGGACGAGAATTGGCTTTGATCGGTTGAGCCAAGAAGTGTCCTAGGCAGGCAGCAAAAGATGGCAAAATGCAAAGCTGCACTCACTTGGGGCTGCAAACAGACCTCAACCGCCGTTGGTTTCAATTGTGCCAACGTCACTGTACCAAATGGAACCCCCAGCTGGACCCGAAAAACCCAGAATACAGGGTTTAACCCAAATGTCAGATCCGTCCATTCGCTTTGGGCCACTGAGTTAGCACCATTCGGGTCTCTCATTCTTGGGTGGGATTGGGCTTGGGAAACCAAAGCAGAACCGAAATCCAAACATCTCTACTCTTGGTATGGTGGCAAAAAACTCACTGTTTTTTGCGGACCCCCAGTCAAAATGAACAGAGCCAAAAAACTAAAAAACCAAAAAACATGCCACGAACAGTGAAATCCAAATTTTGGGGCCCAACGCCTGGGTTCATGGAACCAAATTCCCCACCTGTCGCGCCAGTCCCTGAGCTCCGCGTCGCGAATCATGCGAATCGGGGAATCGATTGGAGGCCCCGGGCGTCCAGGAGCAGCAAGTTCTCCGGCCTACGGATGAACGAAAGCCGGGGAGTGGGGAGGTGGGTGGGGGGGTGGGGTGGGTTGGGTTGGGTGGGGTTGGTGGGTGGACCTTTTGGACCTTGCTTTGAAGGGAAACCAAAAGAAAAGCCACCATTTTGTCAAAAGGCCTGGTGCAAACTGGCCGGAGTTGACAAACTAGAGTTGTCTGGTCGTAAACTGACGACACCGCCTGACAACAATAGGATTAAAGTGTTTGAACCGAAAAGGCAAGTCACATGTATGAGCTGATGTTCCAGGTAAGGAGCCCTGCAGCACAAAACCATTGTCTAGTGTTGATTGTTGAAGGGTGCCCTTTTACAAGGGGTCTTTGAAGCAAAAACAAAGCGAAACGGAAGCCGAATGCCGGTAGCGTGATCTAAATCAAGCAAACCCAAATGCCGGTCTAAATCGAACAAACCCAAATGCCTGTCGCGAAGACTGGGGGATTGGCGGATTGGCCAGCAAAAGTAACCAACTTCTTGGCTTATCACTAAAATGATCCAATTCCAGTGACTAAAGTCTGAAACGGACCTCAGGGAGTGAGATGTGGCAAAGACTGGGCGTGAGGATTTTGAGGCTTTATGAGGCTACCTGTTTCATGTTGGTCTCCTTCGGGAAACCAAAAGGAAACCGCTCCAAAGGGGTCCAAATCTGAGAAGCGCAGATTTCCGTTTGGCAACCAATCCAAACCGTGCTTTCTTGTTTTGAGACAGACCGATATTGATCCTTTTCTGGACATTGCAATTGGCTCGTGTGTGGAGTTTATGGTTCGAGATACGAGGTCCTTGGGCTTCATTTTGATTTCCCTGGAAACCAAAGGCAAACCATACAGCTGCCAAAGCCCCAAGCCGTCCCCCTGAGGTTGATGCTTCACATCGCGGTGGAAGATGCCATTCCGGTGCATATGGTCTAGTGCCTGGCGCGTCGTGCTCAACCCAAGTGGGTCTTTCTCAAAACAGTGCCCTTTTGGTGGTGAGAGGAAACAAAAAGGAAACCAACCCCTGAAGGGGTCCGTACATTTGATGAACACCCACATTAAATGGTAAGTAGCTAACCTAGGTAAGGTTCATTCCCGGGCAATAAGCCGCAAACAGTGAAAACCCATCTTTCAGATTTGACATGTAATGCTTACAGTGCTTGAGATCAAAATTTGCCTCAAAATAGGGCTCGGAACCCCAAAATGGGTCGCTTCCCTTTGGTTTCCTTTAAACCAACCCCAAACAGGGTAATTGCGATTGTAATACACAAGAGACGCTCATAAGTTCTTACTAATACCTAAGATGCCGGCGACAGCCCAAATTTCCCGATTTGCTCGCTTGACCGATTCGGCACAAGACTGGCGAATGATTCGGACCTGCTGCCTTTGGCGGCAAAGGATTTGGGGCAAGGAAGGCCACCCATTTCGTGGCTTCCCATTTTGAGATACCCATGGCAACAGATCTCCAAACAAGTCTGAGAGCCGCTGCTGTGTCGCCACCAAAGCCTGGAAAAACCTTTGGGTTTTAGGGTTCAGGTTCTAGGTTTTAGCCACTTGTGGAGGGGAACCCCTTGCTTTGACAAACTGGGGTTGATTCATATGGGGTCAACATTACTTGCCACCTTGTGAATTCCTACATTGAAAAGGACACATGGACACATGCCCAGAAACATTGTGCCTGCATGAGTCAACCGTCGCAGCTCTTTAGCACCATTCTCACGCTTTTAGCCGAAGGAGCGACGACCAAAAAGGAACATTCCAAAGTAAAAGGACAACCACATCTCCAATAAGGTCCCTAAGGAAACCCGAAGTCGGTCCCTAAGGAAAACTGATTTAAGTCCGACCAAATTCGACTTCCCGATTCGAAGGCCCCAAAGGCACATGGTGGATGAGGTCATTCCTTCCTGGAGCAATCGTTTGCGGCTCGGCCCTCTTGAGGTACGTGTCATATGTTGACCAAAATGAAGGTTGTCCTAGTTTCCCTTTGGACTGTGAAAAAGGTGCAAACTCAAACACACACACACACACAGAAAAACAAAAACACAAACACAGGCACAGACACACACACAGTCACACGCACACACAAACACACACCATTGGCTCGGTCAAAATGAAACCAGGTATTCAAGTGGTCTGCCCAAACCCCTGCAAAGAATCAAAAGGGTGGACATGCGCTGTCTGGGACTGTCGTGTACTACTCTCCTTGGATTTTGATCTCAGCTGGCCCATATGGAAACCTCGCGGATTAAAGGAAGGTTCAGCCACTGGAAGCGGTGATGAGAACGCAACCAATGCAACTTCCTTCCACCCTCTGGGCCCATTATTCTACCAGGATCAAAGTCACCCCCCAAGCGGTAGGTTAAAAGGAAGTCACTCCAATGTCTGACTTTGATACCCGAAAGAAACGGTCAAAATAATGACCGGGCGGCAGATCGTCGGAAAGGGTCGTCAACTCGTCAGCACGCGCAGCACGCGCTTCGCTTCTTGGCACGCGGGTCCGGCCTTCAACATCTCGTACATGTAGTGTTTCACCTTGCGAACGACTGCATGAAATGCATCCTAGGCCAGTAGTGGTAGTACTAATACTACCACATGGTTTCGCCATGATCAACCCTGGTACTTAAAGGGACACAACCCCATTTTCTTACTTTGATAGCCCCAGAAACAGTCAACCAATGATCCCAGTAACAACGTGGTTATAATCATAGCTAATCCGCATCAAGGGATCCCCAGACAAGACGATTAATCCATCCGAGCGAGTCCCGCTGTGAGGTCATGTCGCTACAATTTGCTCAGTCGTGACCTCTGACACAAGGCAACATTGAAGATCGACAGTCATGAATAGACCTCCCTGCGGCAACATGTTGTGTAAGTAGGTCGGCAAACGTCCAAAGAACAACCGCACCGATCATCGGGTTATCCAGCAATGTCACACACCAACAAATCCAAACAGTTGCATACGAAAGCAACAAGATATAATATATGGTGTTAAATCCGTCTCCATACTGTGGGTATGTCAATGCGTGAGAGCAGTCATGTGACATTCTTTGATATACTTGGCCGTGCGTCAAAATATCGGCACAAGTTTTCGAGCGGTGTAAAAGGGGACTCCCGACATGAAACCACAACTAACGGCTTCAACAGGCTTTGACGGATCCTGCCACAATTTTTCACAAGGCCATATTTATCTGGGTGTCTCTTAAACGAGGAACCCCGCAACATCTGTGCCTGTCCAGTGCTTTGCCCTTAAAACAACCCCAGCAAAGGAACTGCACCACCCTCTAAGACTCTAAAATCAACAAGGTACCTATCAAAGGAGTGCCCGCCCCCAAAACGAACCATCCAAAGCCCGAGCGCTCAACCACCACCCCGCGGTTGAGTACGTCTAGGCCGTCTAGGTGTCAGCGTTCATTTCCCAAGTGACATGGAGCCTTGGCCACCCTCCCAACTTCCAGAATAGCTTCTGGTGAGTGTGCCCCATGTGGTTCCCTTTACTACCATAGACCTTAGAGTTCTGGGCAAATCACTATACATCCCAGACTGCACATTTGGATTCACTAATCAACGGATGTTCATCGCGGGTGAACTCGTTTTACCCACGGAAAGGTGAGCTAGATCTAAACCTTGCAAGCAAACATATGTGGCATGGCAGAACCGCCTTGTTTTGGCCTATGCTCATGGTTTTCTTAATAGGAATCACAATGGTTTTGTTTGGATCCTCACAGGCGGATGACGTCATACCTGTTAACCCCAAGTAAAGGAACCGTTCTTTTTGACCACGGCTCATGTTGACTCGCAAGCGAAAGCTGCCTTCTGCTCAGGTAGGTAGTGCCGCCGGCCCTTGATGGCCTCATAGAGGTTCATGTCCTGGTCGGAGGGAAGAAAGCATCCATCATCTGCCTTTCCTAGCTGGGTGTAAATTGTGCAAGGGAGGCATTCCAGGGTATATGACACATTTGCTACATGGCTATGGGTCAAAATTGAAGCGCCAAGGGACCGCATAGTTTAGTCCATGTTTCCACTTGCCAGGGTTGCATTTGGGGTCCGTATTATTGACCCACACCCCGATACTTGACCAGCACGGACTATTCGCTGTTGCCCCGCCGGTGCAAACAGCAGTGGAGGTTAATCTTCTTGAGATGAAGCAGGACATTGTGCCAAATTGAGAGTCGTGCGCAAGCAACACCTAGGAGGTGGACACTATTTACATGGGGATGTCATGTCCACCACGACTTTCGAGGTGCTTCCCGCATCAGACGTACATAGCCAGCTTTCGTCCCTGACACAAAAGAACCCATTTGGGTGTGGCTCCATATTAAACAGACAGCTAGGCTTGCGCAGGTATTGGTCCTTGGTTCAATTCCCCTTCTGTGCGCTTATGCTACCTTTCTTTGAGCCACACCCCACGGCCAGATTAAAAAACAAAATCTTGACCGAGATGATTTTCCAAAAATCCGGTGCTTTCCAGGCGCCCCCCAGCCCCCCCCCCCCCCGAGCCCCGGCTGCCGGCTGAGCTTTCAGGCCATGAGCTCGAAGACCAGCGCCAAGCGCCCCGTGGGCTCGTCGTACAGCACCTGTCGCCGGCGAAGCGAGTCGATTCGCGTCGCGAGGATCGGTCGGTCGAGGGTCGCCTTTTGGGGTGTGCCCCAAAACGTTTGGGGGGGGACCCCGTGTTGTGGGGGTCGCAGTTGTTGCTTTTTTTGGGGTTGGGGGTAAATAATCTTGGGGTTGGTTTAGAGGGGAAGCCGCAAAGGAGACAGTGGCCAGTTTTAGGACTCTGTTGAGTCAAGGGTTTGCGCCTTCTAAAGGACCAGCAGGAGGGCAGAGCAACAATTGGTTGCCTTTTCGGGGCTGCCCCATTGGATTGGACTTTGTAGACCTGGCTCCCCTCTTTGGCTGGTTCTGCACATCTTAACCTGGAGGCCCTTTGGCGGCAAATTCTTGGGCAGACTGCGATTCACCGGCCGGAAACAAAGGCTACGAGCAGCTTTTGAAGAAACCCGGTCTTGGATCGACCCTTTCGGAACTCCTCGCTCCATGGAACCGGTGGAGGCCGTCACGCATGTTTGTCCACAAGTGCCATTGGAATTTCTCAGCTAAAATGGGTAAGCAAAACATGACGCCTGCCATGAGTAGGATCTAAGGAAGTAGGCCAAGTACAATATGCCGGGGGGGTTGGATGCAGGGGGTTTGGTCCACTTCCTGTACAATGTCCAGAAGCAGGTTTCTTAGATATGTTTTTCCTTCAATTCAGAAGGCTTGATGGTCAAGCTCTTGTTCACCCTCGACTCCAAGTAGGCTGCATGACACGGGCCCCATCCTCGCATCGCGCGCTTCTTTTGCAACGCGGACAGTCGAGCGCGCGCGTCCAAACGATATGCGATGACCAGGTTCGGCCAAATGTGGATGTTCTCAAAGCAAGGGGACCCCTCTCAATGGGCTGGTTTCCTGTGGGTCTCATGACCAAAAAAGGTTGCCAAAAGGAGAAACCAAAAGGTCAACAGGTCGATTCGCATTGGGCAAATGAGTTTTGGTTCTCCTGTGAAAGCTGTTCAAAAGGGGCGCGTGTTGAGACACCCTCGTGTGAAGCTAGGTGGTTGATGGGCGATGGGCGATGGGTCTAAGACATGTCATTCCCAGAAGGCAGGGGGCTTTACATCTTGCATCCTTTTTGAAACCGGGGGCGAGGGTACAAATATGAGTGTGATCATGGCCAGGGATACGCTCACTGAGCATGTGATATTTTGGGGAGCTCCGTATTCTTCAAACTCGTAGCCTCATAGCCATATTATATGGGCTAACAGGCGATCTGACGGAAAGGGGAACCTAAACATCGCATCAAACGTTGATTTACTAACCCAAATCCAGGAATCCGGCTTTACGGGGCCTTCATCCCTGGATTTCGCTCGTTTTACTCCCAAGCTCGCTACTCATGCAACGCATTGGGGATGCGGTTGGCATCGGCCACGCCAAACACACAAACATATGGCTGGAAAAACCCAGAGCTCGGAGATTTACTCACTTCCGATCCAGTGGATTGGCCGGAAAAAGTCCAGGAGCTTTTGCCACGAAATGGTCATACCAAAAAGTGTAAAGTTCAAGAACCGGAGCGAGAAGAAAGTGATCGGAGTCCTGCTTCGGGTGGGACTCAGAACAATTTCGGGGGAGTACCGGAGTACCTCGCTATTACATGTAATGGCCATAGTGCTGGTCAGCCGCAAAGGGACTCAGGACCCCAAAGTACTCAAGGTCGCACCGCTTCCTTAGCACCTCCCGTGTCCAATGCCCAAGTATTGACCAGGAACAACAAGTCGGAGGCTGGCTTCATTTTGAGTTTGCGATCCGTTGCGAATTACGAACCCGACTCAGGAGTCATGAAAGACGATTTTCCTTCAAGAGGGACCCTCTGCTGGGTTTCATGTTAGTGGACAGGGGGGTAACTTCCTTTCGCATCTTGCATTTGATGTCCCTTTCAGACAATTGCAAAAATGGCGCCGGCTAAAAGCGACACACGCACATGTGGCACCCTCAAAATTTGCTTTACCCTGCAATTCTATGGAGCACCGCTGATTTTTGTGGGAAACTTAGTAAGGTTTCCGTGTTCCCGCTCAATTAACCATAGGCATAGGCGGCTGGACATGTCGACTAAGTCTCAAGGAAGTTTGGCTTGACCAAAGGGAAGACCCCTGCACATGCGCCATTGAGGCAGAAAAAATACGCGGAACTAGACCCGCCACATGGGCATCACGGTGCCGATCGCCACAACCTCACAATGGGACAGCCCAAACAAGCGCACCCGTTTTGTTCTTCACAAAACACTTTCCCTGTGAAACGTATGGCGGTACGAGGGAACCAGCTCCGAAGTGGTTGGTGGACAAAACAAACCCCCACCGAAATCTGATGTTCACCTCCTTGGTGACCTCTACATGGTTCAAGCATGCTCCAGCAAGTGAGGGACAGGGCCCGGGGGGGGAGGGGAAGGGTACAGCTGCCAGGCCCGAACATGATGGCTCAAACAGTGGTTTACTCCACGTTGTTGCTCTTGTATTTCTGAACAGGGGGTACAACCTCGTTGTGGGAAATAGCCTGTTCGGAAACTATCAGACTTTGTCACTCTACAGGGGCATTCCTCTCGTTCGCAGAACGCTGTCCTAAGCTACTAGAATCTTACTCAGTGGGCCAAACACACTAGTCGTAAGCGACGGAAACTGCTCTGGCACCCCAAACGTGGGAACATGCACGCCCGCATCAGCACCGCACACAAGTCATGCGCAAACAAAGATGAGGGAAGAAGTGAACACCACAAACATATGTGTTTTGTTGAGGTTGCCCCGAAAACCGAAAGGAAAACCAAAGTTATTTGGGGGGGGAGATGGATGGTGCAGTCTCTTGTGGCTGGGGTCATCTCGCCGGTGTCTGGTGAGAATCAAAACCGGCTTGGTCGTTGACCCTGTCCCCAGGTGGATGAGATTGGAAATTAACAAAAGAAACTATCATCATCCAAACAATTAAAAGCTTAAGTGTCATACGTACTAAAAAGCGGCCAAGAAGAACAGTCATTTGCAAATAGCTGGAGAATGCCGAGAAGGAAATTCCGGAGAGACAGTCCCAACGCAAAATCGACACCAGGAATGAGTAGAGTGTGTCTGGGGCAAGCTTGGAATACCAAGAACAGTTCAACTACCACTTTAAGATGTCAGTTTGTTGTTTTTGAGGGTGCCACTTTTTTGTGGCTTGAAGAGGAACCAAAAAGCCACAACAAACATTTTGGGGGGTCAACAAAAACAGACCAACATGCTTCCAAGAAAGTCACCAACAAGGACCACCCTCGAATGTGAGCTTTGCATTCCCGTCTGAGGCTCCTGCGGTGATGACCAGGGCCACCAATGCCCAAGGCACCTACAGAGCAGTGAGTTGATGCTCAACGCGCACGTCCAACGACAAACAAGCTACATGCATTAGGTGCAAAACAACTTCCTGCATTAAATCCAGTAAGCTAGTTTTGCTTTGATTGCACCCGCAACATGACATGCACACAATGTTTTTATAAAATGCAAAACACCATGGTTTGTCAAGCAGGGTGGTTCCCAGTGCATTCTAGTCAGTAGATAAACATGTACTTTCTGGCTGTACCCCTTGCAAGGATCAGACCTAGACTGTGTGCGAAGCATCAAGCTAGTTGCTGACCCATTGGAACTCAGACAAAGGCAAACTATACTAACCTCCAAGCAGTTTTGCAAAGCTTCTACAGCATGTTATGTTTGCCATGATGCACGGCACTGTCCAAAGGAAACTCGCTTCAAGATGGCAACTACAGGGGGTAATATGTTTAGCAACATGAGAAGGAGAGTGTTCAGGAACATGTAAAAGTGATCCTTCTCTGGAAGACTCCCTGGCTTCCCCCTAAATTGGCACGCGCAAAGTAGGCATTTGCCTGGATCAACATGGGCATAACCTAGCACGAAACTCCATCTGAGCGTCATTTTTCGGGAATCGGACCCCTTTCGGTTTTTTTCTTGGTTTCCCATTCAACAAAAAGGGTACCAACTCCAAAAACCCACCAGCTGCCCCATTTCAGAGGGGTTCCCATGCGGCCGGAGCCGGAACGCCCGAGCCCGAGCCGCGCCGTAAGGTCCTCCGCCGGCATCTTGCAGGGGAGCACGGCATCCTGGCAAAGCTGGGTTTTCGTGGCGCTTGCCCTTGAAACCAAAACCAAGAAACATGCCCTCAAAACATTTCTGTACATATGTATATGTATATATATATATATATGTACGTATACTATGTTCCCTGAGGTGATACTGTGGATGGACGAAATTCTGCACCACCTAAGAAACCCTGGAATGTTGATTCGCCTGCAAACACCAACCAACAACTTCCCATGGTTTCAAAGTGGTGCAGGATTTTGTCCATCCACAGTAGCGTGCCCCATGGGCGTCCTTTTCCATCTTGGGTGGTCTGGCTAAATGTTCAGTAGTCTTATAAGGGTTCACGATGGGTTAACTGCAAGCTATATAATGGTAACCTTGCTGATACTGGGTCGACATTCCGGAATACCCCTCCCACTGTAGGGGTTGGTTCCCCTATCAAGAGAACTTTTGTTTGGGGCATGCCAAGGAGCCCATAGAACCATTGTCTTGATACGTGGGGCCTTGCCTTCCAAAAAAAAGGGCTTCCATTCCCCAAAGCGTTGGGTGAACCTTTTGGTTTCTTTTCGAGGGTGCCGAAATTGAAGTGGGTGTGTCTTCGAACAGGGGACCCCCCCAAAACAAAGAAAAGAACATGGTGGCGTTTTCCTATTGGTTTCCTCTCAACAACAAATCCCAAAGTATTCTCCGTTAAAAAAAAAAACGGCCATGTAGCTTAAAACTCGGAACAAGGAACACACATGTGCACAAGTCTGACGATCCTGCTTGGAGACAAGCGGTGGATGCCCAGGGTCCAATGGACGGCTTCCTTTGGGGTGCTTTGAACGACTCCTGGAAAGGACACCCTCAATAAGACACACCCATGCGCGCGTGTGCGTGTGTGAGCGTGTCCTAAAACGCAAATCAGCACGTTTGTTCATGGGTGGTTTCCTGCCCAACAAAAACACATACACCCCTGTACACATGCAGAACAGGGGCGGCAAGCAAAAGGCCAACCTGTCTTGGAGATCTGTTTGCTTCTGTATTTCCGGGAGAGCCCTCTCAGAGCACAAACCAACCAGGGAATCAGAACCAAGCACTTAAGGGGAGAAGGGCGTAGCTGGCGGACACCATCGGCCAGGTGTCAAGCAACACCACACATCACGGTTGGATTCTTTTCTACGAAAACACCTTGGGATATGTTGCACTAAGAACACGCCACACGCACACATTCCCTTGAAGAAACACGCCGCGTCTCGCGCAGGTCCTTCTCGGGCTTGCCTGAGGCCAATTCGGAGGCTGGTAGGCCGAGGGCTGAGTGAGAAATCATGTCCATGGTAAGTCCGAATCTGTGGGTCATGGTTTCCTTAGGAATCCTTTACGTGGGATTTCTAAGACCCCTAGAGCTTGATGACATAGGATTCTCTAGGGATGCAGTCAGTACCTCAAGTAAAGCGGCCTCTTGACCATGGCACTGTGAATGCCCGACGAGAATCCGGAGAACTGTATGCTCAAAGGATTTTGTTTATAAACAGGTTTAACTTCCTCATAGTATAGGGCACCCTCACCAGGATTGGTATGGTGGTCCGGAATCTGGAATTTAACGATGTGCGGCTTCGACACGGTGCCCTTAAAGGGTGACCTGTAAGCATGAGCATTGCTTGACCAACACTTGAAACGGTACTGTCCAAGGGCACATCCGGTAGATGCAGCCTTCCAATCAAAACAATTGAATAAGGGGCGAAGTATTAGAATCGGCTCGTGTGGAACTTTGAAACCAAATTATCTCATGATCATAAGCTAGTAGTGTATTTATACCCACTAGACCATCACACACCGAGACCGAAGTTGGTGAACTCTTGCCAGAGGATGTCTGGATTCTCACCTCAAGGGCGGCGAATTCGAACACCGTCTACCCGTCAGAGTCAGCAGGTCCCTGAGACTCGTTGCTGAGTTTGTCTGGAAAACGACTGGGCTCACGATTCAGGATCCTCCAAATGAGGCTTCGATATGGGTGGACGTCATATGACTTTGTCCAAGTGCTGCACTCTGCCTTGGCAAGGCCAACAAAAAGGGATATTGTCAGGCGCTCCAAAATAGACGTGTTCGATACCTAAATAACGAAAGTTGCTGCTTTGTTCAGTCACTGTTGCTGGCTTTTGGGGTAAAGTGCATGGAACAAAAGCGGCAACTGGCGATCCTGGTATTTCCTAATACTTCCTATCATTCTTCCTCGAGTCTGCGGCAATTTCCGAGCCGCTTCTGAAAGGCACGCAAAGCAAACTCTCACAAAGCTCCGTCATGAATCTAGGCTGGAATTGGGACCCCAGCAAAACATGATCTTTTTTGACTGGCTAGTGGAAAACAAAGGGGAGCCCAAAAAAGCAAAAAAACAAAAAAGGGGAGCTAATTCTGGGGAAGGAATCAGGGACTTGAAACGAAACAGGCAGCCCAAATGGAAAAAGTGTGTGAGGATCGCCTTCCAGGAAACAACATGCACGAATGAAAAGAGAACTGCTGGGTTTTCACCTCTTCAAGGGCTCGGATCTTAGGAACCAGGAAACTTCGGGAAACTTATAGGATCTCAGCGTCCCTTGCAAGTTATTTCAGTTGATCAATATGTCGATTCCCCAAATGCTGCAGCAAAAACCTCTCATGGCTGGCTCTTGGGGCATCTGGGCTGTTGAAAAAACCATGGACCTTTTTTAACGACCTCGGCATCCAAATGTGTATTTGGAGGGTACCCATGTTGGTGTCGGTTTCAATTGTCAATGGAAGCCAAATGGAGACCGACTGTTTTGACAACTTCAAATATCCTACTTTGGCCCACAGGAAAAACGCCTCCTCGTTTCCTCAGTGGATGGGCCAACAAAACGTTCGATCCTTCTTCGTCACCGCAAACATGGTCCTCCCGAAAAAAGAACAAAGCCCATCAAATCCGGAGGATGAGTATCCTAGTTTGAGACATATTTGGGCATATTTGGGCATCCAATCGATCCAATGCGGGTCTTTCTCAAAATTGGGGGACCTGCAGCCTCCAGGTTGATTTCCGTTCGGCTTCCGTTTCAAACCCCGCACTTCTGGTCCTCATTTTGGCTAACTCTTAGCTGGTTGAATGAAACCCCAACCACTAAACCAGCAAAACACCTCAAAAGACCTAAAAACCGGACAATTCGCTGGGAACCGGAACCGCCAAGCGCCTCATGTTTTGCCCCTTCCCCTCACTTCCCCTTCCCCTCCCCGCGTTTTTTTTTTCTTCCACCGCCCCCGGATCCGGATTCGAAATTTTCGGAGCTCTGGGGCCCCCGGCCACCGGCGAGGTACCAGGCAACCCCGGCGCACACAATGGCGAGGCCCGCCACCATCTCGCTGTTCAGCACCTCGATCTTCGCAAGCGAAGTCTCTCTCGATTGCCGGACTTCGTGGATGGTGTCCTTCGGGTTTCCATGAAAAGTACCAGGGGTTCCCTTCCTGGCGCTGAGTCGTATTTCTGGATCGGTGGGTGCCTGCTTCCGTCTGCTGAAGCCTCCTGGGAAAATAAAAAATATGTCCAGTAGTGACAGAGTCCCTTTAAAACCAACAATGCACTTTACCCCGACAACCAGCAAGAGTGACTGAAAAAGCAGCAACTTGGCTATCTAGGAAGGGACAATCAGCACATCTTCTTGAGCAAATGGACGCCTGGCATAGTTCACAGGATCTAAGACCTGCACAGCGCCGGTCATCAGAGATGCCAGAACCACCACGAAGACGTGCCTCACGAGACGTGTTTTCTGTCTGGGACCTGGAAATAAACTCACCGATCGAGCGGATTGGATCCCAAAAAAGTAACCGCACGTACCAGCAAACACCAAACACACTCTGTGAAACCGATGCGACGGTGGGGGCGAAGCAATAAAGCAGGGTACTTGCGAATGGCACTTTACCACCCATCCCGATTTGCCTCACTCCCTGAGTGGGCTGGCCCCAAACTTGATGCTTGCCACGGAAATGCAAACAAATCCGCGAACTGCCTGCGAACAGCGGCCGAGGCAGCAAGAGGGCATTTTGTTTCTGCGGTTGATCTGGGGTTCTTGTTTGCTGCGGCATGTTTTGTGGGGGATAGGAAAGCCACCACCTCGGCTTGGAAGCTTCCCCTCCACCTACCAGGTTACCAGTTGGGCGGCCTTTGAACCAGTGGGGGCCGACTTTGACACTGATACTGCGGAAGAACAACATCCACCATCCAACCCCTGGAATGATTTTCTTCCCGATAAATACCCGCAAACTGTGGCTTTTTGTTCGTGGTTTCAAGTGGTGCGAACGGATTTTCTCCAGCAGTAACATTCAGATTTCTTTCAACTGGAGGTTCGGATTTGTGTTTTTTTGCTGGTTCCATTTACCCTCTACAAGGACCAAGGGTTCAAATCCAAATCCGAACCAACAATCCAAGACACCAGCCTTCGGGTTACTTGAGGCCTGCTGACTGCAAAAAGGGGGGAAACCTGAAACCTAAACCAAGTATTTAGGTCTTTTGGTTCTTGTGGCACACTTGATTCATGTGGCTCCAAACAAGCCTGACCCTGGTTTACCACTGAAATGGTCCAAAACCATTAAAGTTCAGAACGGCGAGTCAGCCCAACCATCCATGTGCCCCTGGTTAAGTACCCCAGGTATGGTCGAATTTGAGAACTCTAAAACCAATGAATAGGTTTCTCCACCTTAATCTGTTTGTGGCAAGCACTCCACCAAAATTCCAGGGGTACCTTCCAACCATTCTTTCCAGGGATCCTTCTTTCTAGAAACCTCCGGAAACCCAGGGAAAACGAGCCAGTCTTTGGAAAGAACGATGGTTGAAAAGAATGGACAAGGAATCAACCCCTAGAAAAATGGCACATCGCGCGATCAATGTTCACCCAGCTGTAAACTGGGAAAGTGGCCATGGGTCAAACGCCCGTACCCCCAGTGAACATCCCAATCCCCACTAAAATCGGTTCTAAAATGGTTGGTGAATTCACCTACCAACCAAAATGGGATCCAAAACGGTTTTGACAACCACAGCCAAGTGAGTCATAATCAAAACCCGGTACAACAATGATGAACCCAGAGCCATGTTTCAAGAATTAAGAACGCGGATATCCGCAGCTATTTATGGCAAGGGGGATTGTCCCTTGCTAACCTTCATCTACCCGCGTGTTGATTGTGACATTGCCTTGTAAATGGTACGTGGTTCCCCTTTATTTTGGTGTTGAAAAAGCAACATGTTTCAAATGGTTGCAAAATGGAGATCTTTTAAGGAGCCCTGCCAAGTGAGTCTGGCAAACCCCACAATTTTTGTGTCGAGGTTGCTTCAGCGCCACCAGCAGCGCGTGGGTCTCCACGAGAAAGCAGCTCCTCAGCCGCTCAGCCGCCAGCTCTGTGGCTCTGGGGGGCAAAGCGTGGCCCAGCAAAATCCGACCCCCGGAGTTTTTGTAGGGCAAAACAAAGCTCGGTTGCGAACTCTGCGAAGCCCTGCTAAAAGTGACTAACCTTTAGTGGTTTAATACGGAAAACCCATTAGTTGGATCAAAAAGTTAAAGTCCTAACATCCCTCAGCAAAATGCACCGAAGATAAACGCACACCTGAGCCAAACAATATTCATTGCACCCAAGCAGCATCCTTGAGTCTTCATTGAACTCCTGGATTTTCACTGAAAAGGTTTTGGAACTCAACAGAAACCCTATTTCAAAGGCGGCACTGGAGCAACACCATGTTATCACCTGTTGGAGCCAAGGAAGCCATGTTCAGCCCATCCGGTTTTGCAACGATCGGATGGCAAACCTTGCCGAGCGGCAGCAACAGAATGGAGGCGCTCTGGTAGAGGAAGTAGGTGAACGATGCCTTGGGTCAACGTCTACCCCCGATCCAGTTGGCGAAACTTGGTCCAAACTTCTTAGGGTTTCTTCCATTTTCCTTCTTGGAACCTCCAAAAGCGGCATTTTTTACCGGAAACCACCAGTCAATTGCAACTCTTCACTGGGAAATCCACAGACCCCTGCTTCTTTTCCGCCATGAAAACCATCTTCCCAGCAATCCTTGCAGTCCAGGTGAGACGTTCAACCTAATCCTGCCGTTGGACCTGCGGTGAAGGGATCTCCGCTGGATAGACAAAATCCATTTCGCACCACCTAAGAAACCTGGAATGATTCCCCTGTAAATACCAAAGTGGTGCAGGATGGTGCAGGATTTCGTCCAACAGTACATGGGTCCCAAGATTCTTAGGGGAGCACAAGAAATACATGATTTTCCTAGGATCATAGCTCAATTTGGTTGAAAAGGAACCTCGTGCACGTGCTCAGAGTCTGTGCACCCTGACGCTACAAGGAGAGTGCGCGCGCGTTAGTCAGCTGGCACACAGCTGGGATATCTCAACTTAGACCATGAATTTCCTGTGGACCCCAATCCGCAAGGAATCAGCTTGATCATGGGCTTTCGCTTGTTTTTCCAAGGGTGAGTTCCATACATGTGCATGTGTATGTAATGATATACACATAAAAGCAGAACTAGTCGTGTGTCTAGGGGGGTATAGCATACATACATTTATATATATATATATATATACATGTGATAACACATTGCCATATACTCAGCTTCCCTGTAATTGGTGATTTGATTTGGCGGTTGGAGGTTCAGGGGGAATTGTTCCATCTGCCCTCCACAAGAACCAGGGGTTCAAGTCCAAATCAAACCAGTACCCGATACAATAGAAATAATTGATCATTTGTGCAAAGGTGCTCCTGTTGGTTTCCCTTTAAAGAACCTGATATACCTATACAGATCCTCAAAAAGGACAAACCCAAATAGAATTCAAATCCAAACCACTAAGGCTGAGTTGCCTGATATACCTATATAGATGTCTATAACTTGGCCCATTTCAATTATTTTTGGTACTTACATTGCCAGCTTACCCACTATATTTCCCTATTTGAGCCATTTCGGGGAACTCCTTCGCCCGCGTTTCTTCACTTTTTTGCTGCCGAAGGTGCCACGAACCACGGCCCCGGCCTGGTCAGGAGGTGCCGCAGCACGCCGTCCACGGCGGCGTCACCCAGCACCGCGTGGCCAAGGAGCAGCCAAAGCAACAGCAGCACCTGGCACAAGTTCTGGGGGGGGGGGGAAAGGCTCTGGAGAACTAAGGGTTGCCTCATCCGGGGGGCCCCGGAGAAAAAAAGAGTCTCGGTTGTTTGTTGGGGACCCAGAAAGAAAAGGTGTACCCTGACGAAAAATGGCTGCCAACAAGGGGAAACCAAAAGGTCATGTCAGGTCGATTCGCTTATGTTGCAATCCTTCCCATCAGCAAATGACCCTCCCATCCTTTGAAAAACCCCGCTTGTCCAACTCAGCAGCGTTCTTGTTGGACCCACTGTTCGCCAAAAAACAAGCTGTCCAGAACAACTTGCAGCAAATGCACAAGAAAGTTAGCCCAAGCCCCTGCTCTCGAACATTTGTCTAACCTTCTGGAGAATTTCCTGGAGATTGTTTCTTGGAGGCAGCGAAAACCAACTGGCCGGTCAGGCCGACCCGCTCTGCGTGGCAGCCAAGGTGAGCTTCCCATAGGCCTGGCGTCCATCGGAGTTGGGGTTATCACACTGGCCGCGACGTAAACGCTGGCTAGGGGATACTGCAGGTGTGTCTTTCTGACTTCCCGAGCGGATGGGCCAAAAAAGGTCCAAACTGTTTGGCTCTTCCCAAACGGCGAGTCCAGGAACTCAAGGTGAGCTCTTTTTTGGAGAAAATCTGCATGGTTGGGTTTAAGCGGAAGCGAGGCAACCGCCAGATTGACGGCAAAAGGAAACCGTTGCCATGTTGGGGACTCGGATTCTGGCGCAAACTTGACTCGACTCGGCCACTGGCTACGGGTTTTCATCCGATCAAGATATTTTCAGTCATGGCAAGCGGCTTCTGCTTCCACTGGTTGTCTCTTCATTTGTGTAAGAAGGCAAACGGACATGCCCCCGCCGGTTCCCTGGTTAAAGCATTTTGCTCGAATCGGATAAACCCACATTATACTCCTGGTGATCTCCGAGTTTGGCTTAGGGTAATTGTTTATGCAACGGGCACGCTTTTGCCACGAACTTAAGCCAACAAAACAAAACCTCAATCTCGTCAAATATGCAACACAAGGCGCCAACATAATGCAATGCAACGCAAAATACAATCATTTATACACATACACAGTCAATACGCATACATAATGCAACACCAAATCTGGGACTTAGGGTCCAAACCCAAGACGCCATGAGACAATCAATTTCCTTGTGGGTAGTTGACTCAGGGAAGCCCGTACAGAACTGGAAGCACAGGCCTGGGTCCAGGAAAACAACACACGATGAAGCTGCTCAACAAATCTATACCCAGCATTTGGGTGCGTCTCTTTGAGGGTACTCGCTTTGGGTGTATTTTTATGTGGGAAACTGGAGGGAAATCAGTTGCACCCTTCTTTGTGGACCCCTAAGGGGGGCCTATGTGTTCCGTAATAACCCCTTAAGGCCTTAAGGGCTTATCCTTGGCTGATCCCCGGCTTATCCGCCCCTCCCCCCCTTACAGGTCCATCGCTTTGGTAGGTTCCCCTTTCTCACTTAACCAACGGTTCCCAAACTTTCTGTTTACCGCCAAAATGGTCCAAACCCAAAAAAAGGTGACTAAAGTCCGAAACGGAACTCAGGCACTGCGCCTTGGGACAAACCCATTCGAAGCGAAGTCAATCAAGTTCTGTGCCTCCAAAGGCTCGCTGCTTTCGAAGGCCAAGGCCTCACGAAAGCAAACGCCACTTGTACCAACCAGATGCGACCAACCAAAACAAAGCTGGGTTCACTCGTGGAGAACCCCCCCAAACAAAAAGGCATGAATTTAGAGGGAGAGGAGCAAAAGGGAATCCGAAAAGAGAGGGTGCAAACAAATAAGTGGGGAACCAACCCACTAAAAAGGGAGTAGAGGGCGCCGCTGAATTTTGGGGGCTCCCTCCACGCAACCGCCGAATGTTTGGGTAGGCTTGTCTCCAAAAGCCCCAGAATAAGTGCTGTCCCTCGAGTTGCTCCGCAAAAAAAACAAAGGGAAAAGAGCCAGCCTACTGAAAAAGAGAAACAGGTCGCTTGGGACCAAAAAGGGGGGTACCAACTCCAAAACCCACCAGAAATCAACTAACCATTCCCACCCCTCCCATCCATACAGAACCAAAGACATTCCATGCCCAGTGGCCGGGGGAAAAAAAGGGCATCCTTTTTTTGTTGGTTGACTTTGAAGGGGGAACCCTTACCACAAAAAAAAAAAGGCGCCGCTGGGCAGCTGGGTCTTCGACGACCGCGAGGGGCAGTCTGGGGCGCTGTTTTTGGCGAGGGGCGCGTTTCGCCACGCAGGCGCGGGACGAGAAGCCGACGTTGGCCAACATGCCCAAAGCCATGGCCAGGTACACGTGGCTCTGGTGGGCCCTCAGGGCTTGCTGTGGATCGACCCCTGCCAAAAAGTGGACAACTCTTGGGGCTTTTTGGGGGGTTGAGTGGAAAACCCAACTTGATGTCCCAAAAAGTTAAAAAGTCTGAAGATCCAACCCAATAGTCAAAAGGGGAGGTCTGACGCAAACGACTCGGAAGCCATATATAGGCGGAAGCCAGAGGAAATCGTGACCCTGCCTACAATCACTGGCGATTCGGGCGTCTGAGGTAAGTGGCTTGACATGCAAGTAAGCTGGTTTTGCTGAAATAGTCCTCATCCACCGAACAATTCAACCTTTGCCAACCCGAAACCAAACTGAAACCAACCACCCTGCCAATCTAAACCAACCTAAACCGGTCCTACATAGTCAACTTAAATATAGCCTGAGCCAAGCTAAAACCCGGACATAAACCCATCTTGAACCAACCCCAAACCAAACCCCAAACCTACCGTGTCCTGATACCCAAACCCAATCCGAAACAAGTCCGAAAACCCTCAACCAACCCTCAACCAACCAGAAACCAACCAGAAACCAACCCTCAACCAACCAGAAACCAACCCTCAACCAACCAGAAACCAACCCTCAACCAACCAGAAACCAACCCTCAACCAACCAGAAACCAACCCTCAACCAACCAGAAACCAACCCTCAACCAACCCTAAGCAAGCCCCGAGTCCAGTCCTAAACCATCCCCAACTTCCCAGGGCGTGCCTCAAACCCAACTCAAATTGATGAATCCCCTGGTTGGGGGAATCCTCCGGAAACAAATTCTAGTCTGACAGGTTGATGAAATTCGGGGTTGAACAAAAAAACAACAGGGCTTGGCATAGGTGTGTCCTTGTGGTTGAGAAACTGATGGATTCCCCTAGGTTACCAGTTATAACCAGGTCAACCAGGAGTCGCAATCTTTTCTCTACCAAAACAACCAAAAAGCACACCAAAACGCGGCTTACGGCTTACGCGCTCTTGTGCGTCTGATGGCTTTGAGCATCCCTTGATGCCCCAAGTTTGGAGGCCTTCGCTAGACATACGTCTTACTCCAAACACCCGCTTGTATGCGCGCATACTTGGAAAAAAATGTCACCTGGCTTTTCATGGCAACATCATCTTTGGGGTCAGGGGTAAGAATGATAGCCATAAAGCTAAGTGGGCATTTGGACAACGGTGAACTACAAACCTAACGGACCATCTGGCTATGGGTCAAAATGCGTACCCAAAATGGAACCCTGGTAAATGGAACCAAAGGCTAAAACCTGCGGTGCCCTGGTGACTTTATTTGGACCACACCCGTCTGGAGATCTTCACCTCTCCTCTCCATGCCACCGTGGGCTGCCCAGGCAGTGATCATGATCCCCGTGCATGCCTCAGTCAGCGGCGGGCATTTGATCCGAAAGGTGACCCCCTCCAGTGCTTGGAGCTGATCATGCCGACCTTGCCATGCTGTGGATGGACGAAATCCATTTCTCCTGCACCATCCAAGCATCACTGGAATGATGATTCCCCTGTAATTACCACTGGTTTCTCATGGTTTCAAAGTGGTGCAGGAGTTCGTCCATCCACAGTAATTAGTGTCCTTCTGGGAGAAGAGATGGGGTTCCCTGTTTCATGGGAATGAAACCAATCTAAACCAGTGCCATCTAGTGCTAACCAAACTAACCTAAAATGGGCTACTATGGACCTTGGGTGTCCTCCAAATAAAAGGGAAAGGGGGGAACCGATTCTTGCTAGACACATCTCGAACAAACAGCGTCCCTTGTTTGCGAGTTTCAACTGGTGTTTGCGAATTGAATGACTTTTCACAAGAAAGTTTCAACAAAAAGCTGGTGCCACTGGGCAACTGGAACCAAACACAAAAGCAACGTGGGCGGTTTGTCAGTGGGGAACTCTGGCTTGTATGTGTTTGGGGGAACAATCCAAGCGTGAAGGGGAAACCAGATGAGTTGCATCACGTGGCTGCGTGACTGGTCAGCAAAGACCCGGCTATGCATGTGTTGGTATACATATATATATACATACATACATACATACATATGATATATATATATATATACATGTCAAACTGAAACGGGCCCCAACAAAGGCAGTGTTGATCAACACAATGCATCAGGGAGCCACAGGAACTTTTTGGAATCCCTAAGCAACGCCGCAAGATTCCGAGGCGTCCGACCCTTCTGCTTCAACGACCAAAAAGCCTTCCGCTCAGCCCCAAAAATAAACGTCCTCAAAGAAGCCACGCTAAGAAACCCTGAAGACCTAAAAACACCTCCGCCTCCGTTTTCTCGGTCCGGAGTCCAGACCCAAGTCCGCATCGCAATCGCAAATGGGATTCCTACAGGTCGCTCCAAAGAGCCCCTCTCCACAGCCCCTCGGGCTTGGACGCGGGGGGGGGGGGGAGGTGGATCCCGTGATGTTGGTATTCTTCTTCTTTTCATTCTTTTTCCTTTTGGGGATTCCGAACAATATAACAACAAATATGAGCCACCCATTTTGGCCAAAACCAACAAACAAAAAGAATGACCGAAGCCTCCTCCCCCTCGCTGCTTTCCGCCGGCTTCTTCTCGGCCCGGCGGCCACGAGGATGGCCATGAAGAGCCGGAGGTTGAAGCTCTGCTTCAGCAGCGGCACCGCCAGCAGGGCGGTGCTCAACGGCTCGATGGCCTTCACCACGAAGATGATGCCTACGTCAACCCGGTTTGGCCGTGTTTCCCGTTTCTCCGCCCGATTTGTTCGGCCGGGGGAAGGTCGTTTCTTAGGGTTCGAGTTGCTTTTTCTTCTTCTGGTTGCCTAAGCTAGGGGTGTCCGGCAGCGCCCGCTTTTTTGGCCCCTTCGGCCGCCCGTTTTTCCGGGGACGGGGAAGATGGGTTTCTTGGGGTCCGAGGTATTTTTGGATGCCTGCGGTGGATGGACGCGAAATCCATCCAACGCACCACCTGAGAAACCCGGACAAATCATGATCCCCTTGTAAAGACCAACCAACAATGGCTTCCTATGGTTTCAAGGTGCAGGATTTCTTCCATCCACTGTACGTCACCCGTCCCCCCACGTCTTTCCGCCCGTTTGGCCCCCGGCCGTTCGCCCCAAGAGAAGGCGAGTTTCTTGGGGTCCGAGGTTTTTTCGCCCTTTGGTTGTTGCTTCTTACGTTGCCTGAGATAGGGGTGCCAAGCTTGGCTTATCATGCTTCTTTGTTTGGTTTCAAGATGAGCTTGCGTTGATTTAGCCACTCCGGGTGGCGCTTGTGGGAGTGCGGCCTTGTGAGGCTCGGTTATTCTTTGTAGATAGTTAAGGGAACCCAACATGGAGCCAGAGTCCATTTTAGGGGTTCCTCCATTCCGAGACACGCGCGGACACCCTTACTGGTTTCTAGTTGTTGGAATCCCACTATAGTTTGTTGAGGAAACCAGTCTGGCGTGCCTAGAAGCAATCATATTGTCTAAGCCGATGAAGGTCAAACATCCAACCGACTACAACCAAGCCATATATTAACCTGCTTCGACGGAGTTCTCAGAACCATTCTGTTGAGTAGGGAGGCCCTAATGATCGGCGCAACCTTTGGTTGTCCTTTGGACGTTGTCTCGGCGGAGTGCTTCCCTATGTTGAAAAAATAATGCTCGTAGACAAGTCTATTGGTCTCCTTTGGTTCTCTTTTGGTGTTGTTCGGCCTACTTTTGGCTTCTCTTGGGAACCGCTTTGGATTCCCCTTCGTTTCCCTTTGACTCCCAACGTAAGTGATCAAATGCGTGGGAACTTATAAGGAGTGTCCGAACTGGAGAAATCAGCGAATTAAGTTCGCTAAGCCCACAATTCAGGGTTCATTGTAAAGCAAATCTGACGACTTCATATGAAGGGAGGTTTCCCTTGATGCAAAAATGTTCTTCTGCCTGTGGGTGTCTTTTTGAGGGTACCCTTTTCAGTTGGTTTTAAAGGGAAACAACATACAACCAAAAACAAACATTCGGTAGCACCCTTTTGGCAGAATGAAACATCTTTGATGGGTCTTTCAAAGTGAGCTTCCTTTGGGTGGGGTGATGCCCAGGGATATCTAGGGCACCCAGAACCATGTGCCGAGATGCTTGGCGCGTCCAGCGCCAGAGCGGCGACGGTAAAGAGCTGGCCAAAGAAGTACCTAAAGCGCAAATGTGAAACCTGGTGGGTCTGTCCTTTCTTTAAGGGCCCCCCCACAATGGCTGTTTCCTTTTGAGCTCCCTTGAACACCACCAAAACAGGGGTACCCTAAAACAAAGACACACAGGTGGATAATAGACCCCGGGTTGCTCAATAAAGCTTGCGGAAAGGAATTTGTTCACTTCCTAAGTGGATTTGGCCAAAACAAGTTGCTTGCCTGATTGTATTGGGGACGATTCCTAGCTTTGACACCCCACATCACCAAACCAGTGCCAACATTGATATGTCGTCATTGGTTTGGTGCCTCCGGAATACTCGAAGTCGGAGTCCCAAAATTTGGACGGCATTGCCAACAGTCCACTGTCTCCCCCGAACTATTGGACAGCTTTGGGGGTGTTCGCCTCTTACTCTAGGGATGCCCCAACACGTCCCCTTGAAAGTCGCAGGCGGAGCCGCGGAGCCCTCCCAAAGACTCCAAGGCACGCGGCGCCGGCCAGCTGCCAAATGCCCATGCTCAGGCCTCAAACGCTTGGAGCAAAACACCTGGCCCCATGAGGCCGGGCTTCAGAAGGAAACAAATAGTTGGGGCATATGCGTTTGTGGCTAACAATGTTTGCGTCACCATCTTAAGTGAGCTATACCTGTCCTCGCTTATGGAAGAGAACACAACTTTCAGCCGCTTAGATTCTTAGGCCAGCTTACTCCCAAGTACCAACTGTCAAAGAAGGACTGGTTCAGCAGTCTGTTCAATTCCATGATTATTGGGTAAGCTTGCGAGTTGTGAACACATGGGGTCTGTCAAAACAGACATATCCGTGCAGTTGCGGTATTCTAAGGAAACCTGCAAAGAATCGATCCGTTGTCGCTGCCTTGCCCAAATAATATGACAAGTGATCACCTTTTGCAACCTTGACAACAAATATGAGTTGCTGGCGAGACCCCTCTGCAAAAAAGTAGTTCGCAATTTGTGGGTCCCCTCCGGAAATTCCAACCTGTTTCAACCAACAACTTAGATCCGTTACCAAAAATCACCATAAGGCCCGGGCCAAGAAACCCGCTCAAACTCATGTCAATGTCGCCTCGCTTACAACTGAGCTAGCGCCTGACGCCGGAGGTCAGTGCACCAAATTCAGCCGGGTGGTGTCGTTGGGTGTGTGCCCCCAACAAGTCATCTGGAGATCATCTCAAATGGAACCCTCAGCCTTTCAAACCATCATGTATGTGTTGATCAACTGGGCTATATAGTGCTGCTTGCCGCATCCATCCCCTTGTGGTTTCCTCTAGGGGGAATTCAACATGCGATTTAGTGCCCAGATTAGGTCGCACTTGACACAAGGGTGTTTAGATATGGAACCCCACACGTGGTGCTTTCTTTTTGGGTTCTGGAGTTCCCCGTTTGAAGCAACCCTGGAAGGGATACCTCAAAACCGCACACACACACACAAACACACACAGACACAAACACAAACGCACAAGAAACATGCACACAACCACAACCACAAACACAAACACAGACGCACGCCAGGAGAAGCTTTCTATCTTCCAGCTCCTTGTGAATTCACTTTTGCTAATACACTTCTTTTCTCTAATGCTGCTATATCTCTAGGACATGCTTCTATTAATAACCAAATTTCATCAGAATATATTATGTTATTCACTTTATGGTCATTCCTTTTGTCTGATCCTTTTATTCGTTTGCACATTCAATAGTTTTGCATTCTCGCATGATCAATTACGATTCACTTTATTGTTGTCCTTTCTTTTTAGTTGATTTCTTACATTTCTTTCATCTATCTACTGGCATTATTCTTCTGATTCTTCTCTTTTGGAGTTGTAATGATATGCTTACTCCGTCTCACGGCAGCGGTTGAAGAGAAGAGAATTAGACATGGAAAATTAACTGTCAATGATGTGTGTCTATGAAATCTCTATCTTCCGTGGCTTACAGAGACACAGGAAAGGAGTAGAGATTACACACATCTTTTGTCATCTTCATTTCTCCTGCCTAAGCTCTTGACGTAGGAAATGAGCGGCAAGGAAGAAATTATTGATGGGATGTCCAAATGCAAGAAAACCAAATAAAAGCATTTGGGGTGTGATGTAGAGATGGAGAGTGAGTGTGTGTGTGTGAGTGAGAGATGATTGACCGAGTAAAAGAACGGTCTCGTTACATCTCTCTCTCACTCCATCTCACTCCTTTTCCTTTTTGCCTTCCGCACCTAACATCCGAAAGGACAGGATGTAGTGTGAGAAGAAGGGAAGTCCCTTCTCTTCCTGTCACCAGCTATTTACTTTCATACATTCCACATTCCATCTAATTCCCCGAACGAAGAGAGGAACGGGAATTAGGAATGGAATGGGCTCTTTTACTTCTCATCCCCTCACCAAATCTCAGAAATTAATGTGAATAATGGTGAGGGAAAATGAGAGATTGATGTCCTACCCAATCATCAAGGTAACTCTGGAAGGTAGGACAGGAGGGATAAAGAAAGAGATGGGAGATGAGATCCGCTCCACCACCTCGCTCCGCTCCCCAATCACCTGTTCTTCATGTCGTTCCCGCGTCTCATTCATTCCTTGCCCAATGCTTGAAAGGGAAGGAGATGATGAACACAGACATGACTCACTCAAGCTCTCACCGAAAGGACAAGGGACGTGAGGAGCTTGGAGGTGAGTGGTAAGGCATAGAATAATGGCTGGGAAATGGTGAAGATATTTGACGAAGGAAAATACTAAAAGATGCGGCCAAGCCTTACACACACACAGACACACAAACACACAGACACACAGACGCAGACACAGACACCGACACAGACACAGACACAGACACAGACACCCACACACCCACACACACACACACACACACACACACACACACACACACACACACACACACACACACCCACACGAACACACGAACACACGCACACGCACACGCACGCACGCGCAGACGCACACGCAAGAAAAAAGTTTCGCACTGCGCTGTCCATGGTCCCCACATCCTCCCAGACGCAAACGTGTGTGTCTCGTCGAGGGGCCAGACTTCGAGCTCACACAGGTTCCTGCGAGGCAATGCCGCGAGTAAGTACTGTGGATGGTTACTAAATCCATTTCGCACCACTTTGAAACCATGGGAAGCATTGCTTGTTGGGATTTAATGAGATCATTCCAGGGATTCTTAGGTGCTGCGAAATGGATTTCGTCCATCCACAGTATCCCCGGCTTTATCCCTGAAAGCTGCTCCACACCACCCCCGAGCCTATTTGGGCAGAGACCCCACAGCTTTCAACTGTTGGGGGGGAAACCTCGTTGCTGTAAGGTGCCGGACTGGTACTCACCCGCATTGATTTTTGGGTAGACACTTCTCCAGTTTTGTCCGTGCAAAAAAACAAGCCTAAGCTATGTCCGAGGCACGACAAAGCAATACACATGATAAATTAAGATTACACTGGCTTCCGATGTTCTGGAAAAACAGGGTCCTTGGCTTGCTTTGGATGAGAAGGATTAGCTGACGGCCTTTGCCTTTTGCAGCGCTTTTCCATGCCCCGCGCTGTGGGGCTGGCTGTTGCAAAAACCTACCCGCCACCTACTTTAAGCCAACCTCCCACCTCAAACCCCTCCCTCCCTCCCTCCCTCCCTCCCTCCCTCCCTCCCTCCCTCCCTCCCTCCCTCCCTCCCTCCCTCCCTCCCCTCCTCCCCTCCCTCCCTCCCTCCCTCCCTCCCTCCCTCCTCCCTCCCTCCCTCCCTCCCTTGCTCTCACTCGCTCTTGCTCGCTCACCCACTCCCTGACCCAACCCTCCCTCCCCACCCCGCCCGCCCCAAACCTCCCGCGCTCCTTCGAAGAGGTTGAGCCCCGCCAGCCACGCGAAGATCTGCACCAGGAAGTAGCTCAATGCCTCCAATTCCGCCCCTAGTTTCGAGCCATTTGGGCTAGCCATGTCATGTCCTGGTTCACTTGCTACGTGTTTGGGTGCTTTTGGGTTCATTCAAAATGGTGCTTAGCAGGTTGGCTCGGCTAAGGAGTTAATCTTTTTTAGCCATCCCATGCCCTGGTTCACCTGGAATTAGTTGGGCTTACTACGTGTTACGTCGTTTTTGGGTTTGTTGTTTAAACTTTGCTCAACCGAGTTGTCAAGGGGTATTTGGGCTCAGTTGGGCGTATTTGGGCCTATCAAAAAAATGTACGTTCATTCGGTTGTTTTCCACTCTCTTTTGGCGAGTTTATGTGGGTTTAGCTTTGCTCTTGGGGGTATTGAGCGGCTTCAGTTGGGCTTTGTTGGGCGTGGTTGGGGCTTAGTTGCCTTTATTTGGGCTCGGTTGGGTGAAGGTAGTGCTATTCGGCTCAGTTGGGCGTATTAAGAGGTTAGTGTGGCATATCTTCCATCATGTGTTGTTGACACTTTAGGCTCAGTTCGGATCATTCAGGTCCATTTGTGTTGCTTTCCAAGGAGTCCAAGGAGCGTTTAGCATGTTGTGCTCACTTGTGGAAACTGGGAGCTCTTCGAGCCAGTCGAGTTCCTTGGGATTCCCTCACCAACTCGCACAGAAGGGCGAAGCAAGACATACCCATTTGATCGCTAACGTGAAAACAGCCCAAATTTTGGATGTTGTAACTTCCAGCGGGGGGGTCAGTGGTTGAGAGCGGGCACCTTTTGGGGGGTTGACTGATCCTGGCTTAAAAAGCACCCCTTTTGGGGTTTGACCATTTGAGTAGGGAAGCCATCAAACATACGAGGATTTGGAGGGTGGGACTGAGCAACTGGGAAGTGGTGCGCGGATCCTTTGGTTCGGATGGTCGCGCCTTTTCATCCTGATCAACAGTACCAATCAGGTAGAAATGGCTCGGAAGACAGCCAACACACCGTTCAGAACGCAAGGAATCACCCGTGTCAATGCCCCGGCCTGGGGCAAGAAGGTGAGCCAAATGCTGGTGGATGGGTAGATCGGCCCGGGCAACTGGCTCAAAATGTCCTGACGAAAATGGGCTGGGGGGTGCCCAGTTGCTTGCAAAAAAGGGCGGGGGCGCACTGCAGTTCCAGTGGAAACTCACTGAGAAGTGTCAACCAAAAAGGTGATGCTTAAAACCACACGTGAAGGACAACTTAGGGACCTCTGACAAATTGCGAGGGGGGCGGAGTGAGGCTTGGAGCTTGACAAACAAGCACAAATCCACTTGCCCTAAAGGTCACAGCATACAAAGGCCCTTCTCAATTTCCCACTGATTGGTGGTTTTGATTGGTGGTTGGCGATTTGAACCCCAGGCTTCTTTTGTAGCCAAATTTGGAAGGTACCCTCAAACGACCAAACCACCAACCCAAATCACAATCTAGGGGGATCCGAAAGGCCGCCCTTTTTGCAGGTAGGTCCCCGAAGACCTAAGCTTTCCGATGGGGAGAGGGGACATACTTTATCCAACCTGAGTACCTGCCCAGCTTTTGCTCAAAACGGCCCCTTGCTTGTCTTCTTTGTGGGTGCTCTTTTTGGAGCTCCTTCCGCTAGTTCCTTCAAACTTTTGGATATTGTTTTGCGCAATGGGTTACTTTTCGCGTATCCGCATCCCTGGCTTTTAGAGGCTCTCTCTCTCTCTCTCGCTCGATTGTTGCAAGTCCTTTGTCCTTTTTGAGCCTTGCTCCATGGCCAAAACAGCTGTGGATGTGCGGGTTACGGTGACCAGATCTTCGTAAGTGAAAGCCAGGGACAGCCACCAAGACTGCTTTGGTGTCCAAAAAGTGGCAAGAAAAATGGATCCGGAAAGTTCACTTCCATACACCATGCCTTGGATCTTTAATTGGGAACCTCGTGAACAGTGGGGAAATCCCCACCTAAATGCTGTCCACAAAGAGGTTGTATAACTTAATTGTGAGTCATTTAGCAAACAACACATATGCTTTTGGTTTACCTCTAAACAGGTCTTTCCCCAGAAGAATGAAGTCCCAGAACTCAGGAAGGGAGCTAATGAACGTCATATCCATATTGGATTGCATCGGGTTTGAGTCTCCTTGACCTGCACAAGCCTGCAGCCGACAACAAATTAAACCGGCGTTTCCCGCGGGATTATCTCAAGTCCCTGTCCCTAGATCTGATCCTAAGGCGCATCCAAGGTGTGTATTTTGTTGAGTCGGTACCCCGTTTTTGGTGGTTTCAAAAGGGAACCCCAAAGGAAAAAACACAACTCACGTTGGGGTGCCCTTCTAAGCCGTGCTTCCTAGGATCCTATGAGGTGTCACCCCGCGCCTTGGTCACTGCGGCCCAAAGGGCGCTGGTCCAATACCACACCGCTGCCACGCAGCAAATCCTGACGTCGACTTGGCCAAGGTGCCACCCTACTGAGGAGGGTTCCACCTGCCGTAAGGTAGCCTAAAGCCTGAAGGTTCCAGTTTCCCAAACCCGCCCCAGCGCTCCCTTTGGCCCCTGCGTCTGCGTCACTCGGCCATGAAAAACTCAGCACCGGGCGAGACGACGTTGCCCCGGCGCATGGGCAGGACATTTCGCAGTGCGAGCGCAATCACCTCAAGCCAGTTGGGCGACTCAACACGTTCAAGCCACGGGTTGATCTACCGTTTAAACAGCTTCCCTGAGGATTCCCTAAAAGAAGCAGGGTCTGCTTAAGCAGCACTTGATTCTAACCCATCAGCGCCAACTCACGCCCTGACAGGCATGCACCGCACTTTGAAGGAAGCCAAGGACACAGAACTGGGGGAGGAGTTCTACCATTGCATCTCCTCGAGAAAACACACACTAACACACCTCCGCCACCGATCTCGAGTTGCAGAGGGACTAAAGCAAGCCAGGCTTGCGCCTCTGAAAACCACCGGGTCACCCGCGCTTTTGCGGCCAAGCTCCCCCTTGAATCACTTCTGGGCCAATGGGCTCCGAACGACGTCTGAAGGCCAGGGCGCAATGAAGGAGGCCGCGAGGCCAAGCGAAGTCTCTGAGACCGGGTGAGCCACCTTAGCCAGAAGCCAGACGTGCGGGCTCCGTGCGTTCCGGTTCCGTGCGGAACCGTTCCGCACGGAACCGGAAGGGATTGGACAAACAAGGGCACACCTTTGCTGGTTGGCCGCTATGAGAAACTTGGGAAAAGCGAGAAACTGCGAACAAGGCCGTCCTGGGCTTGAAAATGCACACACATACATATATGTATTTATATATATGTATATATGAGAACCAACACACACTTCACACACTCGTCAAACATAACACTATTTGTCTATGATGCTCGCTGTGTGTGGACAAACCAGCCGCAAGAAGAAGAAATGGTTGCCTCAGGAGTCCTCACCAGCAACAGGCGCCGCGTAGCGGACTCCCGGAGAATGGATTGGGCAATCGAACTAGCAGGGATGTGGAGAGAGCGAGGGTACAGACCTTGCTGGTGCTCAGTAGGGAATGAGGGAATGACCCATATAAACCATCCCTCGTGGTTTCCTTTAAGGGGACCCCTGGGCTCATTCCCTCATTCCCTACTGAGCACCAGCAAGAGAAACATCAACTCGTAACCGTGTACCTCGAAACTAAGTCCAGCCTGAGGGGAATCCTCCCTGTCCCTGCTCTCGTTTCCCCGCTTGGTTTCTATCGTGCCCGCAACGCCCCCCAAAAAAAACTCAGTGAACGCCTGAGCGCAGCGCTCTCATGTGTTCCAGGTGCGCGCGAAAGCGCAAGTAATTCGGTCAGGTAGGTCGTGAGGCGTGAGTCATTGCTTAAGCCTAAACCGCGGCGGCCACAGCTTCATGTCTACCAGCTGAAACTGTATTCTTCCAAATGCAAAAAGGAACAAGAAAACAGCAAACTATCACTGAATATTCAGCAACCGACAAAAAGAAGAAAAAAAACTGTTCCCAAAGCAAAAACAATCACGTACCAAGAGGCGTGATGTCAAGTGAGCCACAACCAACACGACCACAGGCGCTCAAAGAGCGCCTGTGTTGTGAGGCAACATCAAGCACGTACCTCCGGAGGTGGCCCTGATAATGGTTAAATGGCATATCTTGTCTGGGCTGTCCTCAGATCCCCTGCTCAAAGCATCTCAAAGCTTCACTTTTCATTGGTTACAGGATAAAAACGTAGGGAACCGGACGGTTGTAGGTTTCCACCTCTCCTTGATTTCCATCGGGGAAGGCACACCGCGGTGTGCGTTTGTAGCCGACCAGTCCCCGGACTCCGGCCTCCGCTCATGCAAGTTGCCGGGTGGATACTGCTTTGTACCCGCAGTTTTCGCTCTCTATTGGGGGGGCTGATGGCAAGCCTCTCCAGCCGAGTGTGGCTCAGGCCCCGCTGGGGAATGGTTTCCCTTACCTTAGCGGGCTACTGTCTTGCCTTTGACTTCTGCAGATCGCTCATTAACAAATGCTAATGAGCGCCACAATGTCCATCCTCCTCGGTTTTAGCTGCTTGGTCTTAGCTGATTGGTTCAGAATGAAGACACACACACACGCACATACAGGCATGCACAACCGAAAGAGAACCGCCGGTGCGCCTCATGCAACTTGATGATGTTGGGATGCCCCGCCAGTCGCCGGAGCGCCTGGGAGGAGTTTGGGTGGTGAGCCATGAGAGTGCGAGAGTTTTCGCCTGGGAAAGCGCGGAAGGAACGGATCCTTTAGGGAACACTGTGGACTCGAACAAACTGCTGGATCCGACAGATCCACCTACCCTTAACTACCTTAAGAGGTCAACCCATCGGGCATAGTCAGCAGTTCAACCATTGAATCTGCGGAACCAAAGATCGATCTTGGACAAAAATCCTTGCCTCAACATCTGAATCAATACATGGACTGGTCGAACAAGGGTGAACATTCTCTGGGCTGTCCTCAAATCCCCGCTAAAAGTTCAACTTTCAATGCGTTAAATGTAACTCCGCATCATAAACACACAAAAAAACAACAACAACAAGCCTTTTGTCCTTCCCACCTAAGGATCGTTCAGACTAAAACCTTTCTGGAACCGGATTGCCCAGGCTTGCCACCAAGGTTACACCAAGCAATACACGAATCCGAATCCTCTCGCACTTCCGATCCATCCGTGGCTAAGGGCTACTTGCTGTTGACCCATCTGCAAAAAGTGTTTTCTCTTCTTATGGGTTTAATGGGAAAACCCCCTTGATTCCCCCCAAAAAAGTCGAAAGATCCGTTACCCAATAGCAGTCAAGGCTATGTGAAGTCAAAACTGCTGTGCAGTCAGGATGGTTCTCAAAACGTTTCGTGCGGCGCTGGCCTTTGACAGGCCTCCCAAATGTGTTTGCTTCCTCAAAGGGGACCCCAGCACTGGCTGGTCCTTGGGGTTCTCTTGGAACACCATCCCAAGGTGCCGAAGGACAGTCAAAGGTGCGCCTACTCTACTGCGCCGGTATTCAAAGACCACTCCAGCATCTTACTTCGGTTCTTGTCTAAGGCATCTGTTGCGGGGATATCATTTGGTGCTTTCGGCTTTCTGGTGCGCCTGGATCTCGCGAAGGTTGTTCACCTGGTCGATGCTGTCAAAGTGATTCTTCATGCCTGCGGGTTTGCGCGGTCAATGCATGCGGGGGGGGTCCTTTACTCCGCTCCCTTTTTGTTTGCCACAAGCACAGACGGAAGCTATAAGAAAGGCAAATTTGTCCTTGCACACTGAGGGACGCAAAGCACAACCTACAGGCCTTGGGCTTTTCGGGTCGATAAGCCTATAAGCCATATGAGCCCTTCAGGTCTTACCATGGTGGGCCCCATAGACATTCCGACTTGTTTACCCAATGGTTTCCCGGAGCAACATCAGGACTGCCCTTTTGACTCGGCCACTCCAAGGAAAATCCCCGCCCGACAAATGGACAACGGGTGGCTCGTACTGGTTTTCCTGATTTCACCTGTCTTCCCCCATATAAGACCCAAGAAAAGGCCTTGCTTGTGGGCGGATTGGGAGGAATCCCGCATGGAGGGGGGCCGGAGTTCAGGTTCCCAATGCTCTTTCCTCTTTTCCTCTGTGGGGGAAAGGGGCCCAGTGTGGTCGGTTGGCCACTCTGAACAAGCAATCTTGAAAGCGCACCACTCTTCAGTGGGGGGGACATCCACCTCAAAAAAGCCACCTAATTGTCAAGCGACCCTGGTACAAGGGGACCCTTTTCGGGGTTGACATCGAATTTGGGCGGGGAACGCACCAAACCAGCGGAGCTTTGAAAGTTGCCACAGAACAACTTTTGGATATCACCGAGCATCGAGTTCCCGAAACCCAAATTTGACTGTTGGTTAGTTCTTCTACTCACTTGCCCAAAGGACCTGAAAATACAAGGTTAACCTTTTGGGGTCATGACTAAAACTAGACCAAGCCCGGAAAACTAAAAGGTCAAAAGGTCGGCTTTGGGCAAGTAAGTCTACTGTGGTTATAAAGTTCTGCTTGCCCCATTTTGTCCTCACAAATATAGTACTAATCCCACGCCCGCAGCGGTTCTCCTACCCTGGAACCCCCTTCCCGGTGCCCCAATTCCACTTGTGAAGGGGTGTAGACGTCCTGGCTTGATCTTGGGGCGTTCAAGTGGTCATTTATCCATGGCTGATTCTCAGCCACTGCAACCTTGTCCTGTTTGACAAGACAAACATCTGGCAAACCTCACACCTGATGCAAATAAGAGTAACGGTCAGATTGACGTCACTGTTCGGGGCAACACCCAACCAATAATCCAACAGGTTGATTAAGCCAGGGTCAATATTGAAGCGGATGTGGCCACCATTCTCTAGGAGGGGGAGGTGAAGGGGAAAACCTGCATGGCCACCAATCAATTGGTTATACCTAGATGGTTTCGCTCCCCGGCAAAGCACGGTCATGTTCAAAACCACCAACAGGTAACTATGGAGAACCCTTCATGACCCCCACTAAGCCCGAAAGTGAACCTCTTAGTGAATCGGCCCGAACGGAATCGGTTTTGTGCACTGCTCTGAAGTCAAAGCATGCGAAGGTCAGACTTACTCACGGCCTTTCCTAGGAGTTAGTTCCTGAGTTGGAACGTGAGTCGTTCGTTTCATTTGGCTGTGGCTCAAAATTAAACTGGAGGGGTTAATTCCGCGGGTTTTGGTCCATGTGTCCACTTACCAAGGCAACCCATTTTGGAATACCGGTTTTTGGAGCCACAGCCATTTCGTTTCATCAGCCCTTTGCGGCCAAGTCACACTTGATCGCGACATGCTTGCCGGACTTGATGGACTGCGCCTGCGACGTTTCTCGCTTTCTTCACAAGCCTTCAGAGATCTGTGCCTCACATCCGCCATCCGCCCAAACAAAAAGCTCGGCTCTGGTGAAAAAATGACCCAGAACAGATGAACATAGATCTGCACATGTTACAAGACCGGAAACTAGACATGGAAGTGTAGGGAAGGGAGCTATGGTGAGCTCAGTTCACCCCCGAATCAGTGAGTTAGCCATAAAACAAACTGGAACACAGACTCCTCAACCTGTGTTGTGGGCCCGCAGACCCAAAAGGAAATGACGAAATCAATGAAGCTGGAGCGGTTGTCAAGACAGCCCCCCCTCCCCTCCAATGCGTTGAAATGCGTTGAACAACTCGCATGGCAGTCTACTGAGGACTCTTGCCGTGTTGGACCTCTTGGGACCCCTTCAAACACCATGAAGAATCAAAAGGGTGGCACCCATCGCGGATTTATCCTTCTACTCAAACTTGTGCTGTGTGTGCCTCAATTGGAAGGTTTCGAAGTTGCGGCAGAATATTTACAACCTGTTTGGCCCCAACCATGAAATTGGCGGGACGTGAATCAATTGCGGGTTGCAATGGCCTGAAAGTCGGGATTTGGGCTGACTCTAATGTTGACCCCGGAGTAAACCCGTCCTCCAAAAGTGGTCTATTCCCATTCCCCACACTTCACGCAAAAACACCGGGCCCCGGATGAAATAAACAGGGGTTGAACAAAAAAATCCGGGGACATCCCGAACATTGCCTTCCATTTGCTTAAGGCTTTCTGGCAAAAAAACTACATGTCCAGTAGTGACCAAGTTCCGTTTAAAACCAACAGAAAGAAAAGAAATAATATTGTTAAGCAACTGGAAATTGACACTACCAAAATGAAAAATATAATTTCAGCAGATAGAAGTTGCCACACGACATACCTGAGAACCTACCTGGCAGCTTCGAGACAGGAAGCTGCGCAACCGAGGCGACCGGAAATCGGAAAGGCTGACCGAGGCAGAAACCGGTGGGGTAGATCGACCCGTGTTTGAGACAAACCCGAGGGTTCCCTTACAATCAAGCCCAAAGTGCCTTTAAAACAATAAAATAATAATAATAATAATAATAATAATAATAAATAATAATAATAATAATAATAATAATAATAATAATAATAATAATAATAATAACAATAATAATAATAATAAAACAGCCCCGCAAGAAAGAAGGTGGACTAAAAACGGAATCACCCCAACCCCAAAAATACCGGGTGGCCCACACCTCACCCCCCGTCTTTGTTTTGGCACCCCCCTCCACACCCAGCCACCAGGTCTCACCAAAAACCAATCGCGCCTTGAGCACCTCCGAGAAGGTGCCCTCACCCTTCTTGGAGATCAGCCTAGGGCTTAGCTGGCTGCTTCAATAGGCAGGGCTGAGGGAATGACCCCGGGAAAAAAAAACATCCAACTGCCAACTGCTGGATTCCTTTAAGGGAAGCCCCAAACGGCTCATTCCCAAAACTATATGCATATGGAAAGGACCGGCGACCAAACTACAAGTGTGGCGAAAACAAGTCATTTCCCAAAATGGGATTAATCTGTCAGCTGAAAGGACAACTGAAGCCAACCAAACCAGAGGTTGGTGAAAAAACTAAACAACCAAAAATGGGTCATGCTCTGATCCTGTGTTTTGGGAGGCAACGCAAATTGCAATTGAAACTGGAAGCCAACCAAACAAAATAAACAATCAATTTGGAAACACCGCCGAAGGATAGACATGTCTCAAAGGTCACCTTAATTACCCCACTCCGATTAGCTGTTCCAACTCTTCCGCCAACATGGTGATTATCTATTCCCTTTACACTTAAATGGACGCATCAAATCCCCAACGGGGGCCAGGGGGGCGAGGCTCTCGAACACCAAGAAGCCCGTACCCCATATGCCTTATGCCAGGCTTTCACAACCACATTGCGACCCCAAACTGGGAGAGCCCCCAATGGGAAAGCCCCCACGGTCCCCTCCTCGCAGGGGCATCTATGTTTCAACGTCCAAACCGAACACAGCCATGCTTGCAAACACGGCGATGTTTGCAAATACAACCATAGCAGAAACACATAGGGGAATTCGGCCCGTGGAGCGTCTTTTGCACCATTCTGTTCCCAAATCCAACTTTTCCCCAAACAGGGTTAAAACAAAACGGGAAAACATGTGGAACAGAACGAGGAGTGTGGAACAGAACGATGTGGAACATAATGATGCATCGTCTGATCGAACAGCTACACAACAAGGGTCATCGGAAATAGACCGTGAATGATGGTAATTGAAACCAAACCACCAAACTCGTCTTTCCCTGCTTACAGGGAGTGCTACAGTAGTGGGCGGGGCCAAGGCAAAGTCACCAAACAACGGTGCCATTGATTCTCAGGCAGCCTCTCTAGGGAATCCTTCTTAGGATTCATCATGTGTAGAGAGGAAACCACAGAATGGAAACGAAAGAGGGTGCCACATGGGCCCGTTTTTCTTTGAGAAGCCCAAGAATGGTGGCTGACTGTTTGGTTGTCCATTTTCACCACAACAAGAGGTTTCCTGAACATAAGCCGCCTGCAAAAAAGAAAAAAACATGTCCAGTAGTGATAGATTTCCTTTGAAACCAGAAGGGGAAATAATACATAAGTTTCAGCAAATGGACGTCAACAACAAACACGCCCACATGATGCTGGGATCATGGAGTCACGAAACGAGCTGAGCCAACCGCCGGTACTTGTGCATGGGGCCCGGTCGGAGATCGCCTGACGAACGTGCAACAAGTTGGCGGGTGTTTTTGGAGTTAGTACCCTTTGCAGGTTGGTTTTCCAAGGAAAGCCGAAAGGAAACCACAATGTATTGCTGTTCGTTCTTGTTTTTTGGAGGGTTACTACATTTCTTTGTTGTTTGTTTTTGGGGTGGTTTTCCCGTACATGTTGACACATGCACATAGAGCGTCTGGGAAAAAGTCGGGTCTGACGTCACCAGCTTGACGTTGACGTTGACCCACCATCTTACGACTTTCCTTCTGTGGGGCCTTTAAATAGTGTCAAGTAGAGGACCTCTTTAAACGGATGGCGTTAAACGGAAACCAAAAGGACACCACCTGCCAAGAATTGTCGTTGTGAGAAACACGACTTTGGGTTCCATGACCCTGCGCCGGACGATAATCCACAAACCAAACATTAGGATTCCATGGTGTGGCCCCAGTAAGGCGTGCTCGTTGAAATCTATTAGCTTTAAACACACTTGAACAACACACACACACAACACACACACACAAGCACACAAAAAACAACAACACAATCACACACACACACAAACACAATCACAACCACACAACCACACACACACACACACCGAAAGACACACACACAAACACAAACACAACTAACAGAACAAATACCAGCAAACACAACACATCATGAATACATATATATATATATGTATACATATATAGTATACAAACCAAAAAACATTGCTGGTTGGAAAGGGCTCATTCTCATAAATGATCTAAGACTCAGAAACTCATTTGTCCCATCTGATTGTCCACCGTCCCCGCACTCAGCATGCGACTCTCAGCGTCAAATAATTTCCGAAGTCGCGCCTCTCCACTGACGCTAACCTGGGACTCTAGTTGCGGTTGTGCCAAATAGCTCTGTTAAAGACATTAAAATCATGAATATCCGTCTCAAATGAGGTCGGAAAGTTGAACAAATATCATAGGGAGTTGGAAGTCATCAAAATATGGGTCTCAAAATGAGAGTCTGGCAACATGGGGCAGTTTTCCAGCCGCTTTGGGCTTCCATTATTCATCGCTCTTTAGCAGCATGGGCTGAAGGCTGTTGAAACGAATTCCTAGTGTGGGAGCCTTACGCATAAATGCAAACCCAGCCTAACCCTTCTCCAAAACGTCAAAACGGGAGCTGACTCCAGCGCCCAAATCAACCAAGCAACCAACAAACCAACCGAACAAACAAACAAACAAACACACAAACAAACAAACACACAAACAAAGAAACAAACAAACAAACAAACAACAAACAGGCAACCAAAACAAACCACACACACACAAAACAAACCAACCAAAACCGAAAAAAACCAAACCAACCAACAACAAACACACATACGACAAACCGTACACATACACATACACACGCCAGCAACACGTCGCTTCTATTGGATTCCTGATATGTATATAGACCTGGTTCGCAGACTTCTATCGGCAGTTGACAAACGCGGACTAACATCAAATTACCTGAACCAGTTAAAAACAGCAAAACAAAAACTAAGGAACCGGGCGGCTAGGAAGCGCCAAGTTAATAAGGAGCCGAAGGGCACTTCTGCTCTCCTGGAAGAAAAAAAAACGTCATCTGCTCGTGCAGTGAATCCGTCAAATGGTTCGGGGAATTCTCAAAGTGGTGGACTCCTCTTTGAGTGCTGTCAAAGGGAAACCAAGTGAAAACAATTATTCTGGGGTTCCACTACTTCGTGTGAAACACTCCTTTATGGATGGGTTGCCTAGGAACGCAACTCTGGCAGTGTCTATCTGGCGTCGTTGCAATCTACTTGTTTGCCATTCCAGCGTGACAGCATTTGTGTAAACGGCATCTTGGAAAGTAAGGTATTAAAATGCCAAAGACGCTGCTGAAGCCAGCTCATCCACGACACCTAGATCACACAGCGCCTGCTACCAACATGACCATCGCCAGCCAGGATGAAACAACGTCAGCTCCAAACCATTGACTTTCTTCGCTTCCTTTCGAGGGCAATTGTATCTTCGTGTGTCTTCGTGTGACGATACCCGGCTTCGTAAAGTGCAAACCAAACACCCAAGCAGCCATGAGCCATGGGTTCCCATCATAAGAGCCTCGTGAAGGTCAGCCTGATTGATGCGGCCTATTTGTCGGCCGGCGGATGAAGCCACCTTAATGATACCTATTTCTCAACCTTTGATCCTCTTGCATCAACTGGGTTCCTAATTCCTGAGTTGGTGGATGGTTGCGAAATCCATGCCGAAACCCTGAGTTTGCATGATTCCCCAAGGTTAGCTAGCCACAAAAAAAGGTTCCAGTTTGACCTGGCCTCAAAGCGGTGCGCAACGGATCTCACCATCCACCCCATTTCTCTCGCCCCGCGCGCGTGGCTTCTGCTTGGGGCCCCCGACGGCCCGGCCTCCCGACTCAGTCGGGACTCCAGGCCCCAGGGGCCCTTTTGAGACGACCCCTCGAGCCAAAGGTGGGCGGCGCCAGGCGGTGGGAGCCTTGGCATCGGTGGGAGCCAGGCGGTGGGAGCAAACAGCTGGCTCTGTGGTTTGCAGCAAAATGAACAGAACCCAAAGAACTTGCCAAAGAGCCAAAAAAACAAACACTGGGCAAGAACAGTGAAGCTCAGGTTCGCTCAGCCTCTCAGCCAAACTGTTTTGATTAATGAGGCCTCCCGGCCTATGGCCAAAATCAACTCCACGCAAAGAGCCGAACATGTTAAGTACGCTAAATGGCAAGCCTTCCAGCCAACATGGGAGTGACACCATGGTCACTGGATCTTGGGTGTCCAATCCACAAAGCCAAGTTCTTAAAGGAAGCACCGGCAATGGACGAAAGAAACAACTCAAAAAGGTAGAGCAAAGGCAAGATTCGAGAACATTGGCCCTCTTATTTAACGCCCGCCAAAAGAATACGTTTTTTGAACATTGAGAATAACAAAAACGAACTTGATGCCTCCCCTCGAAGTCGGATTGGGATCGCAACCTATGAGTGTGATGTTTGCTTGGGAGCCGTTTGGTGTGATGCGCCCAATTCAGCCTAGCTGAAGAAAAACAAATGAGACAAAACAACGACCCAAATGGGCCAAATGGGCCATGGGAGGTTGGAAAACCTCAGTTTGAAAAATGAGGATGCGTCCCCCACTGACTACAGACACGCGGTCATTCACCTTCTCATGGAACGTATCAGCGGGATGTTCCTCTATGCGCCTCCAAAACAAGGTCAATGCAAACCAAAAACAGAACAACGAGGTCCATGCCCTCATTCAATCGTGTCAATCCAGCAGGTTCAGTGTCTTTTGCCAGGTGGCATCCATAGTTGATGAGCTCATGGGAAATCTGAGTTCTCCAAATCTCCGGAAAAACCCATGTACAAACGTCAGTTCTCTTCTTTCCAATTTCCGGGCAAAGGAAGGAAGCCTTGTTCGTTCCTAAACCCCATGTTGATTCCCTGAGTACCATTGCTAGAGGGTTGTGGTTTTCCAACATGCTCATGAGGACCGGTCCACTTCCGGAAATCCAAGATGATTTCCACTACCCCCAAACCTGCACAAAGGAAAGTGGGGTACAAACACTTCATTTGGCGATATGGATGCGAGGGGAACCCTTGAAAAGGGCAATGGTGGGAAAAAGCTTACCGGCCTGCGGAGTGTGAGGGATATGTTTGCGTGGAAGTCGACGGACAAGAATAATGACTTGCCCATAGCTTCAGTCGGTCGCGCACCCTCACCAACAAATGTGAATTTACACAACACCCATCTCGGAAGAGGGACAGGTCAACTTCCATGTTTGCTGGAAGGCTAGTCCCCAAATTCGCGAAAAGTGGGATCAAGATGTTTAGTCCTCCAGTAGAGAGGCTAGAATAAGGGAATATATTGAAATAGGGGAACCCTCCCCCAAAAAAGGCTGGGAGATTGAGATGTGCCGCTTCCCTTTTGCCCCAAACATCGGCTAGGAACTGTGTCCGACTCCGTCGGGCCGGTTTTTCGGATCACAGTCGGCTGTTCGCAGGCTCAGGATCTCACCTGTTCGGCGCCAAGACCCCAATGATACACATCCTGAAACCTGAAGCACGCATTTTCTACCCGGAAAGAAGAACAAGAAACGCGCACACACACACACACACACACACACACACACACACACACACACACACACACACACACACACACACACGCGCGCGCTGGGTCAAGACGTTTCTTATAGCGAAATGCGCTCCAAACAAGTTTCAGCGATCAGCCCTACCTTCCTTCAGCTGCCAGAAGCTGATGAACGGATATATGCACACACACACACACAATTCCGGCCACTTCATGAACCCATCTTCCGTTGCCATGAAGCGGCATAGCAGGGCTGTTTAATTCCTGCAGAAAGAGGAGTCACATTCATGTTAAAGTAGAAGGGTCCACCAATCTTCATCTATGCTCTCTTATGTTTTTTTTTTGCGAAATCCGGGCCTAGGACGCTTAGCTGGACGTGTCCACCCGAAACGCCTAAGTAGCATCTAGCATCATCTAACCAGGCTTCATGGTTGGCGGTGACCTTTTTTTCATGAATTGTGGGCAGCTTCACTGTTCACCTAAAGCACATATGGTGTATCCTGCACCCAGGTTCTGATTCTGGATTACATAGCACTCGTAATTTTGATGCGACTGGTGACTACCAATGTTCAGCTTCCCACTAAGTTGGTGGCTTGGGTTGGTGGTTTAGTGGCGAAGGGGTGGTCTCCCATGTACCCCACACAAGAACCAGGGTTCAAACCTCCCAAACCACCAATCCAAACCACCAACTAGTGGCTACCTGAAATCACTAGCCAGGTCCTCCAGTAGAGAGCTTAGAATAAGGGTACCCTTTTGTCTGTAGTCTATTTTAGAAGGGGACCCTGCCCAACAAAAGGTGGGAGAAAGGGCGCTACAGTAAATGGACACTACCACTAAACACTAAAAAACCAAACGGCTAAGGAACCGGATGGCTGGGAGCCACCAACACTAGGTTCTGGTTCTTACCAGCGACCCTGGTTCAACCGCTTTGGCTGCCTTGGAAGGAGAGCTCGTCAGTGACTCTGCGTAACCAAGCCCCAAAATGGTGTGGTTGTCGTATTGGAAGCAACCGGACGTGGGTGGGGGGAAAACAAAAGAAGTAAAAAACAAGTCCAAAAACACAGGGGAAAAAGAAAAACAGAATACGGAACCAAATCAGGGGACCAACTCCAAAATAACTCACAACCCCACCCTGCTGTTGGAACCGACGCTGCCTTGCCGAGGCGGTGTTCCGCCGTTCAGCTCACGCAGACCTCGGCACATCAAAAAATCAGCTGTTCAGTGACTCTGGATGGGCCAGAAAAAGTCCAGGAACTTTTCCAGCACCCCCTAATAGCTATCTTGCGGACAGCACTTGGGCGTTTGGACATGGGAAAAACCAGTTGTTGGGAGGTGCTTCCCCCCAAAATCTCGTGAAAGGGCGTCTGGGTTCGGCCGCCCCCTGTTTTCAAGGTGGTTTCCTTTAGGCTTCAAAAACTCCAGGACTGCCCAACAAAAACGGCACCCAAAAGGTTGCTTGCTTGTTGATGTTTGCGGGCAATTAAATCAACCCAAAGCCAACTGACTCAGTTTTTGGACTTACTCGTTGTTTGTTTAGTGTGAACCGATAACCACCAAAATCCTGCAAATGGGTCCGATTCCACTTTTATAGATTCAAGGGCTACCTGGTTGGGCGCTTCAAACCAACATGTACCGCGAAGTACGCGGCTAAGCGGACCAGCTTTTTGAATCGACATACCGCCCATGCGAGTGGTTTCCATTTATTTTGGTGCCATTTAGTTTGGTGGAAAAAGCCCTGTTTCAAATGGGCAACATGTATCTTTTGAGGAGCCCTGGAATGATGGCCATACACAATATTTAGATGCGTTACCCCGTGCTTCCGCCTGAAGCTCCCCCGGTAATTACCCTCAAGGTCCTTGAAAATCACCCCGAACGAGCCCTGAATATGTTTCAACCTTTTTGTTAGACCTTCCCTTTGGCTTTGTCAAGCTCGGCCCCCCGACTCTCCGAGATCTCCCGGCAGCTCGGCGTCTCTCCCGCCTGGCCCAACGGAACCCAACGGGATTCCCAGCGGGCTGATAATTCCAGAAGCCAGGGCGTGGTTGAAATGGAATCCACTTTGGTACAACAATAAGCTCACGTGATATCCCCAACAGCAGAACCTCGTGGAACCCTCGTGGAACCTTGCCTCAGGGCCGCCCCGGACCACCCCGGAGCCCATCTGGGCTGAGACCCCAAAGCTTTCAGCTGTTGGGGAAAAAGGGCCTCTCAGAGGGGATTCACTTGTATCACAGAAGTGGGGATTGCCTTGTATCACAGCAGTGGGAATAGTATCCTCCCCCATTCCATGGAAGCTCCAAAAGGGACCCCGAAATGGAAGACTTGGTGACCCACTTACAGCGGCCTGCTGGGAGCTTCCATGGAATCGTCTGAGGGACTGTACAACAAGAAGGGCCTCCCAAAGACGAAGGGGCCCCTTGTATCACAGAAGCGGTGATCCCACAACCCTGGGAACCAACGTTTGCGGGGTATTGCGTTGGGCAGCATGTCTTGGGTGACTTGCCTGGATATTCCGTTGACAAAAGAAAAGGTGATGGCGGCCAGCAATTGCGTTACAGAAGCAAACACACACGGAACAAGTCCATGGCGTTTGGCTTGGGGTAAGCTCATGCTCCCGACAAATCATGGCCCCCGGGAGTTTGGGGTTCCCAATGAATGACAAACGACAAACATCCTGCACTCCAAGTCCGAGTTTATGTGTGAGGCCCAAACCTTACATGATGTCCCAGCCCGCAATAGGAATGTGTTCCATCCGTCCTTTTTGGGGCACGCCTCTATGCATTCATGGGGTGGGGATACCCAAATCCTCAGACACCAGCTGCCGGAAGTTACTACAACTCCTGGATCCTGTAGACCAATTCTGTGATTGGATGCCCCCACAACCATGGACTATGGGTTCTACCAGCATGATTCTAAAAGTCTATTTAGACCTTCCTACAACCTTCTTGAAGCCAGTATGCACCGAACCACCTAGCCTAGGTCCTCCAGTAGCGAGGATAGAATAAGGGTACCCTTTTTGCTGTAGCCTATTTTAGTAGGGGAACCCTCCCGCAAAAAAAGGTAAAAGGGCACTACTAGCACTGCCCTGTTCGGGGCTTTAGTGCGCTGCTCATTTTGCTTCCACTGCGCGCCTCCTTCTGAAAGGCAAAGGCCTCGAGTGAATTCTCGCCGCGCGAGTGAGGGCTTCCTCCAATGGAGCTTATGCCTTCTAGCCTCCAGGCTCGTTGACATGAAAACCACTAGGCACCCATTAAAGAGGACGCTCTTCTTCCAAAAGACATGACCCTGCATTCAGTCTAGCCCAAAAGTGCAGCTTGCCTCCAGTTGGTGCTTTGAATGGGTGGCTGGGTTGCCATTTGCAGCCTACAAGAACCAGGATTTCAAATCCTCCACCAATCACCAGCTAAGGGCTACCGTAAGGATATTGGCAAACATAAATTCCCTTCCCAACCCCCAGGTTACTCTTTTGTTGGCGCCCACCCTCTAAACATGAATATGCCGCGCAAAACCAAAACAACTTAACATGCCGTTGCAAGTTCCACTGCAAATGCACGTGCAATCACCGGCAGCAAGCAAACAACTTCCAAACATGTGCCATGCACTAGGCAGAGGCAGTAGATGAAGGGCCTCAGCCTTGACACATCAACGGAGCTGTTATTTGAACCCCTTGCCATCGCAAAATATCACACAACTCTCCTCCCGGACCAACCGGCCCAACCCAACAAAGCGTAGCGAGCCTAGACAAAGAAACCCACTTGGCGTCCCAGGCCAAATAGAACTTCATGGCGTCCTGCATCTCTGGAGCCTGCGCGCGGAGAAGATCGCGAAAGCATTTGAAGCCTCACACTTTTGGGTTCGTGGCCGGAATGTGCTTTGGAGGGGGTTAAGAGCAGAGTCGGGCTCGGGTTCCGGAGGGTTCTAGGAATTACCTGAGTCGGGACGTGGGCGTAATTCTGCGATACATTCGAACATGGCAAAAGCGGCAACACCATCAACTTCCCGCAAACGGCCCCGAGCCAAATCAAACCCAAAGTGCATCCTAAACCCAACTGTCTTCCGATGGAACCTGACCTTCCCGCTTGGGAGATGAGGGGTGGGTTCCTTCAACAGAAATCAAAGGTCGGTCAGTTGTTCTTTTTTGTTTTCAGTTTCCGCTTCCTGGTAAAAGGGTGTCATGTCTTTTTTGCATGGCGATGACTACTCGAAGATCTCCCGAAGCTTTGCCATGGCAAGCAAGGGGGGGGTGGAAGACTCTAAAAGGATCCCTGCGGTGGGCGTGTTCCGTGGAACTTGGCAGGATGCAAAACCAACGGCACATCAGCTTCCCTCCAACTGGTGATTTGGAGCGCGGTGGATTGGTGGTGTGGTGGTTCGGGATAGTTTCCCAGTTACCCTCTACAAGAAGCCATCAATCCAAACCACCAACTAAGGGATACCTGCTGAACAACGGCAAGCATCACGCTAAAAAACAGAAGCCATCGATCCAATAACAAGAAACACACGCTGTCTCCATTTCTCAAGGCGAGACTGCCGCGCAGAAACATCCGGCCTCTGACTCCAAAGCCATGCCACCTGGCGAAAACTTGCAAACAAACATGTTCTCGTGTCAAAAAAGGTGACCTGGACCAAACATCACACGACGTCGGGCCGATAGGGTTTCAAATTACATGTGGTCTGGGAAAATCAAAGCCAGCTTGCGGCTTCCTTTTAGTTTATTCAAATCTATTGGCTATTCAACACCCAGTCTCAAAATGACAAAAAGTGAGTGGATTTTGCCTGGAAACCAACCCCCCCTCCCCCGAAAAATGGTCGCCTTAGAAAGCGCCTCACATGTGCCCAGGGTCCAAATTTCGACCTACCCCCCATTTCAGCTCAAGCGTTTTCCTGAACAAAAAAAAACGTGAGGGTGGAATCCGCTGAACACAGGTGACCTTCTGGAAAGTGATGAGTTTCCCTGGTACATGGGGTTTCATGGGGCATGAAACCAACTGGTAAACCCGTGGAACCCATCTGCTTCCCACCAAACGAACCGATGAAAAGGACACCTATGCCACCGAACAACCAGGTGCTTCAGGTCCGGCACCCAGCTCCATTCGAGTCCCGGTCCCCAGAAGCATCCTCGCAGGTCCCAACTGCATGTTCCTTCACACCAGAAAAAAAGGGAACTCAAAGGGGGATGTTTAAGTCCACCCAAAGAAGACCCTGCGTGTCAAACCACCAGCAAATCAAAAGGGGTTCATATAACCGCCATGATTTACCCTGGAAGCAAATCATCATCCATATTGGGTTTTTGTTTTTTTTCATGAGAATCGGTGGAAATGTAGGAGAAAAACACCAACTTAGCATTTCCAAGTGATGTTTGAGACCACCTTCCAAACCAAACATCGCTGGGCCCTTGCCACTTCTGGCGCCTGAGAAGGCATAGATCCGCCGCAGCCGGCCCAGGGCGGCTTTGTCCCCCTGCGCGAGCTGGTACAGCGGCGTCAGCAGCCGAAGCTGCAGGCCCTGGCAAGCGAGGCGAGGCACGGGGCGCAGAAATCCCCGCGAAGCTAGTCAAGAAACAAATAAAGCAACAACCACTGAAACCACCAGAACTCCGCCTGGTCACAGATTGGGTGACTTCTTCATTTCTTGTGTGGGCGATTCTGTTTTTCCCAGGGTTCCAATTGGTTGGGGCGACACTTCCAACTGAAAACCCTCAAAGCCGGCCGTGAATTCCCCGTTCGCCTCGCCTCCGCCGTCAATTGACCCAGCCACCCCCGTGATCCCAGGATGCCCAAAGGGTCTCTGGACTCATGGACCCTGGGGGGGCTTTCGCTATGGGGGGGGGCTATCCCTGGCAGGGGCTATGGGGGGGTAATGAGCCCTCAAGCAGGCCTAATGAAGAGGTGAAGGGATCCCCCCTCCACAGTTCCCCCCCCTTAGGGATCCATGATGTATTACGATTTTTACATCCATCTCTTGATATTCGCCCACGCGGTGACGCATTTAGCGGCAAGGCACGCCGTTTGGCATATTCTAGACCACCCAGTTTCAATCCACCCAACACTTAACACAACGGCAGCAAACACAAATAATTATTCCTCATTTCACACAACTAGAAACAGTGCAACCAACAACCTGACACCTGCAAACATGTAACCTAAAAACAACACATCACTAACAACAAATGCCGGAAGCCAAAAACATGAAAGAAACCACACATATCATCACGCTCGCACAGACACACACACACACACACACACACACACACACACACACACACACACACACACACACACACACACACACACACACACACACACACACACACACCAAATGCACTACAAAACATACCAACGACCATAAACCATGAGACATCGATCTTCAAAAACAAACCACACATGAAAACAAAATCACACCAACCAAACCACACACGAGAATTACTAGAAAACCACACCAAACAATGAACACACGCTGTAACACACATGCCAAAAACCGGAAAGAATGAACAATGAAAAACAAACAAGGAACAAACAACACCTTCCCCCCCGTCCCCTGCCCAACCCGTCCCAACCCGTCCAACACGCAGTTCGATCCCTGCATTTTTGGCGTTCGCCTGGCGGCGCGCCATGGCCACCATGGAGGGCATGTGCACCAGCGGCTCCCGGCAATCCTCGGAGTGAAGCGAAGCGAAGCTACCGTCGTCACACGTCCATCGGGGCTGCTCGGAACCCCATGGAACCAAGAAATGTCTGGTTTACATCAAAAGTGCCAAAATGGGGTTTGCCGTCACCTTTCTTAATTTCTAGTTGCGTTTAGGGCCGCAAATGGGAAAGATGAACAAATATGTCCAGTAGTGAAATCAATTCCTTTTTTAAAGCGAACAAGGGAACATATACATTTCTTAAGCAAATGGAAGTTCAGGTGCAAAGGGGGCTGCTCAAAATAAAATGGAACTCTTGCCTGTTTTTATTTGGGAAACCACAGAAAACAACGTCCATTTTGGATGGGAGTCATGTTGAGACAAAACCTTGTTCCCTGAAAGGATTGGGATTTGCTCAAAAATGAGCGGTTGAAAGATTGGTTCATCAGTCTATGTGGAATAACTTTAGTATGGACCAAATCCACGAGCACTGGTTGGGATCGGTGGCCCATGCCCAACAACCCAGGTCCTTAGGATTGCTTTGGCTCAAACATGTGGGCCTTTCTTGGCAAACACTTCCACAACAACCAACCAGGTTGGTTTGAATGTAAGCATTGCAATGGCGTTTAGTGTCAAGAAAGGCCACGAACGTCTCGTCTCTATTGCGATTGATCTGATTTAATGGGCCGCCCTACCCCCCCCCCCCCCTGGCAATGTTTGAACAAAAGGCCTGGCCACGGAAGGAACTTGTTCTATCATGTTACATGACAGACTCCCCAATTGGCTGGGGATCTAGGTTTGTTGACGAAAAATAGTGTGTCGATGTCGACAAATGCTCTGCCAAGTCGCGTCCACAGCGTCCACAAGGCGAAACCTAAGCATCGTCATATACATCAAACATCAGTTTTCCGCAAAGTTGTTGGCATGAAACAAAAACCAAAAAAACATAAAACGAATGCTCTTCCACCCGTCATTTTCAGACTGGCATGGCATTCCTCCAGCAAAACCGTTTGCCACTGCCAAACGAAACAAACCTCTCAGGTTCGCGCGTGTACATCACCCCGAAGGCCCGTGGGTCCACGGCGAGGCCGGCGTCGGAACTCTGGCGCCAAAGCTCGGGTGCCGCTTCCACCTTGGACCACTCCTGCGTGAATCGCCAGCTTCCCTTGTTCGGGTACCAAGGTGCACCTTTTTGCATTGTTTAAGGGGAAACCCCACCAAAGAGGACCCTCCAAAAATCAAAAATGAGACGACTACCAACCGCCTGAACACAACAACACCAGAACCACCTGTTTGTAAATGTGTTTGTTGTGCTCGCACCGTGTCAACCCGCGAAAGCCTAATTCCATAGTGGTGTGTTTGTCGCTGGGTGTCGGCTATCGGTTGCTCTCATGATGCGTGCGCACACACACACACACACACACGTGCGCGCACACACACACAGGCATAAATCACTTCTCCATGAACCTTGCAACATGCAGTTGTTTCACACCGTGAGATGTTGTATCATCTCGCCTACTCTGCCAAACAATAATGTCCTGCACCACTACCCTCATGGAAAAAGGAGAGGAACCCTCAGTTCCAATGGCTACCAAACAAATTAATAGAAGTTCACTCGGAAGAAAATCAGAACTAACCTCTTCCTCAGTTCCTTGAGCCAACAAGGAGTAAGTGGACAAATAAACAGGAAAGTACGCGAACGGCGGACAGGGTGCCTTGAATAAAGCAACATCCATCCCCTTGTATCCTGAATCGAGCAACGTCGGGAAACAGTGCTATGTTGCGGGCTGCAAATGATTGAGGAAACCCAAGCCAACCAAACAATAAGTGTTTGGGTGGTCTTCAAAGGACAGGAAGCAACCAGGAACAGATTAAGAACAATGCTGCTAGGAACAGGAAACAACATGAGACAGCTAATGGGAACGACGAAGGGCACACAGAATGAGGTCCCCTAATCTATTGATTACTTTAAAGAAATAGCCAGGCTATATTCAATCAATCAGTTAGTTAATCAATCAAAACAATTAACTACTTCTTGAAATTCGGAAGTATTAAGCAGACAGACTGACAGACACACAGACAGACTGACTTTCTGATGGACTGACCGGCAGGCAGGCAGGCAGGCAGGCAGGCAGGCAGGCAGGCAGGCAGGCAGGCAGGCAGGCCGGCAGGCAGAGAGGCAAACAGACAAACAAAACAAACACAACAAACAAAACAAACAAAACAGACGATCAGACGAGCAAACCAACAGACACACACACACACACTAAAATAATAATAACATAAAACAGAAACAATACACACATAACAACACAAACACACAAAACAACAACAACAACAAACAAACAAGCAAACAAATAGACGAACAGACAAACATAACAAGACAAGCAAACAAACTATATAACAAACAGGCAAAACTAACAAAGCAACAAACAGACACAAATACAGACAAACACACCGCCAGACACCCCAAACAAAAACAACCAACAAACAAACAAACAAACAAACAAACAAACAAACAAACAAACAAACATCAAACAAACAAGCAAGCAAGCAAACAAACAAACAAACAAAAACAACAAGCAAGCAAACAAACAAACAAACAAACAAACAAACACACAAACAAACAAACAAGCAAACAAACAAACAAAAACAACAAACAAGCAAGCAAACGAACGAACAAACAAACAAACAAACAAGCAAGTGCATGCACCCATTGCTCTCAGAGTTCAAGCCTCCAAGATCGAACTGCCTCGCTCCTCTGCTGTGAAAGTCACCCCCAGCAGCTCGCCCGATCCCTGGCATTCTGGCATGGCTTCGGAGCGTTGCGCTTGGCTTCCGCGCCACTTTGAGATGTTGTTCACTACCCAAACCCTTACACAAGGAACATTACAGGGTAGGGAAAAATGTGGTATATAGTGGCACTCGGGGGAGTGGAAACCGCCTGAAAGCTACCCTCCCACCATGCTCACCATGGACCCGCACAGGCGCGAAACGGATAGCAGTTCTTCGAAGGTGTCTGTGCACCAGACCCTTGGGCAGGCGCAAAAGGGTTAGCAAGCGGAAATAACCTTGAACTCACGTCCGATCGAGTGGATTGGTCTGAACGCTACATTTACCACTAAACTAGGCTGGAATTCCCAGCAAAAAGATATATATTTGTTTGCCTGGTTGGTGGAAAACAAAGGGAACCCAAAGAAGCAAAAACACACAAAAAAGGGGAGCTAAAACCAGGGGAAGTAATCCAGGTCTTCCCAAGCTTCAAGTTCAGGAAGCTTTTTGGGAGTGAGTGAACCCATGGGGCGAAGTTCATTCCACATGCGAGTCGTGCAACGTGGGATGGACCTCCTCATGGCCATAGGTGTCCTTTTAGGGGAAATAGATGGCCCTGGTAGATGATTCAACCACCAGGTAAACCAGGGATCGCCATCTATTTGTCTAGCAAACCAACCAAAAAGGACACCTATGCTCATGGCTTATGTTTGGGGGGATTTTTTGGATACCAAACGTGTGCCCACAATTGCTGTGCTCAGATGCCCAGCGGCCATGGAGAAAAAAGGGCATCCTTTTTTGGCTGGTTGAGGTTGAAGGGGAACCCTTCCGCAAAAAAGGAACAAGGGCGCCACTGGGCAACTGGGTGTGGAAGGACAAAATCCTGCAGCAGTCATAGATGAAGCCCTTCAAATAGTGGGAAAACGCACCGAATCACCCACGAAGTGATGTGTCCACACGCGCAAAAAAATCAACGAGCCCCGGAGATATCTGCGCCATGCGCGCGTTGCCTCCCCCCCCTCAGCCTGAAAGGCATGACATGGGAATCATGCCCACAAACGGCTTGAAGTTCCATGAGTATGGGGGAACATACTGTGGATGGACGATATCCAGCACCACATTGAATCCATCGGAAACCATTGTTGGTTGGTATTTACAAGGGAATCATGATTTAAGGATTTCTCAAATGGTCCAGGAATTTGTCCATCCACAGAACTTTTGAAGGAACCCTTCACCTTGGAGTGAAGTTGAAAACTGAGACCCTTCGCGAGGCGCCTTGGCCATGTGGCCAGCCTTGAAATGACCCACGTGGGGAATTCCCGGCCTTCCCCTTCGACTCAATGATCCTGGCACCACTCGCGGCTGCAGTATCTGCTCTGCTCGAAACCCCGGCTGCAACCAGCGACCCAAACAGTAGAAAACGGAACCCACTCTTGCATGCATGGGCTGGTCATCACACAGTCTTTGGAGTTGCTTGTAATTTGCTTGTTTGTGATGAACCCCCTGTAATCTGGGCAGACTCTAGAATAGCACATTTATGCACCTTCGAAAGCGTCTACAGGGACCCTCTAACCCATGTGGTTGCTTTTCCTGAATGTTCAGTAACTCCCCTTTTTCTGTCAGGCACTCCACTTGCAAGCCTTTTAAGTGAGCCCAGGAAGGAATCTGGAGAACAACATGCAAGGCTTACAGACACACCAATGCGAGCAGTGACCCTGCATTACATTCAAACAATTAAAGTGATTTAAAAGGTGCCTCGAAGCTTTGGTGCCACGACACCCCCAAGGAAAGCCCCGTTCCTGCAAGTAAGCACAGGCCAAGGTGGGCAAGGTGCAGGAATCCTTGCCTTGACGATCTTAAACTAAGCTGGGCTGCCATGGATGGCATAGGGTGTTCCCCTGCAAAGGTGATGACGCCCCCCTATAAATAAACAGGGGTTTCTTAATCCGGTGTCTACACTAAGGTGGGTAATTAGGTCAGTTGGCAACCATGGTAAGCTGACCTCACGTGCCCGTTTGGAACCCTGAGGAGAGGGGTCGCCCCCTCCCCCAATTCCATTCTTAAGGGGTGGGGGTGTTGAGGGGCACGAAACGGGGCTACCCTTGGGTTGGTGTAACTGGAGGTCACAAGCAAACCATCTGCCCCTGTGGATGGGCGAAATGCATTTCGCACATGTAAGAAGTCATGGCTGAAACCATGGTTTGCTGGCAATTACAGGGGAATCCAGGTTTCTTGTGGTGTACAGGTTTGAGGTCGAAAACTGGGCCTGCGTGAAACGACAGCAACAGTCCTCGCGGCATCAGGCACTGTGCCGACAAAGTACCCACCCGCGCACAGCCGGCTGGCAGCCTAGCATACTCACGCGCTTAAACAGATTCGGAACGAGACTTGAGAAGGTTTCACTGGTTCAAGCCACAAACAGATGGACGAAACGCATCTGTTGCTAAGCGGTTGTCCCATTTCCCAAAGGCTTGAGCATGCTTCGGTGCCAAAGCCAAAGATGATCCCACAACCCGAACCAAGGTCAATTTGCGGACCGGTCGCTTTGACACCGGAGCTCCTTCTATCAAAAGCAGTTTCACCCATCGCAGAAAACTGGATTTTCGTCCATCAGGATCTTAAAATGAAAGGCGGACCTTGACTACTGGACAAAACTGGAAACCCGGCTTTGCTCCTTGGATATAGCCTTCATCAGTTTGGCCCAGGCGGACAGATTCAATGGACCGGATGCTTTCCAACTAGGCATTCAAACCCGCAACGAAAAAGCCAAATAAGCTAGGGCCAATTCCTGAACTGCGAAGCTGCAACCCTCCGTGCATGCAAGGGCCCTGCACAAGTGGGGCAAAATTTTGTTGACACCCTGTTTTGGTAGCCCGGAAAAGTGCGGAAACCCATGTGAGACAGGGTTCCTGCATTTTCACAAGTGCTAACCAAGTAGCGTTCAAGCAAAAGATCAGCTCCGTAGCGTGCCTTCATATTTTGGCAGCTGTCCCCCGATAAATTGCCGGTTAAACAATGAACACATGCGAACACCCTTTGAGGCAGACAGGCTGGGTTTTGAGTAAGGTCATGACAAGGTGTCCTCAGGTGTGTGAGTGTTTGATGACTCTTCGGACAAACGTACTTGGCCACTTCCCCGGCAACCTGCCAGGCAACCTACAAACACTATGAGCAACTGACAAAGCAGTAGCCCCCTTTGAGACCATTAAGGCAGCGTAAGATGACACCAGGGTACCAAAAGCCGGCACCTAGCTTTAACTACACAACCATGGGGTGACGAAGTCTGACTGCCAAAGGCTTCAGGCTGGCCGATGCGCAAATGGCAGGCAACCCGGGCTTGCTTCAAATGACTAGATCAAGCCATCAACTCGCACGTCCCGACGCGAAAAAACAATATAGCCCAAGGCGGCCCCTTCCAAAGTCAACGTTGTGCTCAAGCTCCTCGATCTTGCTCTTCTGCCAGCTCACCTGTGTTTGCAGGTTGGAAACGAGCTGGTTCGCCTTCGTCAGCTCAGTTCGCCACTGGTACTTCTCCACCCGCTCCGCCTCTCTCTGCTCTCCAGGCGGTTGATCTGCGCACCCGTAGCAGCCTTCAGCTCACAGTAGCATCCCAATGTGGAGTGTTCGGCACTCGATGTTCTTCCAAACATTCCTTGCAAAACCCAATCCTACCCATACTGGAAATCCACGGGTGGAGAACAGTGAAGGAGGACGGATACCCACTGAGTAGGCAAGCAAAACATGTTGCGGTATGACGCATCAACATTAAGAAGCCTATGCGCACACTCTCAACGGCACAATTGTCACTCCTGACACAAAGGACCAAAACAAACAGGCCTCAGCAAGCAAAACAGAATCTCAACAATCACCAAAAACAGGACTCCACTTGGGTGCTGTAGATTCCCCCAGCAAAAAGTTTCACTTTTTGCTGGTTGAAAGGAGATATGAAGGGGAATCCCAAAAGTTAAAGTCTAAAGATCCAAGCCAATAGCGCTGGGCTGCCCTCAGATCCCCCGCTAAAAGTCTAACTTTTAGCGGGTTCAATGGTACCACCAAACACTAAGAGGCTAAAAAGCTAAGGAACCCGATGGCTGGCTTCGCCACCAAGTGCCGTGGAGCCCTTGGATCTCCATAACCGAAGTTCCACCCGCAGGTTAAGAAGGACCATCAATGGCTGAAAGCCCCAGGAAAACCGAGAGGCCCCGCAAAAGGGGTGTGCGAAAGGGAGCGCGCTAGGCAAGAAGCACTAGATTTATCTTCCATTTGCTTGAGCGCAGTGGGAAAAAATGCCAGTAGTGATTCCCTTTAGAACCAACAAGAGAAAACAATAAATACTCCTTTCAGCACATGGAAGTCATGTTGCCAAAAAGCGACTTGAACTAATGGCTCGCTGCATTCAAGACCCAACCTGCAAAACCTAGGTTGTCCCGGCAAGGGACCCAGACAAATAGGTTAAGCTGGATAGAGTGCCCCGGGGAACATAGGGAACTCAGTTGGATTCGTTTGTGTATGGAATGCGCAAGACAGGAACTCACTAGACGCCCCAGGGCATGCCAGAGGCACTTCGGGGAAGGAGACAGTCACCCTACAGCAGGTCTCCCGCACTTCGGACACCTCCCTTCTTTGACCACCTTGCCCCCAATTGGCTTGGCTTGGTGATTTGGAGGTGAGGGAGGTATCCCATTTATACAAGAAACAGGGCTTCAAAGCTCCAAATCCAAACCACCTCCCAGGCCTTGAACTCTAAAATCCCTTTGAAGTAACGACGCATGCAGCCGCACTTTGCAAACAAGCCGCATTTTCCAGCATGATCTCCACCGACTCCTGCAAGTCAGTCATGCTAATGTCCCTGCATGATCATGACCAAGAAGTTGGGGCGTCCCTGGGTTTAGTGGGGAAGCAGACCACTTTTGGAGGAGCCCCCACCTTGGAGGAGCCCCCACCCCCCTGTTAACTAATATAGGTCCAATCAGCAAGCCCTTCATGCGTCACCTGTTCGGCCTCCAGTAGAGTGGCTTGAACTCTGTCTGAGTGTGGGGTAAGCTCATCAGGATTGCTGCCATGCTTCGAGAAGTACTTGCGGAGTGCCGTGGATATATGACAGATTGCTGGAACGAGCGCAGGATTTCTGCAACCAGCCATGCAAACAGCAGGATATCCCGAGCATAATTTACTCAAAACGCACAGCCGTTCACCAAAGCAAAACCAAGCAACAATCAGGGGGACATACTGCCTGTCCTGTTACCTTAGCGGAAAAAATATTGGTTTGTTTTGCATGGGCTTCATCCTGACATACCACACAAAACGCAGGCCCACTGGCGTTCGGCTGGCCCCCAAACCTGTAGAACAACGCCACCTTCGGATTCATGCGAAGGACACATTGTAAGAACCACCCGCCAAAAGGGAACTCACTTGGCAACTGGGTGAAAGGAGATGGCACCATACCCTTTAAGGGAGTTGGGCTGTCCTCAGGCCCCATGCTAAAAGATTACGTTTTAAATGGACAACTCCACTAAACCCCAAAAACATAAAAGCTAAGGGGACGCCTGGAAACCGCCAAGGCATGACTAAACCCACATGGATAAATGTTCCATCTGCTTTCCCCGGCCAAAAGCGGTGAGCCCAAGCCGAACACCGGGCCCCGTCCGTGCGACCAGCGAACGGGCCACGCCTGCGTGCCAAAGGCATAATGGCACGCCTCAGCGAGAGGGCGGCCGGAAATGCGGCGACTCGTTCCAAACCAGCACCCACCAACGGCTGCATTTCCTATGTCCAAGACTCAAAGCGTTACGTCCAGACTGCAGTCGTTGGGGGGCGGAGGTGCTGGCCAAGGTGCCAACGGCTTCAATGACTCCAGATGGTTCCAGTTGTCCAAACGGTTCCAACCATCTGGATTTCTCTGAGCAAACGCAAGTCTCATCCAATCCCAGGGAGCAAAACACAAGAAACACGCCCAGGGGAAAAATGGTCTCCCAACTGAAATGCCCATATTTTTTTGCAAAACATGTTTGGACTGCCAAGCATGTCCGGAGGGCAAGGAGGGAGTTTCACCATCCAGCCGAGGGCTAGTTCTGCTGGCCTCCCGGGCTCAACAAATGGCAATGAGACTGGGAAGCTATGCTGCGGACCAACAAGATTCCTGCGCCCATGAGGTTGTGAAGTACTTAAGTTGGGTGTTGATAGCCAACCACTGCTTTTCTCAACTGGCACCCCTGCCATTGCATGAAGCGATTCCTGCAAAAAGGGTTGGCAGAGAAATGCAACATAACGCAAGTACAGTCATTTTTTTCCAGTGAACAAATCTAGGGGTACCTCCCCAGCGCGTGGTTTGGCCCGGCTATTGCCTTCGCCGACATCGATCTCGGGCGCCCGGCCATTTGGGAGCTCACAAGGTGGAACCTCAGCTGTCAGTGGGCCCCAAAGAGGCCGACCCCAAGGAACCCGCACCTGGCATTGACCCGAAGACGCACCCAGGGTGATGTGCCTGCTTTTAATTTATATAATGCCCTTTCCACGCTGGAACCCTGCCCAAATGAATCATGCTGTGTGTCATTCCTCCAAATGTCCAGATGCCACCAACAAAAAAAAACAGGCCTCCGAGTAAAACATAGCAGGGTCTGTAGAGGTTCCCGGCCCCTTTTGAGCCTGCCCTTCCAGTTAGAAACAACGGATAACCGTCCAAAGCCAAAACTCAACACAGTTTCGAGAGAAGGACATATCATTGAAACAAGCCGGTGAGTTTTGAAGCTGTGGAAACAAGCGACGACTACGTACTCAATGGGCCGGGTAGCACAAAGCATCAAAGGAGCTGCAAAAAGTACTCCCAAGAAAAGCAACACCGGCAACCAAACAGCCAAAGTAGGCAGGCGCCGCTTCAAACACAACGCAACATGCAAAACATGGAGAGAAGCCCGGCGCAAACGACAAAGGGTTATTTGGGTGTGAAAATTGAATCGAATGTGCACCTACTTGCCCAGGTAGCGGAGAATAGATCCGTGTGCCAACTTGCTTCAGAGACACCCCTATCCAAGTCAAGATTGCCGAGCACTGTGAAACTATCAGCATTTTTCCAAGTCAAAGAACAAAAAACAAAGGCTCTGGCGCGTAATCAATGAGACCTTGTGTTTGTGCTGCTCACTACACGGCGGAGGGCGCGTTTCTGTGGAGATGATGCGCATAGCGCATAAGGTGCAAGCCGGACTGTGGCTGTGCTCAGTGGCATGAATGGGCAAACGGGTCATGAACACGCAGTTTCAAACGGATGATCACCCATGCCGTCGGTTAAATGTGTTCTTCGGCTTCATGACCACCCATTCTGTCGGCTGTTTTTTCATGAACACCCATTCTGGGCGCAGATCTTCGAAACACCGCAAACACCAAATCAAAGCGTCGTAACTCGGACTCCCGCCAGCATTGGCCCGAAGGCGATCGCGCAGTGCCATGCCTGCACACATGCCATCGACGATAGGGATAGAACCGATAACGACCAGGGGCTCCCTATGGTTCCCAATATAGATATAGCCTCAAGCATCACCTCAAGGAAACGTTGCTTGCTTACTCAACTTGGCCTCTGGCCATGCCCGAGCTGTATGCAAGACTTGGATCACAACCAGGACCAAGTTGAAGTGATTTCTCGTACTGGCTTGCTTCCAAGTATCCTATCATGATCAAACCCGTGCGCTCAGCTTGCCATGCTGAAAAACAATGTCCCAGCCTTGCAGTATCCCACTGGTGCTCCAGCCGGGTGTGCCAGCAATCTGCGTGGATCAGGGAGACCTTGCGAGCAAGGCTGGGTGCATCGTGGTGTGCCAATGTGTACGCACGTCGAAGCTCGCGGTCGTGTTGGCTTTGTGGATCCATGTCGGAAAAAAAGTCCCGATAAACATACATATGTATACTTATAATATATATATATATATATGTATATGATGGCGCATATGCGGTGCGAGCATTCCAGGCCTCTCTCAGCGGCTCCCGGGAGGTTGCCAACAGCCCGTGCCTACGGTCCGAAAATCGCAACGTCGAACACCAGAGGGGTGCTAGAAAGAGGACCTGGGACAATTAACAAAATATCCAACCCTTTTCACCTTTGTTTTGTACAAATTGAGAATTAGGAGCAACTTAACACACAGTCTGTTTCATGACATTATTTAGAAGTCATCCCTATCTGGGAGCCGCTGACAAAAAACAGCCTTAGAAAGCCTAAAGGCTTAGTATGCCTTCTGAAGGCGCCGTGCTTTGTCCATGTTTGGACCAGATTGCAAGGCCTAGGGGCGGCCCCCGTGTGGTTCCAAAGTAGTCGGCGCATGCCAAGCTGGGTCGACCAAGGGTCTGGTCGGGGGGGAGTGTTCATCGGTGGTGAAATAAACTATGCAGGGTGCAAGCTAAATAGTTTTGATAGCCAGGTAACTTCAAAAGCCGGATTTCGTCCAAAGTCATGATTGGATGCCAATGCTTACAGGGTAAGCATGGCCTTCTGAATTGAACTGGCTGGGTAATGTTACACCCGCTTTAATGAAAGTCGCCGCTATTGTCAAAAATCATTTTTCAATTCAGGATCCTGAGACTGTTTTAGGGGTCCGGAATTGTTGCAAGTTTTCCCCCTCCCATAAAAATCCAAAAAAATACAGGCTTGTTTGTTTTCAACTCTCTGGCCTGGGCAGGCTCAGGTCGGGCTCAAGCTAGACTAAGCCTTAGCTGATGTTGAGCTGGAGGCTGGTTCTGAGCTAGCCTGAGGTCTAGGAAATCCATTTTGCAAGTTGCGCCCAAACCATCTTATGATAACTTCTTTACAAAAAAAAGCAAGGTGAATCAATCACACAAAGGGGGTTGCCCACAACCAACCCTGATCCTCTTTAGTGCGATTGCTTTGGGGTCCTCTTTGGTGTTCAACTGGTTTTGGGGGGTTCCTGAAATTCCCAAACCAAAGCCTGAGCCTTTTACTTTTAAGGGTGGCTCATCCTAAGCTCTCCCCAGCCCAAAGGTAAAAGGCCTGAGGTCTAGGAAATCCATTTTGCAAGTTGTGCCCAAACCATCAAATCTATGATAACTTGTTTACAAAAAAGCAAGGTGAATCAATCACACAAAGGGGGTTGCCCACAACCAACCCTGATCCTCTTTAGTGTGATTGTTTTGGGGTCCTCTTTAGTGTTCAACTGGTTTTGGGAGCAAATCTCACAAGGAAGCTCTACCAATACTAAATCAATTTGAAACTCAGTTCCAAATCTCAAAAGGAAGCTCCGGCAATACTAAATCAAATGGACACTCAGTTCCAAAATCTCAAAAGGAAGCTCCAGCAATACTAAATCAAATGGAAACTCAATTCCAAATCTCAAAAAGGAAGCTCCAAGCAATACTAAATCAAATGGAAACTCAGTTCCAGATCTCAAAAGGAAGCTCCAGCAATACTAAATCAAATGGAAACTCAAGTCTACCAATACTAAATAAATTTGAAAGTCCCACCCAGACCCCCAGGGTTTGCCTAAACAGGGTCCCGCTGACTGGTTCCATTGTTCAGGGGGGAGGGGGGGGGATCATATTAAAGCTGGTCCAACATTATGAAGGCATCTCCCTTCACATGAAGCTTCCCTGTGCTGCGCATGCAACGGGCGACCACCCGAGACTTGCAGTCCGAGACTTGCAGTGGGTAAGACCCAATCTGAGTATACGTCACAAGAGGGAGACCGCCGAAATGGGGGAGGGGGGTTCCTTCGCGTTTCCCTTTCAAACCAGACCAATCCTCAAACACACACGCCCAGCCCCTGCCAATAAATACATCCTCCAAAAAAGCACAGCCCTCGCTTTCCTGCACTCCTCACCCCGCAAAGAACGGAGGTATTGAAGCGTGCAACACCACGCCCCAAGCCATTATCCTCGTCGGTCCCGACATGTCCCGACAGTGCGTGTGCTTGTTGGCCCGGCTGGCCGCAAGTGACAAGTTCCTTGCAGAGCTGATGACCTGCCACCTGCCAGCAATCATGCCACATCATAAGCCAAGAAAGCATCTGTATCAACTACTCTAATTCCCCAAGCTAGACATAGGAACTGCCGAAAAAGAGATCTGCATCGTGGGCAAACGCGGCTCATTTTGCCCCTCAAGCGGTAAGCTCGCTCGGTTAAGCCTGGGGCTCAGGCCGGGCCGCGGGCAAGATGCTCTGCAGGTCTTGTACTCGTGAGACTAAGACCTCGATCGCTTGGGCGAGTGCGACCGGAGCCCTTGTCGGGAATGGGTCCGATCGAAGCTGGCGACTGGTGCCTGCAAAGATCACATCCCCCTAATTAAACTGGTTGGTTTCGTTTGCTTTCCTTTTTTAAGTCAACCTGAACAGGGTACCAACTCAGGCGATATCCCCAACAGCGCCAAAACCCCCTAGAACCCTCCAGAACCCTGCCCGAAATATGCCCCAAACCACCCCGAACCAGTCTATCTGCGCCTATCGACCCCCCTGGCTTTCAGCACGCACGCACACACACACACACACCAATGAACATGGACGTAACATGGCTTTGTTCCATTTGCTTAGGAGTAAGCGGGAGGGCAGCAGTTTTTAACTCTAGTTGAAAACGTTAGTTTAACTGAGAAAACAAAGGTTCCTGACCGAAACTGGGGCATGCTGATTGTGGATGGGCTACGTAGTTTAACGCACAGTCTTCCAGCGGCGTGTGGGGGGGGGGGACAAGGTTGAAAACTGCTTCTTAGAATGTGTGCAGAAATTAGGGCACCTCGTTGTTGAATCATGAGTGCTTCGAACATCATGGAGGGGGGGGCTGCCCCCCCAACCCCCCGCTGGTTTTTAGAATGTTTGCAGAAAGTAAGGCACCCCGTCGCTGCATCGTGACTGCCTCGAACATCATGGGGAGGCCCCCCCTCCGCCATTATTATTAGTTTCCAACCCCCCCCCCCCACCATTATTAATATTATCCGCAAAAAAACCCCCCCCCCCCCCCCCCGAGCCGCGGCGAAGGCGAGAGGGATTTTTCCAATGAAAAAACAAACCACCTCGAGGAAACAAAGTCACAAACTCCAGCCCAGCAACTGTTTAGGAGAGAGAAGCAAACTCGTCACCGGAAAGTTAGTTTTATGCAGGAAACAAACTCTTTACGCATAAGTTTGAATCAAACGTTTGGGGGTCTGAAACCAACAAAACTCTTCGGGAAAAGGTTTGTTTCTACTCCCCCGAAACTTCTGTAAAGTTAGTTTGTTCGAGTTTCTCATGGAAAAAAACTTTGTGTGGGAGTTAGTTTTTGGCAGTTCAAACTAAGGTTTCCACAGGACGAGAGAGAGTCAAGTTAGCGCGGGCTCTGGAAAAGTTTGTTTCTCGTTAAGAAACTAAAGTATGCCCCTGCTGCGGCTAGTGTTGCTTAGACCCATGACCATTTCGCCTTTTGCTCGTGAAATTCACCGGCTCAAGCGCTTTTGTTGCCTCACCCAACCTTTTGTGACCATAGACCCATGGGCTTCAGAGATGGGGCACCGGGGAACCTAGTCTAGGTCCTCCAGTAGAGAGGCTAGAATAGGGGTACCCGATTTGTTTCTGTAGTTTATTTTAGTAGTGGAACCCTCCCCCAGGGTAAAAGGGCACTGGGAACCTAGTTCTTAAGCAACTGGAAGGTTCCATCTGGGTCAATTATAATATTTCACAAATCTGAAATAAGGTAGCATTTGGGGTGAATCCGGTCGTGTGTCGTTATAATTCACCCAGTTCCCATGTGGCCATGGGTCAAAATCCCGTACCCCCAGTGAACATCCCAATCCCAACTCTTTTAAAGCCCAAAATGGGTGGTGAACGAATTCACCAATCCCAACCAAAATGGGATCCCAAGACAGTTTTGACAACCACAGCCATGTGGGGATCGGTCTCCGACTCGATCTCCGAACAGATCGCCTCCAGCGAGGCCTTCGACACATCCACGCCGCAGTAGTTGGTGGCACCTGCGGGCGGGCGGCCGTCGAAGCGTTGGGAGCCGAGTGGGGGGGAAGCTCCCTGTGCGATGGATAATTTTCCCCAAATCCGTGTATCCCAATTTACCCTCGGGTAGCTTCGGTTTGGGGGTAGTGGACACCATCTTAGAAAAGCGAGAAATTCGGCTCGGCCCAAAAACTTGGAGCTATCCATGTGGCATGTGGGCGCAACCCAAAGCATTTCTATCAGGGAGAAAAACGGATCGACACGCGGCGCGCCCGTGATCGACAGGATTACTTCCGTGCCCTGAAAAAGGCAACTAAATTCCGCCATCCAAAGGAAACACAGCTCGTGGCAACAGCAGGCTAGATCTTCCAACCGCACCTGGCTGACATGTTGCATCCCTTGAACAGCTTTTTCAAGATCCCAAGCCTGCATTTTCTTAAGCCCCCTAGAAAATTATGTCCAGTAGATACATTCCCTTTGAAACCAAGAGGGGAAAAAGTTGAGAAAACATATTCTTAAGCAAATGGAACCAAGCGGGTCAAGTGGGACCTCTGGGAGACGCCTCTACATCCGAGAGCCCGGGCCTGAGTTCACCAGCTTCTTCAGGTCTCCGCCTTTGCCTAGGGTTGGCGTGCTCAAGCTGTGGAGAAATGAGTGGCTCTATCTGGGAGAGTCTTTTCTTGAGGGCAGGGAATGCGTGGTTCCATCTGGGAGAGTCTTTGCTTGAGGGCAGCGAATGTCTGGTTCCATCTGAGAGAGTCTTTGCTTGAGGGCAGGGAATGTGTGGTTCCATCTGGCATCTGGGAGAGTCTTTGCTTGAGGGCAGGGAATGTGTGGTTCCATCTGGGAGAGTCTTTGCTTGAGGGCAGGGAATGTGTGGTTCCATCTCTCGCTCAAGGCCTGGCGCGCGGCGCGTGCCCAAGGAGCAACGACAGCCCCGCCCTCCAAGAAGCCTTCCTCGCCCCCTTCTGGCGTGCCGAGCCAGACCTTGACGTTGCTTTGCCGCAGAAGGATGCCCTTGGCCAGGACAGCGCCGCGGTCTTGCGCCGGCAGCACCGCGCGGAACTGCGCGGCGCAGAAGCGGCCGCCGCGCCGCAGGCGCAGAGCCTCGAAGACCGGCGGCCCCGCCTCGGTCTGGCCATCAGTCACCTGGCCACGGCTCGCGAAACAACGCTCGCGACGGCAGTGGGCCCGCGCCAATACCTTAACAGCGCATTTGCCTCTAGTGTTCGAACGCGCCGCTTTTTTTTTGAAGAAGGGCGGGCGCGAAACGTCCCCAACCAACGCGCTCCCGAGCCGAGCGCAGCCCGCCTTCTTCTTCCTGCTGTTCTCGTCGTCCGGCACGACGACCACGGAGATCCCCGGCGGGAGCGGCGCCGTCTCCGAGGGCGTGACGAGCAGGGGCGCGCGGGCGTGGGCGTCCTGGATGTTCGGGCAAGCACCGCCCGAAAGCATCCGCCCGAGCGCCCCCCTCTGCCGGTCTGCGCAGGCGTCGGCGTAGTACATGTGGCCGTCCTTTTCCGCCACCGCCTCCAAGGTCGCGGGAAAGTCTGCGCCTCAAAGCGCGAGAGCCGGAATCGTTGGGGCCCCAAAGCGCGTCAAGAAAAAAACACCGTTTCCCCGAGTCGCCCAAGCGCGCAGCCCGTGCCACTGAGAGCTAAGGCCGCCAAGACACCCGCCGCGGCCCTGCGCAAGCGGACCGGCTTTTTCTGTTGGGCGCCCCAGTCGTAGACGTAAATGGGGCAGCCTAGCTCCTGCAAAAGGCGGCAGTCTTGGCAGGGTGATGGCCTCCTGGTCCTGGGTCCTCCACAAAACACAGAGAACGACCGAAAGGACGGCTTCCTTGCGGCGGCCCAAACTTCAAAACTGGCCCCGGCCGCGGTCCTCTCCCAGCGGCCCGCACTTGCGGCCCTTGGGCTTGGGCTTGGCGCCGGCGCCCTCGGCGTCCCCGTCGGCGTCCACCTCGGCGTCCAGGTCAATGACGTAGACGCCGGCGGCGCCCAAGGCAGTTCTGTCTGGAAGAATCGTTTCTTGAGGGCAGGGAATGTGCGGTTCCATGTGGGAGAGTCTTTGCTTGGGGGCAGGGAATGTGTGGTTCCATCTGGGAGGGTCTTTGCTTGAGAGCAGGGAATGTGTGGTTGTGTCTGGGAGAGTCTTTTCTTGATGGCAGGGAATGTGTGGTTGTGTGGCTCCATTTGGGAGTCTTTTCTTGAGGGCAGGGAATGTGTGGTTGTGTGGTTCCATCTGGGATTCTTTTCTTGAGGGCAGGGAATGTGTGGTTCTGTCTGGGAGAGTCTTTGCTTGAGGGCAGGGGGTGTATGGTTCCATCTGGGAGTCTTTGCTTGATTCGCTGCCCTCAAGCAAAGAAGACAGAACCACACATTCCCTGCCCTCCCTCAAGAAAAGACTCTCCCAGACAAGGCCCTCCCAAACAGAACCACACCCTGCCCTCAAGCAAAAACTCTCCCAGACAGAACCACACATTCCCTGCCCTCAACAGAAGACTCTTCAGACAGCCGCACATTCCTTGCCCTCAAAAGACTCTCCCAGACAGAATGGCAAATTCTGGTTCCATCTGGGAGAGTGTTTGCTTGAGGGCAGGGAATGCGTGGTTCCAGTGAGAGAGTCTTTGCTTGAGGGCAGGGAATGTGTGGTTCTGTCTGGGAGGGTCGTTTCTTGAGGGCAGGGAATGTGTGGTTCCATCTGTGGAGTCTTTGCTTGAGGGCAGGGAATTCGTCGTTCTGTCTGGGAGTCTTTTGAGGGCAGGGAATGTGCGGCTGTCTGGGAGAGTCTTCTGTTGAGGGCAGGGAATGTGTGGTTCTGTCTGGGAGAATCTTTTCTTGAGGGCAGGGAATGTGTGGTTCCATCTGGGAGAGTCTTTGCTTGAGGGCAGGGAATGAATGGTTCTGTCTGGGAGAGTTGTTGCTTGAGGGCAAGAAATGTGTGGTTCTGTCTGGGGGAGTCTTTTCTTGAGGGCAGGGAATGTGTTGTTCCATCTGAGAGAGTCTTTGCCTGAGGGCAGGGAATGTGTGGTTCTGTCTGGAAGAGTCATTTCGCGGTTCTGTCTGGGAGAGTCCTTTCTTGAGGGCAGGGAATGTGTGGTTCCATCTGGGAGGAGGGCAGGGAATGTGTGGTTCTGTCTTGGAGAGTCTGGGGAATGTGTGGTTGTGTGGCTCCATTTGGGAGTCTTTTCTTGAGGGCAGGGAATGTGTGGTTCCACCTGGGAGAGTCTTTTCTTGAGGGCATGGAATGTGTGGTTCCATCTGAGAGAGCCTTTGCTTGAGGGCAGGGAATGTGTGGTTGTGTCTGGGAGAGTCTTTTCTTGATGGCAGGGAATGTGTGGTTGTGTGGCTCCGAATGTGTGGTTCCATCTGGGAAGGTCTTTGCTTGAATTCATGGAATTTGTGGTTCTGTCTGGGAGAGTCTTTTTGTGAGGGCAGGGAGTTTCATCTGGCAGACACGAAATAAAGTGGGCGTGCCTGCTAATTATGAGACTCATGGTGGAAAGGATCTGCCTGAAAGTTAAACCGGGTTTCTTTGCGAAAGAAGCTGTTTCGAGCAGGAAGCCTACCCCCAAGCATAGCAACAGCTGGACATGCTCACGTTCTTTATAGAAACAAAAAGTCCCGCAAGAAGTAAGCGGCCATGGTGAATTGCACAGCTGATTCCCAATCTGACTCGATAGTCTGGGTCGCGCATCATGGCCAAAAGGCACAAGAAATGCTTGTGGCGCTCAGGGCTGCTTGAGTCCCCTTTTGGGATACATGATGGCCGCATGGCAAAAGCTGGAACGTACCAAGCCAAAGCAACCGCCAGTCACATGTCTCAGGATTTTGGAGGAAAACGCCGGACGAACCAAATGGGTGTTCCTTTTTTTAAGGTTGGACCCCCAAATGTGTTACCTTGTGGTGCCCTTGTAAAACCCCAAAAAACAGAGGAAAAAAGGGTACCCCCTCAAAACAAGACACCCCGACATCAACTCAACTGCTCCTTCTTTGGTTGCGCACGGCTTCCCTCGAAGTTCAGGTCCCCCGGCCACAGCCCAGATCCAGAACGGACAAGGGGGGATGGTCATCCCCTGCCTCTCAGCCACCGAATGGACCAGGGCTAATGTCCACTCTGATGCAACCAAAACTTGGTTCACGTTGGAAGGGGAGCAAATATTCTCAAATTTTAGCAGCTAAGTGGGGATTTCAACCACTGAACCACAATAAGCAAAAATGTATCCCAACAACAACCATGAAAAAGGGCTACCCAAAGTCTAATCCCCCCAAAAAAGAGTATGATGTTTTCCCGTGTATCAGAGAAGTGGGGATAAGCCCCTTAAAATCCCACAAACGTGGCATCGACGAAGGATTTCATCTGGGTTCTGCCACCCAGGTAGCATCTGGGTATACATCGTAGGTGTTAAAGATTGGCTCGTAGCCGTGATGCGCACTAGGGAAAGCAGAGCCTGCGTTGCCAATGGGGTAGATACCCGAAGGATCAGAAGAAAACCTGTGAACCACCGGGGTTACGCCAGCAGCTTCGCAGGGCAGTTCGCCAGAGCGATCAACCCACCAGAGTTGGGTTCCCAAATAGTCAAAGCCCCCCATCACTGTGGTGCCTACCTTCCATAAGGCTGTGACTGCATATCGCTGTCTTAGGTTCTCAGCCTTGGCAAAGCGCTCAAGACTCTTGGGGCGGCAAACGTGGAAAATGTAGTACATACATTCCCTTCCCCCCCACTGGGCATACACTATGAAAGGGGTCCCCCGCCATCAACTCCGACAACAAAAGAGAGAGGCAGCCATGGGTCTGTTGCTGTTCTACAGGAGGTCAGGTTCATGCTATAGTGAGCGGCAGCCTCCATCACTTACGGATTTGATTGTCTAATCACCCCGATAAACAACACTTCATGTCCGAGGAAACTCCCTGCAGATCGCCCAACATGCGATGTCCAGAGCACTTGAGTTCAGAAGTGGCGGCAGCCCTGTATAAACCCATCGAAGCCTCGTTTTTGGACAAGTACGGACGAATGAGACATATTGAAGATATCAACCCCTTTCGATTGGCTCCTCAATCCTTATTTGAAAACCTTCGGGGCGATTCTAAGGAAGCTCCCACATGGAAGACGTTGTTCCAAGTGGCCATCTGGAAGCTTCCATGTCATTAGGTGAGGAGAGGTAACATAAAAATGGTCTCTCAGCGCAAGCTGGGTGTGAGCATTTATCGGTAATGTGCTCTCCGTAAGCCTCAGCCTGAAACTCCGGCCTTAGCAAAAAGTGGACGCTGGCAGCGTGCTTGTATCACCCAGGTTTCGCCACGGCACAAAAAAAAAGGTATACTCCCCCACCCGTGGTGGAAGCTGATTGAAGGCTAGTGGAAGCTGCTGGTGCCCTAGCTGCTGGTTGCACGGAACCTTCTAGGGCTCTTTGAGGGATACTGAGAACCTTTCTAGAGGGTGGGGTCCAATTTTGTCGAATTCTACTACCATCTGCCCCCAAGGCACCACGGCGGTTGCATCGATTTTGGGGGTCTTCATCTTTAGGCTATAGCCCGGCGGCGACTCTGCCCGTCCCACCTCCCGGGATACAGCTGACAGAAACTGCTCCAGCAGGACCGCCTTTGGCATCCACTTGTTGCAAACTGGAGCTTCCAACAAGTGGATGACATGCCTCCACTGTACCCAAGCAAAGTCCAAATTGTCTAGAACCTTGCGCGAAACAACTAAAAATGGACGCTGCTGAGCACAACGGGTCGATCCGCTTTAAGCAAACTACTCACAGAAGCAACTGGCAACTATAACGCCCTATGTGATGCCGACAAGCTTGGCTCCAACTTCAGATCTCATGCGAATCCGCCCGGGGACGCACCACTCGACCAACTGGAACTCTTGTTGCTTCAACTCCAGCCTGGCAGATCAAGTGGAGATGTGGACAAAAGAACATTTATCGGAGTAAGCAACCGCTGTTTTGGGGTCCCCGTACTTTCCGGTGTGGAAGCCATCTTGAAAAAGGAGCGCCCCTTTCTTCAAGATGCGGAAAAATGGCTGTGGGTCCAAAATGCGTACCAAAAATGGCTTGCCCTGGTAACTGGAACCAAAGACTAAAACCTGCGGTCCCCTGGTGGTTTTATTTTGACCCATACCCAAATGACCTTCTGCCAGCCTTGGCCAAGGAGTTGCAGTTCCGGAGGCGCACCGTGGGGGACTGCAATCGTCGAGCCCGCGACCTCACGGGTGTGGGTTGGATGGCTGGGGGATGTTTGGGCTTTGTGGGCACGGGGCTCACCCTCCCAGCCTTTTCACTTGGCACCTGAAGTTTGGGGGGTCCTGGAAAACGCTTTTCTTTTTAAAGGCACCCCTCAGGTTCCACGTTTATTGGTGGGAGGGTAATGGATGAGGATCTGAGAATTTCGCTCTAATTCAAAAAAGCTTAAGTCAGAAGTGGATCCCCAAATAAAAGAAGCTTTATCATGGCGAGCTTGTTGTATATTCAGGTGAGCGGGCTATAAAATAGGCAGATGTGGAGAAACACCTGAGGATCTTTGTGGTTTCTGGGTCAAGGGAATTGGATCCACGCACCAGCACCCAACAACTGTTATCCACCCAAGGAACTGTGTTTCTTGGGCTTTCCTTCAAACCCACCTGAAAAGGTTAGCTCCGAAACAAGATTTGGGTGTCGTGTTTTGAGAAAACCCACCAAAAGGGTTGAAAAGGAAGACCAAAAGGAACACAACCAAAAGGGGTCTAAAACCCACGCACACACTACGGGGCCGTATCGTTGACGAAAATCACAAAATCGTGGACTACCCTTGTATTCACAGTTCTTCCCTCACGCAAAATGGGCAACAGTATTGAGCAGCATGACACCTGGGCGTGTATGGTTTCGCGGCCATTTGGAGACAAACCAGGGAAGCCCTGTTACGATCCCTTGCAACCTTTAGAGAATCAACAGCATAGTTTGCTATCCAGTGCAACCAAAAACCTTTCCACACTCCCTCAGCGAGGGCAAATCTATCTGCAACCAATGAAGTGGGCACACGCTAAGGGTGAAGGGGACCCAGGAGACATACCCCAAACCTGGATGCGTGAGAAGCCTTGCGAAACCTTCCGGCGCAAAGGCCGCGCTGAGAGGATAAAACCCGTGATCCACGCAAACCCCTCCACAACGCGAAAACCAGCGTGAAACGACGCATGCAGCTGTGACACTCCAGAAAACGGCAAAATACAAAACTATAGTTGTGGTTGTGTACATAAAGAAGTTGAATAAACCAAGTGTCATCACAGTGAAAGTGCGCAAGTGCAACATGTCTACACGCAGCCATAGCAATGCCAATCTAAATCCATCTAAAATTAAGGGGCATCTCCAAGATTGGCAGCCAAAAACACTTCCCTGGAACTTACCCGCCCGCAACAAGGGACCTCCCAAACCAGAATTGGCAGGTTCACCCCTAGCGGTCCCTGCTGGGTTGGCCAACCCTCCATAATCCTAATGATCCTAATGGGGGAGCCACTGGAGGAGTGAGCCTTGAGGTTCGAGGTGCATCTTATAGGGAATGTTTCCACAGAAAACTCCATGGAAGCCACCCATTGGATGGACGAAATCCCAGAAACCCCTGGTTTCCGATGATTCCCTTATAAACTCCGACCGAAAAATGGTTTCCCATCCACAGGGATGCCCCCATTTTGAGACAGACCCCCTTGGTCGGGGACCACCCTTTCGTAAGCCAAGGGAGCTGGCCTGAGGCTGTTGAATCGGCTGGGAGCCCCAGCTGCGGCGCTTGCGCGTCGTAGTGGGACTCGGGATCCTTCCATCCTCACAAGACACCCGCCACGATTCAAGTCTCTGTCTAGCGCTCCGGATGAACGGTTCCAAGTACCCAATGTTGGGCTCACTTCCGACCGCGTGTACTTAGCGGTCAAGAGAAGTGAACCTGTTTGTCTGCCACTAGAATGGTCTTCCCAAAAAGTTCAAAGTCGATGGGGTCCATGAACGGCCTATGTGTTGTGATCAAGACCTGTTATTCAAGTGGTCTCCCAAATCAAGTAAAACATACAAGAGCGGCCGCTCCTATTTGTGGCGGGGACGTGCTGGGATGGTCCCTGTTGAACCTTCAGGGAAGGTATGATGCTGCCACCACTCCATCTCCCAGGTTCCGCGATTGCCCTTGCGCAATTTCCCCAGCGAGCCAGCAGCAACAAACGTGGAGCAATTTGTCATAAATCGCAATGGTCTGCTGAGCTTACTGGCTGAACTAAGAAAGCCTTTTGACGCATCTCAATTTAGCCTTGAACCAAACAGCTTGAGGCTTGTCAATCTGGATGCAACAGGTAGGTGGTGGTAGGGCTCGAGCAGTGGACATGCTCCGCAAACACATTGGTGTGCTCTTACCATAGGTTTGGGCCCCTAAACATGAGTTGGCTTCCTTCTGACTGGTGTTCCCTGTCACCCAAAAGTGGGGGGCCTATTTGGCAACGCTTCTTGAACCACAAAACCAGCCCGCCGGTTTGAACCCCAGGCGTGACTCCAGGCATTGCAAATCCTTATCCGAAATGAGGCTGGACGGAATCCTGAACCATCTATGAAACCTTGGAATTCGATTCCCCTGCAAATACCGACAAGCAATGTTTTCAACCATGGTTTCAATTCGTGGTGCGAACGGCTTTCGCAACCATCCACAGTACGAGCCTTTGGGGCCAAATCGTCGGAACGCCAAACCATTCACTGCACCTCTCCTTGTCCCGCATCCTCCTCCATCTCCTGTGGGCTCGTTTCTGATCTCTGGGTCAGGGTTGGGCAACAGTTTGTGCAGGCCGGGGCCCCTGCAAAGGGAATCAAGCCAAGAGTGCTAACATAAGAATGGCTTAAACATGTTTCAACACGGAACGGCGCCACACAACCCTTGGTCAATCAAGTCGGGGGATGGTTGGAAACACTCGGGTATTTTGAATGGTAGTTGCATGCCTTGATTAGGGCCGCACTTTTGTTTTGACCCAGTAACCCCAAAATGAGCCGGTTGCCCCTTGGTTGGTCGCCGTCGTTTTCTTGTTTTTGTGTGCTGATCAGTTCCACCGGCTCCTCGTCGCTCCATTCTGGGGAGTCCTCGCGGAACCGGAATTGCGGTGACTTGCACATTGCACGGCGTCCATAGCTCAGTTGGTTGCCTCCATTTGCATAAGTCCCCTAGAACGACATACTGTGGATGGACGAAATCCTGCACCACCCAAGAAGCCCTGGAATGATGATTACCTTGTAATTGACAACCAACAATGGTTTCCTATGGTTTCAAAGTGGTGCAGGATTTCGTCCATCCACAGTATTCCTTGTAGTCATAGGTTCCAACCTTAAAACCAACAGGGGCAAATAACAACAGATTTGAGCAATGGAAGGATAGAGCCGTTTTCACATGCGCAAGCATACAGCTAAAGGGGGCAAGGTTGTGGTGGTTGAGTTGGGTGAGTGGGCTGTTGGGTTGGGTTTAACGGTGGTGCCTTCGCACACACCAAATCAACCTTGGATTGGATCGCCAACCACAGGGACGCTGGGCAGAACTTGCCATCAGTGCAGCGGGAGATTCACAGCAGGGGGCCAGGTCAGCTCGAAGCTGAAGGGTGGCTACGGCCAAGTTTGTGGACCAAGAAGAGGGCGGACCTTACCGGAAGTATGGCTCTGCCTCCAGATCTTGCATTAATGTTGCCAGCTCATGGAAATGCATCCTTAGCAACAAAGCAAACAAATTCCAATCAGAAGCGATCTCGTGTGCATTTTGCTCGATTTGCATTCCCCGGCCTATGCGCCAACCCCACCATCCCACACTCGCATCAAACAATCCGAGCCACCTTGTTAGATCTCTCCTTAAAGTACGGCACACAAAAACTCTCACCGTGGACACCTGCCAGCCAGGGCTGTCGAATTGATGTCATGACATCCAATGTCATCTAATGACCCAGAAAACAACGGGGTTGGCCTTTTAGGCCATGACAACGAAAAGGTCAAGAGGCAGATTCGCTTAGTGAGATGATTCATAACGCAAAAGCAGCTGGGTGCATCTACTTTCTCCCCCTCCAATCTCTGAGCAACTCCATGACCTCTTACCCAAACAAGCCAACATAGACCAAAGAACATGCAAGGTGCAGGCTGCAGGCTGCAGCTCCCTTTTGGGTTACGTATAATCAGGCTCAAGGACCACGCATCTTTGTCATCGTGGACCTGTCTCTGAATCGCGGAAACTCCAGGGCGACCCCTCCCCCCGGCCAAAGCATCGAAGATGCGCAGAAAACACAAAAAGGATGGCTGAGGCCGCCTGCTTATTCGGCATAGGTTGGGGCCATTCCTTTCAAAGACAATACACGTCCTGGGTGACAGCGCCGACCTCTCGGCTCGCGTGGGCCTAGCTGAGGAAGCGGCGAATCACGGGCTGATGGTATGAATATGAACCTTAGTTTCTTCTTTCGTTTAAGGGTGTCTTGTTGTTTTTTAATTAAGGAACCCCCCTGAACTGGTGGTGTCCCTTTTGGCTTCCCTTTAAACTAACCAAAACGGGTACCGACTCAAAGGACGCGCAACCCAGACAAAAATCGAAATGTGGGGCTGTGGGGGCCCCATCTTTTGGGCAAGACGAACCCGTGCCCAAAGCGGAATTGAGCCATGGCGAATGGTTAGGGGGTTGATCAGTATTTCCCTTCGGCCCCCAGTTTTGACCATGGAACTTCTTTCTTCCCATTTAGTGAGCCATGGCTAACCGTTTCCCATTTAGTGAAGGGAATGTCATCTTTTTAGTTTCCCCCAACGGTCATCCCATGTAAAGGACCTTTGATTGTGGTTGCCCTTCCACTAGCATAGCATTTGTGGGAGGGTACCCGGAACATCAATTTCCTCTTCAAGGGACCCCCTGTCAGGTGCCATGTTAATGGGAGGGTATTCAACCTTTAAATCACAAATGGCCGCCAAACTGCCATGGTTCCCTTAGAAAAAGGAAATGACAAGGACTAGTGTGAACCATGTGCTGTTTGGGGTGAGCTTTTATCAGGTTGCTTGCCCTGATTCTCTGCACATGTATCCAGGGCTAAAGAGGCCCTGAAAGCCAGAGGCTCCATCCCCTCCCCCTGTGGGGGTAAACCTGATGATTGATCATGGTTATGGAAAAGGGATCCTGCGAAAAAATGTCGCCTGTCTGCAAGATCGGGGAATCGAATCATTCCAGGGTTTCTTGGGTGCAGGAATTCGTCCATCCCCAATACCAACCACTGTGAAGGGATTCCCTTAGTCTGGTGCGATGGCAGCAAGCAAGCCTGGAAGGCAAACAACCAAGTGACAAGGTTTCAAAGTTCGACACAGACACAAACACAGTCACAGCCACACACGGAGGTGCCGGCCACGCCGAGGCCTTGTAATGCTGAACTGACGACTGGAAGTCAAAGCCCAACCTTGGGCCACATAAAATGGACACACAAATCTTCTCACTTCCTGGATTGGCCAAAACACAGTCCAAACTTTTGATTTCCCATAAATGGTCCAAGCGAGTGAGCATTTAGTCTACCACAACAAACAAAAATAGCTTGAAGGAGACCTGGGCAACGTCAATGCCGAGAGCGCGATGATGGAAGATGAGACCAAATGCCGGGGCTTCAGGTAAGACCATACTGGAATCTACTTTCACCCCATCGATCAGCCCCCGCACTGCTCAACCACCACTTTTCAACCCCCTGGCTGGGACACCCCCCCTCCATTCCACCACCACACGGAGTCCAGGATTGCCTCTATTCCCCATTTCAACATCACACCACAAGGACACCCACGTGAAACTTGCAACCCAAAGGCGATGTGTACCAAACTTGGAAACATGGGATGTGTTACCAGGTCCTCCAGATTCGAGAGGTTAGAATAAGGGTACCCGATGCTTTTTGCTGTAGTCTATTTTAGGGGGAACCCTCCCCCAAAATAGGATAAAAGGGCACTACCCGGGGACCTAGCAGCTGTTCTATTTTTTGGGGGAGCCCGGCATCATGTCGCTTGGGAGTTCTGTGCCTCAACCACTTCGGTGGCCTATGAAGACTTGGCTGCTGCAACGACCCCTCTGCAAAAAGTGTATAACTTTTTGCGGGGCCAATGGAAAACCAACTTGATTTCAACCAAACAGTTGAAGTCTAAAGACCCAACCCAATAGCAATCAAGACTTCTATTTGGTTAAGACCCCAGGAAAAAAACAAAATATATCCAGTAGTGAAAGAATCCCTTTAAAACCAAGAGGGTGTTTTTCCCTGAAAAAAATAATAAGCAAATGGAAGAAGAAGACTCATAACCAACATATCAAAACGCCGGGACACCTGAAGCCGCAGTGGCAGCATCTCCCGCTCGGTGGGCCCAGGTCCCGCCTTGAAGCGTGCCCACACCACAGGGTGCACCGCTGCCTCGTCTGGGGCCTTTCGGAGCCAAAAACCCGAAGCCCGAATCCGAAGCGGAGGCGAGATGCAACCGAAACAAAGACACCTCACTCCGTGCCATGAATTTCAGGTTGGGTGAAAAAAAGGGACACCTACTGGAAAAAAAGTCGAGCCCCCTAGTTTGGCACCTACTCACCTAGAGGTTGCTTGTTACTCAATTGGGTACGTTTCTTTATTTGGGGAGCCTGGACATGATTCACGTGGGGATTGATGCCCACCGACCCTTTTGCAGTGTGCTCCTGTTCCCAATTGAACAAACTCACAAAACAGGGACACCAGTTTGAGAAAATCCTGCTTAGAGTTTCCGGGAAGCATGTTGAAATGCCCGGATGCTGATACGCGCAAACACACGCCATAACATGGATAAGAGCCCAGGCTTCCAAAAGCTCCAAGCTCGCATGCTGCTTGCCAACAAAAACAGGTACCAAATGAAAAGCCTTGTCTCTCGCCGCCTTTAAGCAGCGAATGAACCAAGCACATGGCACCTGATGTTTCTGGATGCTCAAATCGGACCTGGGTTCTTTGTTTCCTCCGCTTCCTGGGGCTGAGTCACTGAAGGAACTCGGCACGCGGAGTGCTAGGCCAAAGCTGGTCTGTCCGCACATCCCCGGCCAGTGACGAAATGCGAGTGGGTTAAATAAGCAGCAACCACAAAACCGACTAAAATCAACTAAAATCAACCAAAAAACAACTAGAAACAGCTAGAAACAGCTAGAAACAGCTAGAAACAACAAACAAGCCTGAGCAAACCTGCCAAGCCATGCATTTGGTGAAGCTCGATGCACCCGACCAGCAGCATGCCATTCACTGAAACCAATCAAGTCAAATGAGTCAGGTTCCCAGTTGTTCAGTGACCCTGGTAGAAAAAGGGAATCCTTTTTTGGGGTTGCCAGTGTTTGGAGGGGAAGTCACCAAACAAAAAGCTGGAAAGCCGGTGTCACTAAACAGCTGGGAATACAGAAGCCCCAATCAATTTAGACAGAATCAAAGGGAACATGGCCGCCTTTATTCTTGGAAGGAAGCCATCTGCAAGACGTCCAAGAGCAGACCTGGGTGGCACCAGCCACGAACAAACACGGCTCTCAGGTTGGTTTCGAGTGCTGGGGGCGAGCCCCCGGTACCTAACAAACCAACACTAGGTGTGATGCAGATCCATACCTGGTAAACCTTTCAGGTTTTGTCACAGCGTAAGAGAGCCCTCATAGAAGACTTTGATCGGGCCTCTCGATTTGCACAATAAGGAGTCAACGCTCCAACCTTTGAGTCAGGTAGGACACGGGAACCTTTCTTTGAGGTTGAACTGTTTACGTAGAGAACCCAGCTGCTGTTCGACCTGACTTGGTCTTAGACACCCCAACATGTTCAGGGGTCATTTTCCCAAAGCGTCCAAAGGTGAAAGACTGTAATTGCCCAAGAGCAGCCAAGTTGTTGTTTTTTGCATTTAGCGGCCAGTTGGGTGCCAGGGGGCCACTGGCTCTAGCTTTCAGCACCGGCACCCCGAATCGGCCTCCCCCGAGTGCAGCAGTTGCCGGATCTGCCTGAAAACCCGAATGCACGTGCCATAAAGACCGAGTCTGAGCAACATACTGCACAAACAACTTCCACTTGCTCAAGCCTCTTGGAAAAACACGTACAGTATAGGGATAGATCGCCAATAAAACCAACGAGGAAGAACAACATGTGCTTAAGCAAATGGGTCAGCAGACCAAACAATCAGAGAACACACAGAGTTGGTGAAAGCATACAAAAACTGACAAAAACCCTGTTGAGTCAGCTGAGGGGTGGGAGCAAACCTTGAAACACCACAGTCTCCTGCCAAAGCTCCTACACTCCGATCCATCAAACTGTTTCGTGGTGGGCCATCCACGATGTCATGGACCCCGCGTTGTTCGTGGCTCTGAATCAATGGATTGGCAGCATGGGATCCAAATGATCTCCTCTCCCCTAAACCCCCACCCGCTCCCAGGTGGCCTTACTGCTGGACAACACCTGCACAAGTTTGGGCGCACAAGCCTACTAGTGGCCCACATTTGGGTGGCGCATATGTGTTTCAACATGTTCGGACTCTAACCCTACCCAAAAAATCAAAATCGGTTTGAAGGAGACAGCTTGGAGCCTGGGTTTCTCCTAGTTTAGTGAATGCCTTTGAGGCCCTCAAAAAGGCGCTGGGCCCCGAGCGAAGAGCTGAGACCCTCCACCAGGTCGCGGTAGGGCGCCACCTGACGGACGCGTCTGGCAAAGCCTGGGAGTTTCCGCTACAAGCCACCCCACAATGCTTTTAAATAACAGTTGAGCAATTGACAAACAATTGAACGTCATAGGTGGCGAGCCAATATGAAGTTGTTGCTGGCAAGCGCGACAAGTCTTGTGGCATGACAAAGGAACACTGTGGCGCCATGTTCAAACGCACGCGTATTCAGACACGCAAAGACGTACATCCAAAGCAGGACTACTTCACAAAAACTCTACATCTTTCACGTGCGCCTCAAGGGAATCTAACCCTCGCAAACCTCACGGTGGCTGCCTAAGACTTCCGGCAACCCCGACCCGGCATGTGTTTCAAATTTCAGTAGCAAACACCTCCACTTTGAATCCTGACTGCCCAAAGTAAAGCCAAGAGCAGCAAAGCATCTGCCAACTTTGGCGAACGCAAGCCAAAGACACACTTACCCCTCAATCAGCTTCCCTTCAGGTGGTTTGCAGCTTTGGGAGGGGGTTTCCCATGTCTAAACCCAGGCGCTTCAAATCCGAATCCAAACCAATCCAAACCACCAAGGGGTTACCAAGTAGAAAAATCTGAGCGACTTGAAAACAACACCTTTGCGGCCAGCCATGCGCTCTCCAGTGGTCACAAGCACAGGCAGGGTGTCACATGACTGTTCTGTCCAACCCTTATAGTGTGTTGGTGGCACAAAATGGTTTTTTTGCACCCCCCACCCCCCCAAAAATGAACAACACCCAAAGACCGAAAACCCTAAAAGCATACCATGCCAGCAACACTGAGGTGTTGAGTGAAGTGTTGCTAGCTCCAAGGAGGAAACAGCAATTCCCATATGCAACGATGCATCGTTCAACAAAACTTTCCAAAATGAGCACATGTGCAGAGGGCCGTTGCGATGGCGATCCATCGCCATGCTGAAGTGCTTTCTGATCCATGGGTCTCCGTCTTTTTTAAGGAATCTGCTTTAGATCCTGCAAGGAAACCCGAAAGGCAAACCACCAATTTTGGGGGCCCCCTACTTTGACACCTACCCACTTTAACCCTTACTACATCATAAAATGCAGCACCATAACCCCCAAAACTCACGCAAAAACACTGGCGCAGGACCGTTTTGTCTTCGAACCCATCCAAGGATCCGCACCTCCACGCGAGCACTCAGCTTCTCAGGCACCAGCGACAGACCGGGCCGGTTCTCACGGGGGAAGACCTTAAGATCAGCCGGGCTGGGCAACCGACGGGCTCCATTCAGATGTGGCTTCGTGGTTGTTACCGTTTTGGGGTTGGTTCAACGGGAAACCAAAGGAAACCAATCAACTTGCACACGCACACACACACAGTTGAAACATCAGCCCTGCCAAGGTACATAACCCTTGGCCAAGAAGTTGACGTTTTAAACCAACAAAAATGGGAGCCCTGAACCTTCAGGTGCTACGTAAGAGACACATGTCGACAAGGTGCTACCAAACAGAACGATGTTGACCACGGCACTATCCGAACGTCAGTGTTTGACCAAGGCACCAGTTGCCCTCTCAAGCCAACCAGTATATGGAACAATCAGCCACCTACAGAAACAAGAGCCATAGAACCCCCTTCTGCAGAAAGCTGACTAGCTTAATGGGGTTGGTTCCCAACTTTGGCGGAAACCCTTCACTTTTTGGACTGAACACCCTCCGCCAGGGTTGTACTGAAATCTGGGGTGAACATGGTGAACCTCGGACGGGCCAAGCAGTCTTCAGGTGGCATGGTGGGTAACACCAAGGTAGGCACCACCATATTAAGGATCTTGCCCCGCGATGTAAGAATATCTTCAAACATGGGAAAGCAGGGCAATGAATGTTCACGAACCACAGCAAGAATTCGGTCGCAGTTGATGTGTCAAAAGCAAATGGGAGATTCATGACAAAAGCCCATAATGCACGGAAGCGAGTTCGACAATGTACAGAAAACATAAGTGACCTACTAACAAGAGCCTTCGGTAAAGAACATTCACATGAGTTGCCAGCAAAGGATGTTCTTCAACCATTCCTCGAATAGCAAACACAAACGCAAACGCAAACGCAAACGCAAGCGCAAGCGCAAGCGCAAACGCAAACCCAAATCCAAACCCAAACCCAAACCCAAACACAAACACAAACACAAAAAAAAAGAAACACAAACACAAACACAAACACAAACACAAACACAAACACAAAAAAAAAGAAACACAAACACAAACACAAACACAAACACAAACACACACACACACAAACACACACAAACACACACACAACACACACACACACAAGCACACACACAAACACACACACAAACACACACACAAACACACACACAAACACACACACACACACACACACACACACACACACACACACACACACACACACACACACACACACACACACACACACACACACACACACACACACACACACACACACACACACACACACACACACACACACACACACACACACACACACACACACACACACACACACACAAACACACACACACAACACACACACAAACACACACACACACACACACACACAAACACACACACACACACACACACACATTAAACTCCAGATGGAGGGCGCTAATCTTTCGAGTACAACTGGTAAGTTTCGGCTTGGATAAGGTTCTTCATGCATAAGTTTCGGCTCGCAATGCACTCGGCTTCCCTCTAGTGTCGAAAACGTTACCCGAAAGAACAAGAAGCACAAACAGCGCCGCAACCAAGGGGGCCAAAAGGTTGTTGCATCACGGCAGGTACGTCAGTCCAGCGTCCTGGACTGATTTCACGATCCAATGGTGCGGTCTTCGTTGGGCGATGCACACCAAAGGAACCATCGCCCCCCTGCGCTCAATTGTGGTGACAGGGTATTCTGCCACTCCGCACACACACGCCCCTCAGTGAGGGGCGAAAAGTCGCTTTTTCTCTGCAGGAAGATCACATGCTCAGCTCCTTAACTCTTTAACGTCTGCCAAAATATCCACAGCGGCGGGGAGAGCGCGAAACTGCACGCTCCGTACGAAGCTGCTCAGAAGACGGGGGCAAAAGATCTCCAAGATGAGCATGACGTGTGCCGCCATAGAAGACCGGAGGAAGTTGCAAAGCAGTCGAGCGATCACCGTCAGAAATAGGGGGGGCATAGGTGAACATCTCCTCGACCCGGATGATGTCCGAATTTTGCACGTCAACAAGTGGTTGATCCTGAGCATGATGAGTGGAGAAGGACTCAAAACGAGATAGAATGCGTTGGTAACCTTGATGTTGCCAGTCGCGAATTGTCCATGCCTGACTGGGTTCGCCAGTCCCATCGATTGGATCAGTTACCCGTTTCCACTCCCGAAACGAGTTGTCTGGTAGGTCAGGTACTGCCTCTTCTGGGTGCCACAGTTGAAGTTGTCCTGGAGTGTAGATCCGCACCCACTCCTGATCATGCCAGACGGAATATTCGAGCCATGGGTGCTGCTCGGCAGTTCGGGCCGACGTCTGAGTCGTATCGTCTATGTCCATGACGAAGTAAAAGACAGGGCGTACTGCAGGTTCCGATCCAGCTAGCAAGGGAACAGTCACCATGCACAACCTGGCACAACCATGCACAACCTGCAAACACACAAGGAAGCCAGAGCAAGACAAAACACTCTTTTATGCCATGATCAAAGCGCATCAGTCTATGCATCGCCTAGCTCGAAGATAGGCTTCTCCTTGTTGGTAGAACTGCATGGTTGGCTCGCAGGCAAATTTGGGTCAACGACCCCAATAGACTCAGGTGGTTCTACTCCACGAGATGCGCGTGGTGGTTGGTGCTGGTAGGACTCTTGACGCGCGCGATCCGATAATTGCTGACAGATCCCAGCTTGAAGACGAGTGAGATCATCCGTAGAGAAGGCCGACGCATCCGAAGATCGAAGAATCGCGTTCAACATCGATCTGCGTGGTCATACACAAAGCCGAAGATTGCGTAGCAACGCTATGTTGATGAGGAGACATCGAATCGAAGCCGTGATTAGCTTCAGGAGGTGCGACACGCCGGTAGCCCTCTGTGGCCCAGTCCCTTTTGTACCAAATGCTCTTGGCGGGCTGCCCGCCATCTTGATCAAGATTTGGGGCATAGAACTCCTGCCACTCCCTGTATGTATGAGGCGGAGGCGGATCATCACGTTCATCTTGTGGAGTCCATGATCCCGGATGAAAAATCTTGACCCATTGAGCGTCTGGTTGTTGAGGATCCGGGCACCACTCCAGCCACGGCATGACAACTCAAACCCTAGACGCAAAATCAAGAGGTACACGGCTGCAGACTACAAGCACCTCATGCGACGTATCAACAAACATGTCAAGCAAACACAAGACACTCAATCCAGCACTCACAGAACATGCAGCGCCGAACACCGCGGTTTGTAGCAAGGCGCGACTCAGGTGTCGAGGCCACTCGCCCCAATCAAATTGAAGATCATGGAAAAGCGAGGACGGACGTCAGCCACCATCCGAGTTCGAGGATGCCGACGAAGAGGACAATCCAGCGTACATGAGGTCCGGCGATCCCGAAGGGAAAGCTGGTCGCGCAATGTTCGGGCGCGGATGGCCGAGCCGTTGATATCCTCTGGTGACGATATTGCCATGTGTAAAAGGATTTGCCACGGACCGGGTACATAGACTCGAATCCATTCAACGCTTGTGTTCGCAGGGCCATTGACGATGTCGTACTCAAAGTAGCGTGGTAGGGACCATCTCGCAGTGCCACATATTGTGGAATTGAACATACCAACCGAGTAAGCGGCTTTGAGGCAAAAGGGAATCGGCGAAAGCATGGAAATGGAGAAAACACAACACAAGCCAAGACAACCCAAGTTGAAGCTGCAAGCAAATCGGGCAGCAAGCGCAGCGTTTTAACCAACATGTTGTTCAAGCATCAATCCGACTCGTTCCAATCGAGATTGGGATCATAGCTCGGTGGGGGGGAAGGTTCCCGCCACGCACCATCAGGAACTGAAGACACCGACGAGGAAGTAATTTCTTCATTCACGAGCTCGGTCGATCCAATGGTTGGTCGTGGAATGCCAAGGAGTTGATAACCTCGCGTGTTCCAGTCTCGGAATTCCCACACGTGATAGGACACGTACGAAATAGGCATCAGCGGTGCCCCCGGTGCTGTCTGTGGGCGAGTACACATCGAAGTGATATGACTTGCGCCACTCCCGATACGTGGAAGCGTGGTCCGGGGCTCGTCCCAGGGTGGCTGTGGCCACAGGTTGCCACGGGCCCGGTGTGTAAATTCGAATCCATTCCAAGCCTCTCTCGATGTGGTACTCAAAATAGTGCGGATACATGTCAGCCAAATGTGTCGTCACAGTGCTGTTACAAGGAAGCGCAAAGCCAAGGGATCTGCGGCGAAACGCTCACGCCGTGACAAACTTGAATGCAATGTGAATGTGGCAGCCGGTGCAATTCAAGGCAACTTTTCAAACTGAAGGCAGGGCGAATCAACAAAGTCTGTAGTGTATGGCGACACTGATTCACCGCCGCTGATGACGCGCGCACCTGCAATGGTAATGTCCTGGTCGGCGACGAGCACAGGGAGAAAGACATTTCCGTCCATGATGTAGAAAAGCATGACAGTGATGCTTGCAACTTGTCGTTACGGACCGTGTTGGACGAGTAGCCCGTTTCGAAGGGAACACAGTGAAGGGCCGCCGAGAACTCCGCATGGCAGAAGCGGATGCTGTTCGAGAGCGTTTTGGAGAACGCGTGAGAATGCGTAGATCATCATCACGGGATTGGTCAGCGCTGCAAACTGAGCGGCGTGTGCGCTGAGATCCCATGGTGGCCGGGCATGACTGTCCTCGAGGAGAAGGGCTCGAGGAAGCTCGCAATGAGGGCATAAACTGTGGGTGAAGAATCACCGGTGGTGGTGGTGGTGGTGGAGGAGGTGGAGGTGGAAGAAGTAGTGGGAACCGTGGCGGAGGTGGCGGTGAAGCAGTCAATCGAAATGGTCTGTCAAGCAATGTACCGGGTCCGTGAAACTGTAACCACGTCGGCTGCTCTCCATGGGTCCAAGTTATGAATGTCTGCACATCTTGCTCCAACATGATTTGAACACTCAAACCCGCAAGGCAAGGAGAGATAAGCGGTTTCAGCCCTGACATGCATGTTATCCATGTCATCTATGTCATGCATGCCAGCCATCCATGCCGTCA